CGAGTCAGTGTTACTAGAACAGCTCAGATTTGTCGAATTTACGAAATCACTGAATCACTTTAATGCTGAACAATAGGTTATACTTCGCCGTAGGCTTGCACGTAATTGACAAAAATCAATTCCGTAATTACGGCAAAATCAATTACGTAATGACCCCGTAATTGCGATATTTTTCCACGCATTTAAACCTATCATAACAACCAATTGAATCCACTTCTTTTCCGAATGGGACATTGAAGTTGGGTTTTCATATTCTTGGCAGTACTACACGCCGGCGACAGATGTTAAAGACAAATATCAAGGAGTGAATTCAAATAAATTTTATTCTGATTTTTATCTTTTGTGTTAGTTTTGGTTTTCCTTTATCACCTTCGCGAATTAACCGTCCCATTTTTATGCGATCAATTTTATTTTATCATTACCGACACTGGTATACGGATATTTATGGAAACGATAGTTTTTTAAAACCCCCTTAATACTGAATAAAAATTACGGGTTTCTAATTTATTAACCAACGACGAGCGTATTCACTCGTTTGATTATACTTGCGATTTCCTCGCGACGAAGACTTGTTTTTGCAGCGTCTTCTGCATTATCCGACATTACTGCCTTGTTAAGCATTTTATAATAATAATTATTGATGTCGACTTATTGACGATATTCCGATTACCATGCTTCATTTTACATTTAATCATCTCGCGGACTGAATGTTTATAACATTATTTGCGATAAATTTAGATCAAATATTATTTATTTGAGTATAATTTAAATATCGAACTTATATGATATGCCTTCTCCGAAAATACAAAAGTTATATCGCAAAACAATGCATTTTGTGACATTTATTTTACACTCACGACATTTATTTGCTAACTCAAGTCGGCGATCCTATCGGCCAAGATTGACACAAGTTTGGTCGAGTGCCGGTGGTATTCAAGTCGACGATAAATCGAAATAAGTTGGCGCATTTGGTAAGACAGTTAATCATATATGGCCGAAATATTGAGAGGAATTGTGAAAAACATCATGCGGACTGATATATAACATCATCCGGACTGATATATAACGATAAAACCGTTAACAGAACATCAGGATTTTGTAATAGAAAATGGATCTCGCACAGAATAAACACACTGGCTCATATTTGATTATATATGATAGCAGTTAAATTTTTTGCGGTCCGCGAGGAATCCGTCGTTTTGCTGTTTCTCTGCCGTCTCAATCGCTTTACCGATGCCGGGAAGACGAAGTTGCGTTGGTTCATTACGCAATCTCTCTTTTGTCGTCATATTGCTATTTGATAAGCGCGACATTAATTATCACGGCGAGGTATTGGCGCGAGTGATCAATCGCTCTTTTCGCTTATTTGGTTCCAATTCGTCGCGAAAGCTCTTCGTTAAATTTCACAAGATCGTCGTGTTGAAAGGTTATGGACATTTTCCTGTTTATACCCCAAGTCTGAAATAAAACAGCCAAAAACAGTATGATGATCCATGTTCATATATCAAGTGTTGATATTAACAATAAAGAATGGTTAAGCATTGCTAATCCACACTTGGTGGGGAATTCCCACTATTTAAACGCGTGACTATAAAATAGAATAAAATAGAAACGGAACATATATACCATAAGTAACGGAAAACTGGAACAAGTAAATAATAAATAAAAGTAAAATAGATACAAATGTTTGATAGACCATGTTTGAAAGATTGATCACCTGCGTTCATAAGTCATTTCACCCGAAGAAGTTAAAACCGGGCGTGTTAGCGTCCATCGGTCTTAACACAATTCTCCCCCCTATCTACGGTTATTATGTACATTGGCCATGGCCAAGCTAGATAAGATGCGAGAGAAGTTGAAACCAGGTGTGTTGGCGTCAATCGGCCCTACTCAGTTCTTCCCCCTTAACTACGTTAATAATTTACATTGGCCATGCCAGAGAAGTTGATAATAGGTTAGTGAATGGCAACGCGTCATGCCCTCCTTCACCTACGTAGCAAGAAAGGTAAAAGAGAAAAAAACGGCTGCGAATACCGGAACTCTAACTTCTACTTGTTGAGCTTTCATTTTTCGCAATCGACGAAATTGACTGCTTTGAAGAAAGCTCGTTTCAATGCAATAATTACGACTTTACGTAATTCGTAACTTCCCTTCCGTAACTCAAAATAATTACGTAATTACGTAAATCCGTAAATTACGTGCAAGCCTATGTAACTTCGGTACTCGGTAGTGCTGTGAAAATCGCTGTAGAATTGTAGATCTTCCGAAAATCTCATAAAGGGGCGTTTCGAACCCACGTCTGCTGCTAGGCCACTGCTTGTAATACGATTACAAATAGTTACTTTATCAAAATTATTCTGCGTATTAATGGGCACCACAATGCGTGCGTCTCGCCTCGATTCGAGATCAGACACGAGATATACTGTATCCAAATATACTCCTTAGTTGTGCATTGAATTATGGAACGTTGTTTGTTCATAACGTCGCAACAAAGTATTAAAAACAAGCGGGTTTATTCGTAGTTTAAGAAAAACAATGTTTAATTTAGACGGCTTTTGCAAATAACAGTAGCTGTTTATTCCAATGCAAATCTTGCTTATTCGCTCGGCAATTCGCGGGTTTCATTATGTTGTTTCTGATTAGTATAGCTATTTGCCCGTTTAATTTTTTTTTAATTTAGTTCGCAAAGTATCAGCTTATTCAATAAAGAATAAAGTTATACTGCTGCAGTATTATTTTGGTTCTGTTAATTTGTTTTAAACGATATTCGAAATGTTTTTTCAGTGCTATTCTAGAATAGTTTACGAATACTAAACATCCCTAGCTATGAGTAATTTTAAATTGGGGTGTTTAAATGCTATGGACAATATCAATCGTTTTGAAACATGTTAACTAAGTTGTAAGTTCCGATTCGCGAAAAGACATTCAAAATAAGCATCATGATAATAGGAATATTTTTTATGCGGTTGTGGGTCAGGGAATCGTCCGTTAAGTGAAATAACTAGAACTCAAGATACTAAAAGACCCCTGAAAGATTTTCCCCCATGCCTTATCATTGCAAAATTTTCAACGCTGATTTTGAGAGTGTTTTGGATAGTTGGCGCTTACAAACTGGCTCACATGTTCAAAACTTTTATATTCAAAATAATAGACCCCTTTGCCGTGCCGTGCCGCTTTAGGCTGATCGATCGCAGTGTTTGCGGCATCAATTTCTGATTGTTGTAACTAAACTAAAGGTCCTCGGAATACATGGTGACAATTAAGTTATTTGATTTACAACTATTTTTTGGGAACACGACTAAAAACTGACGAATAACGCGCAAAACTACCGAAAAGAGTTCACAACCACGCTTGAATATCTGTCTGAGCGAGAGAAGTGTCTGCGTGGTGGCCATGAATTCCATTTGTTACATCATTGTTAACTTATCGCTGGTTTGTAATTGTTACGGATATAAACAAAGAAATCGATGCTCGGGGAAACATTCATAGGCTTACCTTTTCTTGTCGCCGGAAAAATCGAAACTTTCTTTAGCTCAGGGTCGTCCAACCTTTGTGGCCGTGGGGCCACATGTCGTTTACGAATGATTACGCGGGCAACTTGGCATGGTAGTTCTACACTACATCGACTACAAATTATTGAAAAACAAATGAAACCGTTATACCAAAATTATAAGAACAATGAAAATACGAAGATAGATATTTCAATGTGGATTATGTCACTGCTTTTATCCAACAAGCTTGTCAATATTCGTTGCGATGGACAATGTAGCAATGCGAAGCGGATTTTTCATATGGCTATCAGAAATTAGTGATCTCACGGGGGATTTGACAAAAAACTTGCTCGTACAAGTAAGTGCTGTCAGATATTGAGGTCACGAATCTGCCTTTTCCAGCTCCACAGAAAAAGGGCAGGAAAACAGATTTTATTACATGGCAGACAATTAAAATAAATTCAAATTTATATCTCCAGCAACAACGCCCGCAAAGATACATAAAAAAACGTTCGATAGCCGTGTGGTGCTTATCGCGCGTTTGAACGACGAAAATTTTTTTTTTTATTCGAGGTTTCAATAGTGACTCAGATTTGTGGAAGATATCGGGCTTCAAATAATACCACGCGGGCCACATGTGGCCCACGGGTTGGACGACCCTGCTTTAGCTTGTCTTACGTAGGCCCGTATAACACTGTATTTCGATCAACGATATTATAAATTACTTACATTTGAGTCTTATTGCTAATGACGTTTACTAATAAGCGGTAAATTCGTTTGCGTTTTTAGAGGTACTTTTTTTTTATATTAAGGGGCATTGTGTAAAGGAGGTTTCGCAAAATAATTTTCAGGGCAGCATTAATATTTCCGTGTAGGAACTGTACTTAATAGCGTCAAAACAGAGATTTTCGGTTTTTCTGTCGCTTACCCGCCCATCCTTTTGTTGTCTCCACCCTCCACAGACAAAAAAAAATATGCTGACTCGATTGGGTCAGGTACGGTATAACGCAGTGCGACAACATATACCACAAACCTTCATCTTGGGTACTGATATATCAGTACGTAAATCTGACTTACTAGACTTAGTGGCGCGGCGGTGTGGCTCAACGGGCTAAGCGTTAGGAATACGCTCGCCACCGCACCTCTAATTACTCTGCGTGGGTTCGCAGGTTCGAATTCCATGCAGGGATGGTTATGTGCGAGAGGATTGCTGGACTCCTCGCCGTCGTTGGGTGGTTCACGTAACCGCTGGTCGGTTACGGCTTCCTCCACCACCAAGTCCATGCTTCCGAAAACAAATAATACAGTAAAACTAATCCCATACCCGACTTGGAATGGTAACCGGACGAGAGGCCGTGGTTCGCCATATGAATAAGCCGTCTTATCGGCTTTCCTCTCCCCCGGGATAAATATGTAAATCCTATCCTATCCTAGTAGTTTTTTGGGCTGCTGTTACACTTACAGTACCGGTACCGTGTCTGTGTATACTTGCATAATGAAAACATAAATTGTCCTATTACAGTATAACTTAAGCTAGCTATTAATTTAGGCAGTTCAAAATGGCTTTAAATAACATGGATGATAAGCTTTTGGGTGAAAAAGTGGATTACTATTGTAGTTCATCAGAAGACGAAGGAAATTCAGCATCTGGTGATGAAGGTTCGAGTGATGCACAAGAATCGATAAGATCGAGCACTAAAGCACCAACGTTCATTCCTGAGTCAAGATTCGATGGCAAAGCAACTCAGACAGGTTAAATTTAAATTGTTTTTTACTGTTCTGTTTGGTGTTTCAAGCCTTATTGGAAATATGGACAATCTAACTTTTTAACTATTTCCTAACACTGTAACAAATAGACATTAGTATCATTTGAATATAATAATATGCTGTTTGTGATGTTCTTAATTGTATTCGTGTAATTTGTATATGAATATATGAGAATGTTTGTATATATTGTGATTTTGAATGTTTTGCTATTTCTCTCAGGGCCTAAAGGGGTGATAGAAGATTGGAGAAGATATAAACAACTAGAGACTGAAAAGAGAGAGCGAGATATCATGGAAAAAGATGAACTTTGCAGAAAACTCGCAATGACTTGCAAGTCATTCAAAGAAGAAGAGAATGCTAAGAAACAGGCAGGAAAAGATGAATTTGATTTAAGCGATGATGAAGACTTTATGGAATATTATAAAAAGAAAAGAATAATTGAAATGCAAGAGATGGTTGCGAAAAAATGGTCAAAAATTGTATTTGGTGATGTAATCGAGCTTAACAGGGATAACTTTGTCGATGCCATTGAAAAAGAAGACAAGCATGTAACAGTTATAATACACATCTTTGATGATGACACACCAGCTTGTGCCACTGTACATGGATGTATGAGAATTTTGGCCTCAAAATACAAAACTGTAAAGTTTTGTCGGATTAATACTGGAGAGGCTAGATTGTCATCAAATTTCTTGGAAAATGGTCTTCCAACCATTATTGTTTACAAAGAGAACCTGGTCATTGGGAACTTTGTAAGAATTAGTGACACACTGGGAAATGACTTTTATGCGAATGACTTGGAGACATTTTTGTGTGAATACGGCATGCTACCACATAGTCATGAGCATGCAGATGTGGTTTTATGAAATGTTATGCTTCTTGGATGAATATATACATGATTACTGCATTTTAGAAATTAACAGAAATTGTCATAAAGAACTGTTTGCAACTTTTTCTTTCTATAATTTCAGTCATAGTTGAGCCAGTATTATTCATCCCATAATGAACAGCTAGCATATAGCCAATGTGTCTGACATAATATGATGCAGTATATATATTAAGAATGTTTCACATACACAAACAGTTCTGGCGCTATTTTTTTTATAACATGCAGAACTCCCAAAATCAAAAAATGATTCAATACTGATTGATATTGTTGATGCAGTTATGTGAAACTTCTAATGTGCAATATTCATGACCCCAAAACAAGTATTGTATTGTAATGTTGATAGAGAGCTATTGCAGGCATGTCTCCTAATCAATCGGTCTTCTTCAGTCATTGGTTTTATTTATTTTATCTTCAATTTGTGTAATAAAGAATGTGTTTCAAGGAAGCATTTTCATGGCGTGTCGAATCATCTTAAGTAGAGTCCAAAACATGAGCCGAGCCTCCCCGATGCATATCAGGTGCCCTAAAGCTATTGAATTATCTAATAATTATAATAGGCTCTCATCTGACTGGCACAAACAAAGACTTCTTTATGGAGGGTGAAATGCTAGCAAATGACATCCAGATGTAGAACAATTTATTTCACCATATAATTTTATTGCACTTTCACTGTAATCTTGCAACCACACCACCACTACATATATCTATTAAAAGAAATGCGAAAGAAAAAAATTCAATTATCTGGAAATTCTACTCCCTCACCCTATTTGGGCATAATCTCGTTGCAAATTACAGCATGCTGATGCCTGCACAGATCTCCCAAGTAATGATCATTGTTTGACATTTGAGAGCGAAGAATTGACAAATTCTTAATTTTCATTTATAACAAGCCCAGAGAATATCCACCCTAAGAATGCTACAGCTGTTGCCACAAGAGCAATAACAGCATTAGTTTTACTCGCCCCTTCATGTATTCCTTCCATCTCGCTCTCGATGGCTTCACCCTGAGAGCAATCTCGTTCTGGTTTGAACTTTTCAAAAGAGTTTTCCATACTAAGTTCATTGGATTGCAACTCCATATCTAAATTGTCTTTAAATCTTTCCAAGCAGTCGTTCAAAGGCTCATCATGTAGTATATAATCCGAATACAAAATAGTTTCATTTTGGCCATTACTTGCAAATACTCTTCGCGGAAAAGAGACTGATATTTTTTGTTCCCCACCTGATAGGTCAATTGGATCCTCAGATAATATTTCAATTCTTTGGTGAATAGACTGCAGAATATCTCTTTTAAGTGCTATCACTGCTTGTCCTACTGTTGAGTTTGGAGGCAAATATGCTTTTGCTGTAATGCTTCCACAAACCTGAAGACTATGGTACAAATCAGGATTTTCTATCTGTAAAGAGGTTGGGATGAAAATTTGACATGACACTGTTTTTGCCGATTGTGACTTAACGACAGGTTTCTTTTTCTTAGACCCTTTTGCAGAGTGATTGCTAGTGGATGAAGGATTTAGTACATCTGTTTCAACTCTGTGTTTCTGTTCTATAGTAACAATAGCATTTTTCACCTGGTCTTGAAAAAGTTTCAACATAGATTTAAAAATATCGGCAGAAATGCATTGGGTTAGAACTCTTTCTGATTTAACTTTATTGATATTCAAGGTTGTTTGACAGCATTCCCACTGTATTGGAGCATCAACTATTTTCAGATCCATAGGCCTACCGATATCTTTGTTGTCTTTTACATCATATTGACGACAAGAAGCAACCAAACCATTTTTGACATCAACATGCATAACTGTCCAAAATAAAGATTCATCTGAATCCTGGAGATAATTGTCTACTTCACTGAATGTTTTTGATACAAGCTTGTACGCTTGATAAACAATTTGCTTCAGTTTTTCTGATACTTGTTTTGCTTCTTCAGTCGGTGCAATCAAAAATACACCAACAATATTAATACCTCCAGGTAGACTCGAAATTATTTGTGCTGAATGACCAGCCACCCAAGAACCTTCAACGTCTTTGACACCATTCCATTGCTTAACGTTTTCACCATCAGTCGGAGATGGACATCTTATAAAGCTTGCAATATAATCTTTGTTGCTTGTTATGTGTCCCAAAATTAAACCTGCTGTACACTTGGTTTGTACAGCTACTTTTTCAAGGTATTTTCTATGTGATTCTTCGAAAATGACCTGCTTAACCATGTCATATGTAAATGAATTAACTTTTTAAAAAACAAATGAGTTTGGTCAGTCTGATTGTTGTGATATCTTGCACAATATCCAAATACAGAAATATGAACTTGAATGCAATTTCGTTCTTTGGCTAGCTCTAAAACATTTCTGCCACTTGCCAACTAGGGTGAATTATTAAGACATCACTGAGAGAATCGGTCACGAAACCAATATAGTTTCTATCAACAAAGAGAAGTACCGGTAGGCCACTAGTACAGCAGTGCTTTTTCGATCTGTTGATGAACAAATTAGATGCAGGGGAATAGAAGTAAAATGAAACATAGAGAGATATTTTATTGTTAAAACCAAGTATACACTGCTGTACTGTGATACATTTGATTCAAGGACAGAAAAAATAATTCAATAATATTTAGTTACCGTAATGGTTATTTGGAGATTTGTGAGGGTTAGCATGCAAGACCATGACTGAGACTCCTAAGCCAACTAAAAAAAATATTTCGTAAATCAGGATAACTTTCGATTCAAACTGTATTCCTAACCCTAAATGCCTCACCAATTTCTGTACTCAAACCATTGATGACTACACAAGGTAAGTTGTTAAGGTATCAATGCTCAAACAAAACATTATGGGCGCCGCATTTGTAAATTTGACGAAGACTTTCACACGTGACGATTGTCAAACTTTCATCCAATGTATTAAAAAGCTCACCTCGATTTCATGTTGTCCTAATTTATGACCTATCCTAAAGAGGACCTATTTAAAGAGGAAATTTCTATGTGTTAATGGTACTTTTCTAAACTAAATTTTAATTTCGTACTTCGTAAAATTTTTATTTTTTTTATTTTATGATCTGACTTTTTTCATCATTAGGATCTGGCAACGCTGTCAGCGTGTCCATATATTTTAGGATTGCTCTCTTGTTTAGAAAGAGCGTACATGCAAAAAAATCATGAAGCGGAATTTGGCGATTGGCAGGGCAGATTTAGGCCTGATTAATCTAGAAATATATCATACATAAATCCGTGAAACGTCACGAAATTACAGGTTCAGTGCTTTGGGGTAGATAACGAAATATTTTCAACGCTAATCTCGCATTTAAATGTCGGGTATATTTTCAGGAGTGTTTTAAAGGGAAACCTAGCGTTGATGAACACTGTCCACTTTTTAGTAGAGAGTATCTGTAAAAGAAGCACCTTGCATTGAAGAGTTGCTTTTTCATGCCGAATGAAAGGCTGAGGACTTCCACTCGATCTCCTGTTTCCATGGCAGTGCTGACTAATTTTAGGCCTATTGTCGCGTCGAACACCAAGGCTGAAACTTTCTGCGACCAACTAATTTGGCTTGTGCAGGATTCAGTGGTGTTGTAGCGAATGTGCATTGTGTAACTATGGATTATAATGTATTTAACCCTTGAGTAACGATAGATAAAAAAAACTTTATCTGTGTGATTGAGCATGTAGCTGATAACAGAGCGCGACTTGTAGTAGGTAAAAGCTGCAACATATACACAATCGAAAACATCAGTTTATACCAGTGAACGACGAACAGTGATAAAAGACGCTGGTGCTTGTCTATTGTAACTGAGACGGCGTCGAAGCCTAATGCTGCTGTTGGTCTGCAAATTTCTGAATACTGAGAGAGATAGTGTTTATCTGTTTTGTCCACCAGAAATCATATACACAACAAAACATAATTAATAGAAAGCAAAATATAACTCAGTACAGACTGGGTGGCAACGATACGACCATGCGGTCATCGGAGTCACTTACCAGTACCACCACTACTGTCGGAAAACAGGGGATGAAATAAAGCTTCGACAAGATGTAAGTTGTGTAAGAATTTGAGTAACACGGGCTACTTTTAAATTGCTTTATCTGTTGTAAACCTGTCATTCATTTTGACATGACATATTGGTAAAATATTATAGGTTCTTGAAGAGATGTTGAAAGACGACCACAATCTCACTCAGGTGGTTTTGCATTCTATGGAGGCGCAAATCATTTATTACATCTAGGCTAGCGTCAATTATTGACATCTTCATTTACTGTGTAGCTGTATCGGTTTGTTTTAATTCCTTGCATATTTTGCTGTATGTTTGGATTTGGTGTAAAACCTTGTCTTATCTTCGTTGAATAATATGTGTAGTAGAATTCACGACGCAACTCTTTATTGACTCCAAGTTAGCAATCCCTCAGTGGCCAGCATATGAAGCGCCACGGATTGTCGATTAATCGCGCTTTAGATAATATAATTGGACACGAAATGGACATTACCATCGTTTCAATATTATGTTGTTCTTGTTCTTTGACACGTTTTTAAAAAGTCGCTTTTCTCTTCGAATACTGGACCAATTGCTTTGAAATTTTCAGTGGTTCGAGATTAATTTTTTCGCTAGAAGGCTATTACTTTTATTTATTTCAAAATTTTGCGTGAATTCTATTATTTTTTATCCATGGGAACACGGATTTTAGTCAGTGTCATGACTGGCTGTACGTTTTGATTCTGCAAAATTCTTGCTACTGGAAATTCAGAACTTTTTTGAGGGTACCGGTAGCGTCAAAGGTACCGGTAAGGACTGATTCGCTCTGGTCTGACGTGTCCATATATTTGTGCGTAGCTCTCTTGTATTATCCGTCACATCGTGTTAAAGATGGGCTGTTTTTTTCGGGTCTTTTTGAAATGAATTCCAATAAAATTCGAAGCCAGTAATTAATTATTGTATAGGCTTGTAATTTTATTAAGCCTTGTTAAATTATTGCTCCTTGTTAATGTTTAATCGAAAAACTTTGGATGTTTTCTAACCCAAGAACGCTGGTCAATGGCTATCAGGGCTTGGACCATGGCCACTTGTACAATTTCTTTCTAATTAAATTCTTATCATTAAAACTACCGGAATGGCACTGTTTTTGATAGAGTGTTTTACAACTTTGCTTGAGAAACTGCTCCGTATATCAAAGAAAGTGTATCTTCCTTACACATTGGTTAGATACCACAGTTTGACAAGCTAAAAGGCTCGGATATTTTGGGTGCGTGATAAAAGTACAGTTAAGCAAGCGCTAAAGATTTGTAGTATAATAGAAATAAATGAGATGACAATATGTTTTCACCATATACCGTGTATTAAAATAAAAATAAGGATATCTTTTCAACTTATGTGACGTCACTGTATTGTCCTGGAGATATTTTGAAAGTTTGTTATTTGTCTCTGTAAAGCCAAAAACGGAACTCTTTTTTCAAATTACAAGTTAACCGATATCGTATAAATAAGAAAAAAAGTTTGCGTCAATTAAAATATCGGAGATTGTGGTATGTACATTGAACAAACAATACATCAAAAAATTAAAAATCTTCCGTATGCTATTAAAGGGTTTGACATAACACTCCATTGGCTTCCCATGACGGCCAAATCGACCCGAATCCTTGATCTGTTGACGTAGTGTCACGTAAAACGCGTAAATATGCATGTGTTCTTTGTGCTTCCGCATTTTCCCATTTTGTTTTGTCAGATCTTGCTTTTATGTAAGATGCCAACTGTCCAGTTGAAAGTGTCGCTTGACTTGCCTATAAAAATAAACATTCAAATATCTTGCTTTGTTAATATACTACTCAAGGTTATTTGAAGTTCTAGTGAATATTTGTCAAATGAATGGTAATTTGGAGCGGCAGAATTTGGTAGCATATTCGGACCGGACAATTGAGTTTTAGAAACTATTTTGCCACTGAATATATATTTTTTAACCTAAAGGGGAATCGGAGAACAAAATTATGCAGCGTTTGGTTTACTTATTCATTGTTTGAAAAACATGTTACTTTTGACATTCACCAGCAGTAAACAAAGAAGTTGAGATACAAACCGAGTTTCTCTGTATCCCAGTCCACACAAACATATCAGAATATCCCTTTGGTAATTTCATTCTCAAATATTTCATTAGATCATCGTAATGTGTTCTGCTGTAAACATCAGCCAATCTGGAGTCACTTATCTCACAAATCTGTTTCGCTTTAAGGATGTTGGTATCCTTTGAAGAACTTATTTCAACCCAATAGCATTTTCCGTCGTACATCATTCCTTTAATTGCAACACATTGCACTATGAAAATATACACTCAGTAAGTCTGAGAAAAAAATAACGGTTTCTATGAATTTCTCACATAATAAAAAAAAAAATCAATTTATGGGATTTCTATTTCAAACTATTATTATTTTTAATAGTACAGAGCGAAAATGTTAGATTGTGGTTTCATTTTTTTCTATTATTGTGTCGATTTTATTTTCTCAAAAACTTTTCATTATGATTTTACTAGAATATTCTTCCACACAAAAATTCTCGAATCCTGACTGTCAACACTTGATTTTAATAAACTTATATGAGAATCATGTCTCGTCCAAATAGCTATAGGAGCAACCACATCTTGAGAAAAATTCAACCAAACGTTTGTTAGCTCCCGAAGTATGTGCACCAAGATGGCGCACAACCTGAACCCTAACCTGGTACACATACTATGTTCAAGTTGTGTGCCATCTTGGTGCACATACTTCGGGAGCTCCGTTAGCAGATATATATAACGCACACTCTTACTCACATTCTGGTAAAGAAGTAATGTTTGTTATTCTTCTTTCCATTGATCGTAAACGTTCAGTGATTGAATCTAATTCTGTGAACAGTTTTATAATGATGATAATATAACTTCGGTAAAAAAATCATCCATAATCGTTACATTCAAAATATATATATTTCAACGTTTATATGCATAAATACAAGCGACATACATATATGTACAAGTATGTATTTATGCCCATACAATGTTCATATTTTTTACATTAACCTGAATTGATTGCAACTTTGACGATTTGCTCTATGCGATCGTAGTCCACTTCATCTGATTGGCCAGCAACACCCGGAAGTCCACGTTGACCCTTTATTCCGGGAGGACCCTTTTTCCCTGGAGGTCCTGGCACACCTCTTCTATTAGATGCAGCAATGTGTTCGTCGCTAAAAACAGACTCCATTTCTTTACATACCATAAACTTATTTGAGTCCTGACTTCCAGCTCCAACGAGCAAAGTAAATAGCAAAACTACCAGCAGCAGTCGCATGGTTTTATTTTTTCTAGGCCTTAATTAGCTGGTTGTACTTAATATGAACCATAACTTGTAAATACTGAATCGAAAGTATATATATAATCGAAGCTTAACTCATATTGCTGCGAAACTAGACGCTCTTTCGTGAAGTGTCAAATTTTACTCGTCACCAATTGCTATTATTAATCTGGACTGTCGCAATATAGATCGGTGAGAGAATTGAATCCCAAAAATTTTTTCACCGCTTTATTTTATTAGACAATGTTTTCTTAATAAATTATAATAATAAATTATTGTATAGGCTTGTAATTTTATTAAGCCTTTGTTCTCCGCTGCAGTATTGTTTTCTAATATCACACAATTGTAAATAACCACAATAAAGATCATGAAAAAAAAGTTTATTGGAAATCAACAACGGCTTCAGTTACACAGATACAATTACTAATTAACAGTTATCTCCGATGAAACAAAGGAGTCGAGTTTCTGTGACAAAACATGCTAGAATTTCAATATCAAACTAATAAACAATTATTTGATCAACAATAAGGGTATTGACGTGGGACATTTGAAAATATTTCCGATACAACGCGACAATATCATCATGGATAGTCAGATGTGTTTTTCAGAAAAGATACCCGAAAGTTGAGAAGGTATCAAGAAAACGTTTTTAGATTTATATTCTCCATTTTTGAAATAGGTGAAGATTTGAATAGAAGTTAGCTATCACATTGTAAATCTTGTTTGATCAGAGAGCAATTATTCCAATATACAAAGACATTTTACTACAATCTGATATACACATATCCATATGTTTGTAAACAATTAAGGTCGTAAACAGCATGGGAGGTATTCATAAGTTAAATCTTACAAAAATAATTATTCTATCACAAATACAAAATGCTCACTGCTTTATTTTTAATTGTATCCTAGCTGGTTTGCACATGCATATCGGAAAGCATAGCAAATTTATTGATTTAGTGTGTATAAGAAAATTAGGTATTGAACTGCACGTCAATTCTTCTTGTTTTTATTATTATATATTTTGTATCTTTGAGTGTCATGCTGGTGATTCACCATTAATTTACACAGTAAACTGTAATGATTACTGTGGCAGATTCATCATGAATATATGAGGTGATTTGAATTTGTTTCAATTAAATCATTATTTAAAGTCTGATGGATGAATATTCTGGAACTTCGCATTCGTCTTCTTTGTCATTGTCATCGATAAGTACACCCAAGTAAACAGCAATACATTGATAAACACAAAAAGAAAAATAATCACGACCCATGTAAATAAAAGATATATACTTGTAATAATTCTCGTTAGATTTGTGTCATTTCTATTTTAAACTCTGCCGCCAATGGTGCCTTTTAACAGAAAGTTATTCTAAGCATTTGTTTTATACTGAGATAACAATGCATACAATTAAATGAGGAATAATTTTGCTTTTGTCGTGTTGAGTTTGTGTATTATGTTAGGGTTCTCACCCGCTTGGGACGGCTTCTCGTCTATATCATCTTTGGGATCCATTCCGTAGAGTCGTTTCTCAATTGCCGCTGGTATTTTTGTTACGGCTTTCCAACGCTGGAAAAGTAATCAAGAATATATATCTTTTATTGGACACGTTTAGTGGCCATAACGATCGTTTCAAAATTTTGTTGTTATTGTTATTTTGTTACTTGATTAAGTCTATATTATTAAGCCATGTCATCGGCTTACCTGTCCGCTGGGTTAAATATTCGAATCCTGCCTGTCCCTTTACTCTGTCGCAGCCAAATTGACTATAAAGTGTTATAGTCACTTTGGTCGCAACGTATTAATAACGTACGGTTATTCTACTCTGCCAAACAAAGCGCAGCTCTGCGAACGAATCAGATGTGCGTGGAGTCGTAATTTTTGAAAACCAAATTTTGGTTAAAGACATTGCGTACATCATGTCAGGGGATACTGAAAGATTCTGTCTAAAGGGAATTATAGTTAATCGTTATATTTTTTTTACTCCAGATCGATATATAACATATTTTATGTCTTTTCGTGCAACCGTTTAATTCATACAGTGCATTTCATCTTTTATGAATTTGGCCACTGATTTAAATAATAAAAAAACATGCTCGTAACCAGGATGTTATGTTTTTTTTTATTTTAAATACTTATGATGGATATTTGGTATGTTTTGAAAATGTTCTTTTTTTCTTCAAAATATTTATTTTGAAATGTTTTGGTGTTTCATTAACTTTTTAAGTTATTAACCTGAATCAACAACCTTTTAGGTGTCGCTGCCTGAAGACCTCTTGAGGTCCCTCGCGACTCCTGTCACACAATTTAAGTTAGTTTCCACTTGTATTTGTAATATTTTTTCATATATCTTACCATGTTTAAATTGTGTTGACGAATAAATGATGATTGATTGATTGATTGTCTCCGTCTCCATTTTTAAAAAATCGCTTTTCTCTTCGAATACTGGACCAATTGCTTTGATATTTTCAGTGGTTGAAGATAAAATTTTTCTCCAGAGGGCTATTACTTTTTTTTCTCGCTATGACGTCATCAAAATTATTGCCACTGGGTGGCGCTACGTGTCCATATATTTGAGCATAGCTCTCTTGTTTTTGGTATCGTGTCGCCGCATAAAAATATTTTCCTTTTATGAAACTACGTAATAAAATAACATTGGCAGTTTTAAATCAGAAAATAAGTTATTTTATTTTGAACAAGAGAATAATGCTCAAATATATGGACACAAAGTCCAGAAAAAGCACACAGTAGACTACCGATAACGCGGTCTTCACGACTTCGCCTGACCTGACCACCACATAGCAACAAACGCGGAACCACCACATAGTGCACAAGGTTTTAAAAGATATCTGACCTTGGTGACACTTGGTAGTTATAATCGTTATGTAGCCTATGATACCGCATCGGATGTATGTTAGTCGTTGATCGGATATAAAATTAACATTCGGGAGTACATACTCTCACCAAAAGTGTACTATTGACTAGATTCAAGCAGTATTGTTGTTTATGGCAAAATGATAATATACAATAGTGCTTCAGCAATACGGAGAAAACACTATGTTAACTTATTCTGTTTATTTTGCCGTGAGCCACTTGCGAAATCCAGCAAACGAAAGGTCTGATATAATCCGAAGAAGTCCATTTCCCACTTGCAGACGCAGCTGAAAATAAATAGCTCACGACCATTCAACAGCATAGCTATATTTGGGGTTAGATAGTTGCCAGCACTATTTGCTAGACCGTGGGACCTTTATCCAGTGTTTCCCAAACTTTTTCTCTAGCAGCGCCCCTTTGGACAACTTGTTGACTATCGAACGCCCCTCCGACCGAAAAGTCGAAATAAATTCATTTCTCATATAATATATTAATAATACTTTCCATGCCACCATCAGTTTTTTAAATTTTACCATGGTGCATGGTTTTACCCCCATGAGTATGGTGAAGTAACACCATCTTATTAATATCCGGTATCATTTTAGTCAAAAACAGTCTTAAACATATATTGCTGAATAGAACTCTAGCACACTCTCTTGTTAATATCTCCTGTTAATAATGACTTGTTGTATATTTGTGACAAAATTGGATATCTGTGATGCTTATCAATTGGCTGTATGTGTATATTTAGTTGATAATGGAACATCACCTTATGGAATCCCATCGTTTGTTTCAAGAGTTCCCAGTATATTTCACGGCTTCGCAAAAACAGGGAACTGAAACGTATTTTAAACTGCCATTTTCTTGTTAATAAATACAAAAATTGTTAACATTGTAGTCTGAATATTACTGAGGCCATTCTAAGCAGCCGAGAGATAGCACAAGCGAGCACATGCGGTAATCTCCAGATATCCTGGCGATGTCGTCTACGCAGCTTGGTGCCTGGGCTCACAAGTGTAGAAATCTTTTACTATAACCATTTTAAACCATGACTTTGCGTGGATGATGACTTATATTTGTTGTTTCTTGAAGGACAATTGTTTCCGAGGAATCACTATTAGGACATTTCAAAACTACAACCGTGTGGCTCATTTAATGTTCAGAACAGAAACTATGATGGTGACTTGAAACTGTTTAACTGTCTACATATATTCGAAAACATATGTAAAGTCCTAATATGCTTCACCGGTTAGAAGAATAAATCAGACTCTGATTCAAATTTTCTTTTACTTTACTTTGGCGAAACACAAAATTACGAAAAACAAATATTCTAGCACTTTATCTGGCAATTCCTATAAAGATAGGGATTATTTCAAAGTATATCTCTCTTGCGAAAACCAAGTTCAGCAGTTAAATTTTAGTTGGCCATAGGATGGTACACATATATATAAACTCACAAAAAGTTTTAAAACATCAAAAATAGAAATTTGACGATAGAACAAATGCAATACATGTGGGCCAGAACTGTTTCGTGTAATTTCCCATTCAACCCCATTAACGTGCATGGCGTTTGGCCAATTAATCAGTGATATTTTATGTAGTGTACAGTGTTTTATTCTAAATGTTATAGAATATACGCCGTAATTATGGACGACTTTAATCCAGTTAGAGCCAGAAAAAATACTAATACATTCACCATGTAGATAAGTAAGCATTCTGGCATAATAGCAAATGGTATATTGTGCCGACAATATTTACACCAGCCACAAGTGACACACTGAACTCAGAGTGAACACACATTTATGGTGTTTTAAATTTTGTCCTTTACAATAGGAAGCTTATAGACAAATTAAAGACTATATAAAACGTCCCTTGTCTAAAAAAAAGAATGCACCAACTAAGAATAAAAAATACAAACAAGTTGAAGAATACACGGAGCAAAACTACGGGAATGTCGCAATGCACTTGATAGATTGCATAAAGATAATTTTCAACACGTTGAAAATAAACGAAATATTTTTATTTTGGAATGTCAAATTATTAAACATTTTTGGCTTCTGAGAAATACACAAATAAAGGCACTAGTCATTGATATTTAAAAGAAAAGAGTAATAACGCAAAACAGCAAAGTAATAACGAGACAGGCCATTCTTCATATAAGTTATAAAAATTCAAACAAAAAATAACCATAATTATTCCTGTGCGTAACTTAAAAACAATATTAAAAATAATAAGTATAATTTTTAAGGCACCATAATGGAACTATCCACCTTTCATAAGCGTTTGACCGACCAGGTGGCATATTAACTGATGAACAAATGCAATTTAAAACTTGCACAAATAGCTTGTTATTTTGACAGTGATTGAATTTAAAGCAGCTCTTATTTGATCAGCACCTTACTTTCTAGTCATCTGCAAATTATATTGATTCAGAACAACTAAGGTTGGAACATCCGTTCTTGCAATTTACCCGTATTTCGCAGCATCGAAATATATACGTATTTGGGTTCAGTTGTAATACGAAGTCTGAGGCAGTGGTTGATTTGGATGTGGGTTCAGTGAACTACTGGAATATCCCATTCCGTGCCCAGATGATGACCACGCTGAATAGTGCTGTGGATCTGGAGCCATTCCCTGAGCATGTGAAGGGTAATTCAACGCCGGCGGAGGATGGTGTCTATAACTTCCTTTGCCGGGAATTCCTCTCGAATGATGCATTGTCATTGGTGCTGGAGGCACTGGCGAGGCAAAGGAATAACCGGGAGTCATGAAATGCATATCTCTGGAGTATGTGAATGGTGTATGATCGGGTTGTGGCTGCAATGATGCGGCGAGTCCTTGGAAGTCAAATTTGTAAGCGTACCTTTTTCCATGAACTTTGGTCATGATGTTTTTATCATAGTAGTACCTAAAAATGAATATAATTTAGTTTAAAAACAATTCAACTGAAATGTGTTGTCAATGACTTTCACACAGGCCTATCGGAGCCGCTGTTATTATTATTATTAAATGATGTTCATAATTGGTGTACTGTTGAGCACCAGACTATATTTTTCATTAAAGTACCAAATGCTTCTCCCCGTGTTGATGACGTATTCTATGACAAATGGAATGGTTTACCTGACAGCAAAACTAAAATATTGAAAAAGAATTTCATGTTTTTACAAATTAGCTTCGAATGTGGTCTTGAATAGGCACCAACAAAAATGAATATAATCACATCGTCATTTAAATACACACACTATCCGATCCATAAGCAAACACTAAATGCTATTCTAGTGTTAAATAAACACAAGAGAGCTATTCGAATAACCGGTTAATTCGGAACTAACTAAAGTGAAGAATGAATTTGCCTACCTTAATGCTCTGCTCAGTTTGTCGTAGTTCATATTTGGTTTGCTTTTTCGTTCGCCCCACCGGCGTGCAACTTCGTCCGGGTCTACCATCTTGAATTCCCCGTTTGTACCTTCCCATGTAATACAGGTTGAATTTGCCGGATCGCTCAACAGCTCTAGCAAAAATTGCCATAGTTGAATCTGACCGCTACCAGGATTAGATAATCGTGCACTTGTGGGTCCAAACAATTGGTATGGATCAACTGAAATAAAACAAAAATTCAGTTATTATTATGTTGACTAGGCATTTAATGGGCCATAACAAACATGTGTCCTTCAATGAGGATTCATACCTTTTTCCCCGGTGCTTGTAACATATCGTGGGGATCTTGATGGCCCCATCATATCGTAAGGTGGGTCATATGATGAACTTCTGGACATGCCTGGGTATCGGAAAGCACCACCTCCGTGTATAACGTCTTCAACATCGTCAGAACTAAGATTTGGCAAGAGACTTGTTGGTCCTGAAAAAATTTATTATGATTTTACGGCATATTTTTGGTATCCGTTTTATTAATAATAATAACTTGGGGGTGGTTAATTAATGACAAAATTGTAATAGAAACTTACTTCTCAAATAACTCAGGTGTCCAAGAAGAACATCGGCATTAGCTTGGCTTGTTAAACTATAAAAGTGATCTTTATTTAGTTGACACAATTGACGCCCATCGAAGGAGGCAAAGGAAGATGTATTTACACCTTGGAGATTATATTCGGCGATTGCCCATCCAAGCCATTCTTGAACATGTTCACAAGACCATACCAGAGGATCTACATAAATATAACCGAGGTGTAAGGTCAAAGATAAAATGTCATACACTGATGGATGGATTTTTAAAACGTAAACATTTTAAGTCATTTACCTGCGGGTACAATCACTCTCTTCTGTGGATCTGCATCGGATCGTTGTTGCTGTTGTATGTTGTCGTTGCTTTGTACTAGCGGCGGGGGAGCGGATGAATAAGTATTCTGGCCGTATGAGCCTGCAGCACCAGTCGGGGTGTTTGTTCTTTCAGAATCAGGTCGTGAAACACCATGATAAGAAGAAAACGATGAGGCAGCTGTATAGGGATGTGAAGTTATTCCACTGACAGCAGCTGCGAGTGTATCCGTCATTTGTAGAGGAGGTGGCATGCTGGCGGATGTTGGTCTTGAATTGGAACGAGTTGTTTCGCTCGGAGAAGAAATCGACGCATTGCCTCTTATTGTGTTCGAAGATTCTCTTTTGAAAGCACCTGAGAAAGAGGCGCTCATTTGACTGTGATAGTAATCTTGGCTTGATGTAGAATGGGGAGGTCTGAATGCGGATGAAGACATTGTGTAGTCAATTGACGAAGACGAAGTGGAAGTCAAATTTTGGGGAGGCTGTGATGACTGAAATGGCGCCATGGATGTGAGGCTATGAGATCTGGTAGATGTTGCGTCGGTAACGATTTCTGAACTTTGATCCGCACTGACTGCTAAATCTGGCGGAGTAAGCGCTCCTGATAGTTCTTCTTTAACGTAGACCGGGTCGCTGTATAGTTTGGGTGGTGTTCCTACACTAGAGGAATTATTGGAAGAAGCCATTCCATTTGTCATCTGCAAACCGATATGATTTTCCGTGTCCTGGAGGAATGAAGAAAACGATGAACTGCCGTCGTTCACGGTAGATGATGGTCCGTTGCTAAGTGCTTGGTTGATGAATGGATGTTGACCAACTGGTGGAGATACAGATCCGTTTGTGGCAAACTTATCTGTGCAGAGTGATTGACTGAAGTCTTGGCGACTGATAGGTGAATCTTTCCCTCTTGCCAAGTTGCTGTTGTGATGATTATTGTTGTTATTTTCTGGATAAGAATCAGGTTTTTGTGTACCGTTACCCAAGAATGGATCTGGATTGCGGTATAAGTGGGGTGGACTAGGGTGACGTTTACTGTCCGTTTGATTATTATACGCACGATATCGAAGATCTGCAGCTTCCACGGGAGAATGGTTATTTGCAATGTCGTACGTTCCTCCCACTTCACTGCACAAGTTAGGATCGGCCTTTCTTGCTGGTGCAGTTGGCACAAGTCCTGGAGGAAGCTCGTTTTGCGCTCGTCGTGTTTTGACAGAGAAATCTTCAGGAAGACTGCTCATACTAAAAATATGTAATTTTTGTCAAAATATGTTTCAAACGAATAAACAAGTAAATGGGAAACATCGGATCAAAATATTCTACATAGTATATATATATATATATATATATATAAAGTAATATTTCGAATCACTTGATAAGCCTTATATATTTCACAACAACCAACTGATTATCGAATAGGCTATTCATAAACGATGAATCTATGAGCTTAGATTATATTTTGCAATTCAATACGACAATTATACCATTGTTGAGTTGCATTCAAATTGTTCTTACAATCAGTTACAGTTGGAAATATATTATAATTATTTCATCATTTAATATATATATTTTTCTATTAATAAATTAGTCGATGAGAATGAATAGATTCAATGAACATCTCATATTTCATTTCGTATTACCGACTGTTGTATTTTTCACTAAGCTACTGGAGAAATTTTTATGGCGAAAGTTTATGCATTGAATATCAAAAGTCTGGCACTATCAATACCCAGGTATTGCATCCTCATTAACAGCTAAACGAGCCGTGCAAGGGTTCAAATATACACGACGTGGTCACGACTAAGGGACATAGATCAACAATTTCAGCTTCTGTTGTTGAAGGCATTAAAAAAATGAATCAACCGATCTAAAACGGTCATTCACGGTTCGTGGCCCGGTCAATTTCTTAGTTGTTTTTAACGAAATTACGTTACAACATTTATAGCGCAAGTTCTATTTACTAAATCTTCGGAGGCCTCCAATCTTACCTCAGCATTTTTCTCCCTTCTTATAAGGGTCTTTGCTCCAAAGTAAGATCTGTTCAAAAATCTGCTTTTGTGCTGTTTTCGTCCTTCGCCTGAAATGAAACAAATTCATATCAAAATTGTATTGACGTTAAATGCCATCATGCTATATATAGAGCAGAGTACGATTTTCAAAAGAATATTATTTGGTAATAACCGAAATTAAACGTGGAAAATAGCTCGCAAAAAGCATTTTTCTTGAATGGCGTACATTATAAGTTAACTGTTGATAAGGTTGATTTATTTTATCGCCGAGACGAGCGCCATTTTGTTTGTTTCTCTTGTGATAATGTGGATTAGTGAAATCAATGTCCAAACGCAAACACGGACTACAACGTGGTCAAAAAGGATCATATTCCGACGTGGAATGAACAAGAAATTAACGAATTGAATAAAAAAAAGAGCATAATTGATTTCACATTTCGTTTTCCATTCAATTTTACAATATTACACCAAAAATCGTAAATATCAGCAAATTTTTTGCAGCGTAAATAAGTTATAAAAGATTTTAGGTCAATGATTCGGACATTTGTCACATAATTTTTCCCACAATTGGTGATTTTAATAGAATCATGTCATTGCCAGATTGGCCTATTTCTCCTTACATTTGTGTCAGTCGATGACCTCGTCTAGCTAGTTTTGAATAGCGGTCGCCCACACGGTATTTTGAGATCGGGACAAATTATTATAAAACACTGAATAACAAACAGCTAGTGAGTGAACGGCTTGCCATTGCGTTACAGCCTGCGTTGGATTGTTCGCTGCCCGATTCAGGATATGACGCTGTTTCCTGCATCGGCGGATTACTACACCGCTCAGACTGCGGTTGCCATGCAGTAGCGCGTGCATGTGCTAGTGTACTTCGGCCTATTACTTCGCCCATTTCATAAATAATAATTCGTTATGATACGATTTATATTATACAAGGTACACGCGGGCATCCAAAGTTGAAATTATAACCACTGGCATCAAATTATTTTCCTTTTCACGTTCATCTTAACATAACCTCAAAAGATAACAATATTCATACAGTTTATGTTTAGTAAACAATACTGTAGAACCGTCGATTTTCCAAATCGTGGTATATGTGTTGTCGAAATGAAGGATATAGATGCTTACTTTGAATACGTATGATTCAAATTATGGGGAACGGTTTTATTATATCGACAAAATTGTCCGTAAAAATTGTACATGCGTGATAATGATTTTGTAGGGTCCGTTGAATTTAAAACGCTGGATCCCAATGTAAAGTAATTTTATAACTCGGTAAACATTGCCAAACCTTAGATTTTAACAGAATGTTGTTGTGCTTGATTTCAAGATGAAAGTTTGGAAGGGAACAACAATTCTCGCTCTATCTACCCAATCGATTTGACTTCTTTTTGGAAAAAAACTTGTAAACTTAATCACGGCTTGTTCTCTAGCCAGTTCCACGCAGATGTTTTCCATATGTACACGAGAAGTGTGTAGTGAATATTTTTATCCAAACCCAACGTTTTAACTAAACAATTCAAACGACAATATCGCGGGAAAATTTTGAATGTGTCAAACCGGGAACTATAACTGTAGTTAGGGCAGAACAATTACGAAAAGTCAATTCCACGTATTGGAGGAAGTGCTTGTGGATGCGTTTGGAAAGTTTTGCCAGTGTTGTTGCCATTTTTTAATGGCACCCGTCATTATACTTGTGAAATCCACACTATTATATATAAATATATTATCAATTATCAAGGCGAAATAGGAATTAACAACAAAACTGCTGCACACAAACAATTTAACCTTTGCATTTTTAAATGTTTTGCATGACTGGAAACTTTTCGAAAGCACAAATATTTTATTAATTGTACAAAATAAATTTTCTTAAGCGGGGGGGTACATTAAATATTTTAAACACAAGTAAACACTGAAGTATATCATAGACGGTTTTTGACTGAATTCAGAAGCGTTTCCTCCATACCATTCGCATATAGATGATAACCGGCCTAGGCCCAAGACTTCGCACTTCGGAAATTATGGAAGTACTTCAACAAAATGCGATGAATTTGCGGCAGTGTTTACTAACACTATAGTAAATTCGAATCGAGGAAACTCAGTAATTTCCGGCAAATTCATATAAAAGTAGAATTGAATCCTCTATTCCACTTTACGGAATTCAGTACCTTGCCGCCAATGTTACCTTAGCTTAGTGAGTGACAGATAGAAAAAATGAGTTGCATCCTTTTGTCAATTCAGTCTGGGTTGTGATTTTAATCAGATGTATATTTCTCTTCAATTTAACAGCTGCTAAAAATTGTTCGATTTTTTTTTTCAGTATTGGAATAACGTGGAAAATTAGTGGTGGATGTACCCACCTCCGTTCACAATGGTGAAAATATTTTTAATTTGGAAATCGATATGATGATGCTCAACATATCGCTCTGAAAGCATGCCAAAAATTGTCGAACGAATTTGATTAATGTATAACGAATTTTAAACCGGAAGTCGCATGCGCCCTAGAAGCGCTTCGAGACGCTTGCGCATAAGCTTCGCACACGCCTTCTGCATTTTTATTGTGACTCGTGGACAAAGCATTATGTTGGCCCACGCAAAAAATAGACGCGACACATCAGTGCCAATCAATCTTCTAAATGCTTTATCTGATTGTTATGATTTATGTTAATTTAAAGATTTTTGAACTATTTCTGATGCCTTATTTTCGCTAATGTACATGTTCCTTCATCCTGTTATAATCAAAAATCACTACCGAAATCGTGTTTTATATATTCTATTGTAAACTGTTACCAAAAAATGGAATCCAAACACATAACAAGCATTTTTGGCAATTCAATAGAATAGAAGCAGCAGCACTTATAACTGTACCTAATATGACCCACTTTTAATATTATTACTGACTGTATTATACCTTGTGCAGTAGGAGAATCGTTGATAAAAAGTGCTCCCAAAAAGCACCTTATTTATGTATAGACTGTATATGTATTGGAATTAATCTGCGGCTAAATACAGCAGCGAGATTTAGGCATTCAAGACACCACGCACACGCCCGGAACTCAAAGGCTCATTTGTTAACCATATAGTGACACGTGAGCAGGAAAAGGAAATTATATTCTATTTCCTGAAATTTTTCAAATCTAATCAATTGCGTTCGACAAGACTAAACTTGTTCAAATTTTCCAACCTAATCTATTTTTAACATTGGTAGCAAATGCATAAAGTATGTTACTATTTTGAGATATTACTCTTGGCCTGTTTGTCTTTATACATATTACACTATAACATGTACACTATATGTTGAACGAGCAACAGAATATCCAACATAATAAAACTGATCGGGATTCGAAAATGAACTATGTTAAATTTTTTGATTGCGAATGTTACATTAAGTTTGCTACATACCTTGAAGATATTTCCTTCCTTTAAACCAAAATTTGTATTTGAGTATTTTTTTTCTGCTTTTCTTCAATATGCAATCAATTTTCGGAAATTTTAAATTCCCTAATGTTGACGTGGCCAATAGGTTTGCTTCGATTAAACGGAAATCACAAGATGTACAGAGTATATTTGTCTAACTGCTTCATTAAAGATAAAACGAAAACAGAAGTATTAAAATTCATTACTTTGTCATATTTTTCTTACTCAATAGACTGCTTTTCCTCTCTTAATAAAAAGCGGACGGATCTAATCAAGTATATTACACTATCCCTTTCCTTGTCACCATTATAATAATTCCGGATAAAAAATACCGGCCGAGTTAAATACTTTACTTAGTTAAACAAAAGAGAAAAAGAAAAGGTAGCATAGCCTGGAACCTTTTTCTCTTTTGTACTAAGCGCCATATTGTAATAAGCCCAGTCTGTTTCTGTATGGTGCGTTATCCTACTCACATATCACGTTAATCCCCAGCCCACACTCGCCCGTTGCGACACAACAATTTTTCAACTTTTAATCCACTCCACACAGGCCTTACCGATGTAAAACGAGATCATAATTTTATGCACCAAAGAGGTGGTAAATAGTATAGTATTGATTTTAAAGCATATAAATTCTTAATCCTTAACCCTCGAGATTTCATAAAATTTATACATGATACTTCCAAATACATGAATGTATATATAGAGTTGTTTGCAAAAATCTAGAAAAGGAAAATAGAAAAATAGCGACTCACGAGTTTTCTCCATATATTGCGGGCAAATGAAATTTTAAAATTTGTCTGATCTTCATCAGTTTTGGAAAAAATAACATACCCGGTCTGTCGTCTAATTTAAAATAGCTCGAAAATATTCATGCCAATGCGGACATTAATTAAAAATAAATGTATTGTACCTTCTGGACCCCGTGTTTTTAATTGAGTCCAATCCAATTCAAACTGGACTTTGCGTTTTTCTAGTCAATGATGTAATATTAATCAAAAGCTGAATTGAAGAACTGTGAACATTTGCGGTTATTGAATGTTTATATTTACCCTATTATACGCGTTTTATTTATAGTGATTACATTTTCGGCATGCTGAAAGTTTTGTTGGTATTTAATATAGAAAAACAGATTTATTTCCATATTTTTGTGTGTGGAGTCAGTGATAAACACCTTATTATGAATTGTGAATCCAACATTCGGCCACCTATTTTGCATTTTACTCAATTTGGAAAACTGCAGGAAGAAATGAAAATTTCCAATTTAATATTGCTATATTTAAAGATTCAGTTGTCGAAATAACTTGTTCGACTAAGTTAAAATATATCATCAGTTAGAATTGGTTTGAACGATCGAAAAAGTCGCGTTAGGGAACATTTTTGCAATGAATGCAGTCTTTTTAATAGGAAAATTGTTTTCAGTAGTCCTACGACAATGATACGATAATACGGCTACCCGATGCCTTCCTATACGCAAGACAATTGGAAATGAGGTAGATAATGCGGTAGTACATCGCGGAAACAACACAAATTTTGTTTTTCAATTGTCATTGTGAATGCAATTAATAACTTATAGGTACTTAGTGGGGAAACAACGTAAAGCTATTGTGTTCCCTACAATTTTGTTTCATCTAGAGATGATGAGATTGCCCCAAGAGTATTTCTCTCTTCTCACACCACGCCTAACTAACTCACTTTGTTGCACAGCTGACTAGCCTCATGACCAAAACGAGTATTTCAGTCATCAAATAGAACACGTGCTCGCTTACTTTTTCGGTTTCGAAGCCATTTAGAAGCGCGTGTTTGCCTTTGAAACATAAATAGGTACACACCAACAGGGAAAAGTCTTATGATTGCCGCTTACTTAATTTTGCCACGCATATTTGTATTTTCTGAAACAGAAATTTTTATTTTCCTTTGGAAGCTTTCTAATAAATTACAAGATTCGATAATTGAAAAACATCTACAAATATAATAGTGTATGGGGAATTTTTAGTGAACGAAAAAAACGGTAAAATTTTGAAATATCAATGTTCTATATCATTTTTTATTGAATTAAATTCTGTATCCATAGTATCATTTTTACGTTGTAGTTATTGAAATCATAATTAGTATTGAGATACAAATTCTAATTCTGCTTTGTGTTACAACATTACAGCTGTAAAATACCTCCGACATATCACAACAATTTTATGATCGTAATATTTAATATTGTACTTTAAATTAAGTCTTATTTAAACACAAATTCATATGCAATTTATTTAGTTATCGCCTATGGACAACAAACAGTCTATAATTTGAAATTGATAGATTTAAATTTCCTATTTCATTTCATGAACCTGATTTGCATATTCTGGCGAGCGTTGAACATTCCATCAGAAAATTTAAATATAAAGATAAAAGTGGAGGGATGTAATAAAAAGTCCAAACACTTTAAGCTAAATTTGTGAATGAATGACTTTATGACATCTATTTATAAAACAATTATAAAATGAAATAATAATTTAACTGGGAAAAATTAGGAAATCCCGGTCGTTTAAAACGAAGCTTCTAGGCAGGCTAGATTGTGTATGAAATACTTCATGAAAATACAAGATTTCCCCAACATAGTAAACAAACAATCTTTGCATGAAAAGCGGTCAGGTCTGTAATATAGGATATCCCGTTTTCATAAGCTTTTGAAAACGGAAAATGAAAATCCTGTATTCTCTAATCTTTTCCTTCCTAAATTGCCCACCAATACTGGTACATTTTCATTGCCTTTTTTTGTCCGTAAGAAAGACAAAAAGTCTTATTTGTAAACTCAACTATCCTGTGAGCTCATAGGGAAGTCTGCAAATGTCACGACGTGACTATATAGTCATCTTTATAAATCATATCGCGGGTCGTCACCAAATTCGTGTCATAGAATTGAGCTAGTTGTTTTGTACGCTTAGTTCAACACGAATGATGTAAATAAACTGTAACTCTTCTTAACAAAATACAATAAACAAAAAGTACCCAAATTACTGAAAAATGAAAAAAAAAATCTTTCCTTTATCACTAGCGCCATTTTGTCGAGCTACGCGGTCTTAGTTGTTTTAGTTATAAATGCGCCAACCGCAGCTCAGCCTGCGTTTTAAGATCACGTGATCTCTGGCAAGGCGCACTGAGCATGCGCATCATGCATGTACTGCACGCGCACATACCATTGCATATTGTGCACGCGAGCTTACTTGCAAGCATACATAATTATAGTACATAGGCATGTAAAGTATTCAACCATGCTGCAAAATTTCCCATTAACCAACCAATGATATTTGATTGAAAGGACAATTGTTACTAAATTTCACAAATGGGTCTCTGAGCGATTTTAAATTATTCACATTTTGGGAAGATGTTGTTTACAATCTGAAATATGGCATTGAACAATGGATGAAATAAGGATGGAATTGATGGAATTTTACGATGAACAAATACAAAAGCTGTGACAGCGTATGTATGCGACACTCAAACTTGTGCTATTGTAGTCAAGTATGAAACTAACTTTTGTCATGCCAGTTTACTTCTGTGAGGGGGTAATTTCAGCGGAATAATAAAACAAAAAATAATAAATCAAAATGCTAAAACTGTTCGCAAAAAATCATAGCAACACGTACGAAAATTTCCGTACATATATTCTCAAGATTCTGTAATATGGTTATATATTTGGTTACATATTTTGCGTCCACAAATTTATTATGTTTTGATACAATGGCATTAAATTACTTTGAATATATCTTAGAATTAATAATTTGATACCTTTATGCTGGTGGTATAAAAATGCAAAAGAGATCTCAAAATCTCAACGACTGTTTATCCGAATAAGCGAATTCATAGATAAGATAATGGCAATTAAAATGGTAGAGAATGATTTTTCACAAGCTCGGGTTATGTTTTAATTAAGTCAGATACTTCGCCATTACCATGGAATTATATTTAAAAGTAACTGTTTCCATTTATTACTATAAAATGCGAGTAAATGTGATAAAATTGTGCAAGTACATGAGGGCATGATTCCAGTTTATTCGTAGCATGACACTGTGAGTCGTGACGAAATGAGCAGTATTTATAGCCTGTGTGTGGATAAATAGACGAAGAGTACCTACATTGACTTACATTAATGTAATTTTACTTGGATTGTATTTTCACGCATTGGACAACGCTGCATGGAGTCAAATACGCGTCCTATACGGATTAACGTTAGAATTCCTAAATTGGATAAAATACGATCCATAAACGCAAATTGCAAAGAGAAGCATAGTATCATTGAAACAATCTCAAGAGAAATTTGTTAATTTGTCGATAATATTGTGTTAAAGTCGCCATATCAAACACTCGTGGACAGCAGATTTCTCTAATCTAATCCCTATGTGCCACGGATATCCATAAGGAAACGCTAGCCGGTAACGAGGTTCCGGATTACGAGGAACACCATGGTCCTGTTGTTTGTTGTCTCATTCCATTCCCTTCCGGTTTTTGTTTTCTTTCCCCTTTCTATCAGTTCGCATCATCTAACGGCGCGGTACGGATATATATATATATATATATATATATATTTGAACGTATATATGTGATGTATTAACATTTCATGATACCGTTTAAATCCACATGTCGTCAAGCTAATAACCGAATTGCGTAAGTCATTTTTGGCGGTTTTGAGTTTTTTTTTATAAAATAGGTATTTATGTAATGCTGCGCACCTACCTGTCTGTTAGGAATTCCGAAACCCATAAAAATGGAGATTTTGTATGACATGCACATTTGTGCAATTGTTTCGTCATAATGAATTATCGTTGTTACCGCAGGACTACTGTGACGTCACAAAGGCAAAATAACCTCGCCGAAAGATTTTCTAGTTTTTGCATCTCAGATTCTAGCTCAGCGCTTATAAATTTGAATTTATTCTATAGTATAAGGAGGTATGCACTTGTGATATTCACTGTCCGAGTCCAATTCACCTTGGTTGGCTTTTATATTGGATGCGTTGCTGTTTTATTCTTTATTTTTAATCTAAGTCAAATTTCGGTGGGTTTGCAGAGCGTGTTATATTGATGAAATATATATTTTTAAACATAAAAAAATGTACCTGAAACAGATCAGCAATTTGGGGGATTAGACATCGTAGATACTGGGAATTAAATTCGTTTTTGGATTGTTTGGTTTTCAGGACTGGTGCATATAGTCAAGTTGCAAAATTGCGTATGTCCCCAAGCCATACCCACATTTCTGCCTAAGTCACAGTGCGCCATTATGACGTCACATAACTGCGTCAGACAAATTAAATTAAATCCGGCTACGATCAAAAAATTGAACCATGGCAAATTATGGAGTCTCGATGGCACAACAATATTATTAGGAAGTTTTTTACGTTTTTCTCAAAACTGCCAAAAATGACTTACGCAATTCGGTTATTAGCGTGACGATATGATATATATGTAAAAAATAGAAGTTATAATTGATTTGACATTCCACATGCCTGTTATCTGATCTGTGCTGTCAAATAAAGCTAAAAACACCGTCCAATTAACTCGATTTTGTAATTTATAGAAAATTTTATCGAGATATACGTATCCGTTTACACGAGATAGTCGTCCATATTAAAGAGTTTCGTGGGGAATTTTTTCCACCAATACATATCAGGCTTGGGCATATAAATAAAGACTGTAGAATGTCAAAGCTGACTTCAGTTTACAAACAAATTTTTTTTTCTTCAAGATTACACGTTTACGGTTGACAAAACAATAAATCTCTCTCTCTCTCACACATTTATCGATCCGTAGTTGTTTCTGAAATATGACTGACATGAAGTTTTTGCGTTTTTTATAAAAATGAATTTTGTAGTGTCAGCGAAATAACATAACTATTTATAATTAGCACACCACAGGCAATGAAATTTGTATATTGCTTGAATTCATTGAATGCTTTATCACAGTAAATAGTAGTTTTAAAACAATAACAATATTATTGTAGCAGTCTAACATTCCCATGATAATAACAACGTCCAAGTGTGGAGTGTCTAACTTTTTGTCATGAACCATCAACAAAATATTTATTTATCTTGAAGTTTGACATTTAATTGTTCAAAACTATCAATACAATGTAGCTAATTACATACAAAAATGATATATATTGGTGCGGTTTTAAAACAGCACAAACAGCACAGCAGTGTTTCGAAACTAAATGAGACTTAGAACTAATAATTTGATACCTTTATGCTGGTGGCATAAAAATGCAAATTAGATTTTCAACAACTGTTTATCCGATTAAGCAAATTCATAGATATGACATTGACAATTAAAATTGTAAAGAATGATTTTTTACAAGCTCGGGTTATGTCCCAATTCAGCTACTTCGCCATTACCATAAAATTATATTTAAAAGTAACTGTTTTCATTTATTACTATAAAATGCGAGTAAATGTGATAAAATTGTACAAGTACATAAAGGCATGATTCCAATATTATTATTAAAATTAATATTTTGTTGATGATTCATGAAAAAGAGTTAGACACTCCACACTTGCACGTTGTTATTATCATGGGAATGTTAGACTGCTACAATAATATTGTTATTGTTCTAAAACTACTATTTACTGTGATAAAGCATTCAATGAGTTCAAGCAATATACAAATTTCATTGGAATCATGCCCTCATGTACTTGTACAACTTTATCACATTTACTCGCATTTTATAGTAATATATAAATTGAATATATCAATTGAATTTCCCCGACTTTTATTTTTACTTTCTCTCCCAAATCATATATACTGATTTATATCAACCTTGTTGGTTAATTATTGAATGGATAAGTTTCTATTTGTGTTTATTCTTTCATTTATTTCAATTTTTATTATTGACTTGTTTTCAATCTTGGTGTCGCAGACTTATGATGACCATTTTTGGTCCTTCGCGACTTCCAGTCAACTGCAATGAAATCCGTTACTGTAACGCATATTTATTTTTTTCCTATTTTGAATTTGTATTTTGATTTCTTGCACGACGAAATAAACTTATTGTCTATTGCCAGCGATTATATGACCCATGTCATAGCTCAAAATAAAGACAAATATCTGGAGGAATGGCAGGAATATCTGGAATTGATAAAAGTAAAAGCCTTCTACAAAAAAATTCCAGCTTCAACTACTAAAAATTTCAAAACAATTGGTCCAGTAATCAAAGAGAAAAGCGATTTTTTAAAACGTGTCAAAGAACATCAAGAACAAGAGAGCCATGCTCAAATATATGGACACGTAGAGTCACATAATTTTGATGACGTCATAGCGAAAAAAAAGTAACAGCCTTCTTTTTATCTTTAACCACTGAAAATTTCAAAGCAATTGGTCCAGTATTCGAAGAGAAAAGCGACTTTTTAAAAACGTGTCAAAGAACAAGAACAACAACAACATAATATTGAAACGATCGTTATGTCCACTACGTGTCCAATAAGAAGAGCAAGAACAACAACAACATAACAGTGTGTCATTTGGTGACTTATTCCTGTGCCATGGCGACAGCTACCGGTCTGGGACATTTGCGCCATATTCCCGCCTCAGGTTGGTGCTTGGTTCACGTCAAATAAAGTGTTATAGTCTCTTCGGTTCGCATAACCGAGATTCTAAAAGTCTGTAAGTTCGTATTTATCCCGGGGTAATGAAAGTCGATAAGACGACTTAATCATATGGCGTACCGGTACCGTACGCACATATGTGTATGCCGCACATCTGTGTTTTAGGCCAATATGGTCTTGTGCATACATCCCGTCTTCAGTATTTATAATTACTTACTCTTTTATATTGCTTTTACGAAACGAATAAACATACATACATACATACATACCATGGTCTTTTGTCTCGTTATCAGTCCACGTCCGGTATGGTAAAGGATTAGTTAGCCAGTTATTTGTTTTAGATGCATGAGGATCTGAGTCTGACTAGGTTTATAGATGCCCTAGTCGGGTACTGGTAACTGGGTACGGTACCGGTAGAGGGGTAAGGCAAGTCAACAAGTTTATACGTCTGTATGAATCTGTGAATTGAATCCAAATTCTGAAATTTGTTATCGAATTCAAAATTTAGGTGTATTATTGGAGAGAAGGAATTTAACACTGTATTATTAACTCGGTCTGTCTCCATGTTGCATGTGCATTAAATATATTTGTATAAATTTTTTAACAAATTTGGCATAAGTTTATAAGTAGGCTAGATATGCAAGTCTTTATTAATTCTTGTTGAGAATGTGGGAATGACTGAATGATATGTACGGTAACTTATACAGATTTTCTTTGTTGACATTGATCAGTTATTAAATGTTAACGAACTCATGAAAATAAAGCGACAAAAGTTTGCTTTCATTGTACACATAACTACAAAAATGAGGAATAAAGCATTTACAGTAGGGGGGTGGGGGGGGGGGGGGGGGGTGGGGTATATTGAGCATATGGCTGTATGGGGGTAATTGAGTACAATGTATAAAAACCTCGCTAACTTTTTTGTATGTTGAGTGAATGGTTTGTACTTTGTAGCAACAATAGTTCTTATCCTATGCTTCCATTTCATTGCGTATAACTCACTTGCCTACTAATGATAAAATTGTTTTAGATGTTTGTATGTGAAATTTTTTTTGTTCACGAAAAAATTGTTCTGCAAACTTTCATGTGACACTTTTCTGATAGTATATTTTAAACTTTTTGTGATGCCTTTTAGTACCTTAGTAAAGACTCTCTTTGCCCCAGTAGATAATTTTTGTGTAACTCATTGACTTTTTGTTTTATTGATGTTTGAAAAAATCGAGGTAAATTGAGTCTGTCGGAAATTTACCGTGGGGTAAATCGGGTATATTCATAAATGGCCTCTCCCACTGCTATAACACATGATTATAAGGTTCTGTGTGACTATTTCGAGCCCTAACACTTTTTCGTAGCCGTTATCACGGCCATCTTTCAATATAGGCTTCTATTTTTAATGAATTGAAAAAGAATTCAGGCGAAAACTATATAACGTCAGTTGAAAGTATATACCATTATACTGATAGGATAGACTTAAAACGGATATGATTGGTAGAAAAAAGAAAAACAGCAAAGAGAAAGATCATAATATTAGTTCAGAAAAGCAGTAACAGAGTCAGAATTAGATTCGGCTTTATTGACGACGAGACAGAATATGAAACAGAATTCTCACATAGTACAGCTGATTATAACAGAGGACTAACTATAAGTAGCCTATTCTGACATTAATGAAATCAAGACCTTGACTGGCTGGTTGAAATATGGGGGAAGGAAATTCCTTGGCAAAGTTGCCCTCACCAATGTATATAAAATGAACTTTGTATGATACCAGTGTATGAAAGAGCTCGAAGATTCTGTGTTAAATTTAACCCAAAATAGGAACATAAAAAGTATCTCTGTTAAGGGAGTTGTTGGCCAAGTCAAACCACCCATTTCTAGTCCATAGTGAACTTGTATTTGAACTGAAAGCCTATTTGTGGTAAAAAGTTTATGGAAACCATAATTGCGATCTATCATACCAAGTTTAAAGTGATGTCAGATAATTATGTTCCAAGGTTTTTGTAATTACTATTTTTTTAAATAAACTATATGTACCCAAGTTTCTCATGAAGGTCTTTGATTTGGTTCTAGGGCTTTCTTAGATTTGATTTAACTGGTAGATGTCAGTATACTCAATTATCCTCGAAAAATGAGGTAAATTGAGTATACTGACTTCCAAAAAAAAATTGCATTTTAAGGTGAATTGAATACATTGAATAAGACTCGAACAGTTATGCAAGGTAGTACAGAGTCAGAATGTTACAATGAAATCATAATTTCACGAAGAATCGATTTCACTCAGATTTTACATCGGTTCAAATGTCAAAAACTACTCAAATACCCCCCCTATTTAATTTTTATGTTATAAATATCAGAATTGAAATTTGTGGAATTTATACATTTAGGCTATATCATGTTTTAAATTTCTATAGCATTGTATAATTAATAATAATAATATGTCTATATGACTCTCAACCATGTTTAAATGAACCAGGGATGATTTTTCAAAAATTTTAACACATCCAATGGAAAAGATTTGAACATGCAAGATTCAGTCTCAATGTTTCTGTCAGCAAGTGACAGTGTCAAGGTATGGGATGCAGAACATATGAGAACATTAAGGCAGTATAATTGCCATGATTCTTCATCTGGTTCAAACTTTAAAGATGTTGCATGGAATTATGATAATACTGAACTGGCAAGTGTATCCACAACTGGAGGTATTGTCTTGTATGATTGGGCAAGCAGTGGAGGAAATAATAATATAAACTATCGAGAACTCTCTGAAAGCACTGAACAAACTTCTGTTTGTTTTGGACACACTGGCTCCTCTCTATTTTCTGGTGGCACCACAGGGGATATAAATTTATGGAATTGCAAAACTGGAAAGAGAGTGAAGACTTTCAATGAGTGCCATCAGTCACCAGTCAAACGTATTGATAAAATAGCTGAAGACAAAGTAGTTTCTGCATGTGCTGCAGGGGAAATTATTGTATGGAAAATAGAATCTGGTTCTGTTTGTACAAAATTAAAAGCATCTAAACCACAGTCTGTACGTGGATTGGAACAGTCACCGTGGGTGACAACTACATTGGGTACCACATCAGACGATGGGGCTGTTCATATCTGGAATACTGAAAAACAAGCGACGAAACATGTATTTACATCTCATGATGCCCCTGCAATGGATTTATCGTTTTCCCCTTTGAATCATTTACTACTCTCATCGTGTGGATTGGACAAGAAGGTTATATTTTATGACATTCAGGGTAATAATGTTGTTAAAACTATAAACAGTAGTCAACCATTGACTGCAGTATGTTTTTTAAGTAATGGTGTCCATGTATGTGCAGGAAGCTCCATGGGAAACATTTATAAATATGATTTAAGGAAAGCCGAAGAACCTTTATACAGTATTCACGCCCACTCAACCTCAATACAAAGGCTTGTTTCACAAACAAGTAAACAAAAATATCTTCGAAAAAGCTCAAGGACATCGAGATCTAGTTCTTCTAAACAGTCTGGGCAGAAAACACAAAAAAAAGATACACAACAAAAGGATGAACTGAAGCCTTCAGCATCAGAAAAATTCAAAAGCAATGCTAAGTCACCACAAGATCACGCAAAGAACAGAAGATCCTGGTCAAACAAAGTTCCTGATATTGAAGTTTCATCCAATGAGATAAAACCGATAAATGGTGATGGTATTATGAGTCCTACCAATAAAATCATACCTGGTAGGAATAGCCAACTTGAAAAAAATATAGGTCTTCAAACTCCTGCAAATCGAAGTGTTGCATCAATTCGAAGAGACACTATGGGCTCGTACTGTGAGGGAATATTCTCTCCTGTTGCTAGTGTGAACGATAGCATACAAGATGATGCAGCATTCATCCCTGCAAACCCCAGTCAAAACAAACCTCAAAGGACAAGCAGGGGGTCTTTGCTTCCAAACTCTGGTTTCATTCATCCTATTACAAGAAACTCTGCTAATCGTTTGCCTTCGGAACAAAATGGGGAAATAAATAAAGCTCATACTCCATTCACTAGAGAAGAGGAGAGCACAGCTCGGGGTAGCATCAGTGGACAGCTGGGCAGAGGCTCACGGAGTGATACAAGGGTAAATCATTCAACTCCTCTTATGAACAGTGCATCAGCGATATCAGTTAATGGCGCAACAGCATCGAATTCCTCTCTCAGTCCAACCAGCGAAAATGCTTCTGGGAAACTCCGACCGCAGAGTGAGGATTCCACTTTAAATGATTTTGTGAATGGTGGTGCAGTCACAGATGCGTCGTCAACACCCCATCTACAACCAGACTATATTCAATCAAATCCTTTTCAATATCAGCTCGATTTTCTACAAAACACTGTACAAGAGATGGTGGAAGAACATGAAGATAACATTCGTGATGAACTAAGACATTTGCATTTGCAATTGATTAAAATGTTTGCGGAACAAAATGAGAGAATAAGGCAACTTGCTGAGCAGTCATCTGTAAATCCTCTCCTATTACAAGAAATTGAAAGATTGCGTATTGAAAATGATAGATTGCGAAGAAAGTATTAAGTATGGGGTACCTTGCTTCTGTTATCGAATTGAATGACAAAACAGCCAGGTGTAAAAAAAGTAATTCGTACCTTGCTTCTGTTATCGAATTGAATGACAAAACAGCCAGGTGTAAAAAAAGTAATTCGACAATCGACTTGTGCAAGAACCAAACCCAACTATGATTGGAATTGTTTCGCCAAACTAAAAGTGTCTTTCAGAATTCCTTCAGAGTTATACAATTTATCACAAAGTTATCCTTTTTTTTACAAAGCGTAGTGTCTGTTGTATTCAACATCTGACATATGGCAAATCATTGCAAAATGCTGATAAAAAATGTTCTGATTAAGTTTTTTGTCATATATATTTATATAAATCATTGGAACATTTGATTAAATTCAAGTTTAAAAAATTTATTATGTTATTATACTAAATCGAATTATTCTTTTGGGGGAATAAATCTGTATTTAAATTTTGTCAATATGTTGCAACAGTTCACATTTGATGAAAGTAAATCAGATGAATGTTCCCAGCTCTGTTAAATTCCATGCTAATGGTTATGGTTAAATAAAATTGTTTTGTGAGGAGTCTACAGACCTTTGCTTATTTAAAAAATATTTACTGTTTATACAACTTTCTAACCATTCATAGTTTCTCAATTAACAATGCCCAATCCAAATAACTTTTAATCTATACATTATTTGAGAAGAATGTTAAAGTGCCTTTTGCCTCGGTTTTCTACTAGAATTGTGTCGTGATGCAGCTGGCTGTTCACTCTTGATGCCAAAGTTTTGTTTATATGATGCCTTGCGTATCTCAATGTTGATATTCTGTGCCTTTTGTGAATTGATATCTATAGTAGGCGTAGCGAGATAGTTAAAGATATTACTCTTGCATGCTTGCCTAGATTTATTTGTTACCAAATATAACGTTTCAATATAAATAGCAAGTTTTTTAATTCGTAAAAGCAAGGTGTATCGAGTGTATTCTAATTATTCTATATGGTTAATTGTAGTAACGTGTCTCTAACTAATGCTCATCTTTATAAAACACCTTTATTGAAAAGTTAAAAGTTCTTGAACATACAAAAATTGTATTCTGTAATGTTTTGCTAGTCAGTTGATCCAAATTTCTGCCTTGTGAGGATACTTGTCTTGTCATTCTCTTCTCTGATTCAGATTATGATATTTTTGCTCAATTCATCAAAAAATCCCCCTTGCTTAAATATGTAGGATTGTAACTTGTACCAAGTTATTTATTATCTGAAATATTACCTGGACCGCTATCATAGATTGCAAGATGATTGACACTGGGTATAGTCAAGGTGAAGACACTTCTATAAGTTTGAATAGAAGACTGATGATAAGAATATTTAACAACCAGTTAAAGGAGCAAGAGTTCAAAACTCTCAGCTATGTTGCGCAACCTTATTTATCCCAGCATCATTCTAAATAATTTTCTTATGTAAAGCTCTGGGAGGACAAACTAGAAACTATGATCGCCATTAGCTTATCTCAAATAACTGACAGGAGCAGTAGTACTCGATTCTCAAAATCGTCACAGTTGCTTTTTTAATTGCAGAAAGTGTACACATGATAAGCATTAATAAAAAAAAAAATGATAGATTACTATCACAGTGATTGCACAAGTGTGTTGATGAAAAATATCAAATTGTCAATTGTTCACTATTACTCATAAGATATGCTGTACTTCATATAACAGACTAATCATTACGAGCATGATTGCTTTCACACTTATAATTTCATATCAAACAGGTCCTTCCTTGTATGTTTAGTTCTGTTCACAACAGAGACTGAGTTATGCTCTTGGAGAATTGTAATGTACGAAGCTAATAGAATTTTTGCTGCTAATTTTTTTATGAGCGTACAGCGCAAAAGGGAGAGGCAGGCGTTCTAAAGCGAAAACATTAAACAGCAATGGCAAATTCATAACACTTTTCCAGGATTCATTATGCCAAGTGGATCAAAAGCTGTCTTTATAGTTCTCATCACATTTATCCCTTCATCTCCAACCTCTTTCACCAGCAATTTCTTTTTTCCTAGTCCAATTCCATGCTCTCCAGTGCAGGTTCCTCCCATGGATAATGCTTTCCTGGAAATAGGAAGAAAATTGCACTGTCTAATACAATTACAGAATTTTTGCCAGTTAGTATAGTCAACCAATATGTCTTGGTTCTGGCACAATATTCTGGTGAACCATACTGGCAACGACTTTAGCCAGATCATTGAACTATGAAAGCAAGTGATCAGGAGTAAAATCAAGATGCATAGAAACAATGCTCAAATTTATGGACACCAAGGCCAAACAAAATAGTACAAGTATCTAATATTTTGCAGTAGACACCAAAGTCATCACGGCTTCGCCTGACCACCAGAAAGCATCGAGAGCTATAATTTTGATGACGTCATTGCACAGAAAAAACAAATCCCAACGAACAGAAAATATAAATAAATAAAAAGAATAGCCTTCCAGCAACAACAATAATCTTTAACCACTGAAAATTTCAAGGAATTGGGCAAGCAATTAAAGAGAAAGCGATTTATTCATAACGAGAAAAAGAATTCTAACTGCATCAACAACATATACCAAAACAATCTATAGGTCCAATTTGTGTTCAATAAAATTTAATTCCAAGTTTTAAATGATGCATTTGATTATATCCAATCTGATAATTCATCTTCAATAAAGCAATTCGAAACAAGTACTATGTTAGTTGGTTTACATCTTCATGTCTAATTATGATTGCTTATTTAAAATACTTACTGTGCAATCTCATTAGTGATTTTTACAACTAACTCTTGTTCTGCTTGTGAATCCGGATCGATGCATATCAAACAATGAAAATTTCCATCTCCTACATGACCAACTATTCCTGCAGTTAGACCACTGCTTGCTATCAATTCGGAGGAAAATATAACTGCTTCAGGGAGGCACGATATTGGTACACAAACATCTGTTGAGTAAGCCTGAATGAGAAACAGATATTCTTAAATATTATCTTGGGCAGATTATTTCAGATGAAAAAATTGTCACTCTCATGTTATTCTTGGAATGATAAATGAAACAATAATTATGAGACAAATTCTTGATACATCTTAACCTGGTTTACTTTATTTGATACAGTAGAGGGCAACAAACTATATATAGTATTGATAAATTCCCTTTTGCAGTTCAAAAAGTTCGAAGACTTGATAAATGGCCTGAAATTTTCAGTTGCATAATATTCACCAATTACATTACTCCAATATAGACAATTCAATAGATTTAAAAAAATGTTGAGTTTAAGCGATGCTATTTATAAAAAAATAATTAATGATTGAATTATAATGGAATCTTGGTTTTGAAAAGAAGTAAGTTTTATAAACATGGGGGAAAATGTGAAAACACAATATCGAAGATCAACTTGTCCATAATATCTCGAAAGGTAAATTTCATACCTTACATCCTGGTACTAATGCAATCATTGCATACAAAATATCATGTCGAGCTTTCCATAATTTATTTCTTTCTTCCTGACTTTCAGCCCAACTGAAGTTTGAGCCTTTATTTGCTTTAACGATGTCAGCTTACAAATAAAAAAATGTTCTTCTAAGATATTTGTTGAGTCACAATGAACTTCAAGCACTTGCACCATACACAGCATTTTGAAATACTTACGCCTAGTCACAAAAGTGTTGCTTCAAAACGGAAAAGTCTGAACACTAAAATCAATCGGGTCGTTCCTAACTGACATCAATGAATACCAGTAGAAAAACGAACTAGTATATATATTGGCTTACCATATATATAAAACAAAAAACCGGGATAGTGCAGATTGGACAAACCTTGGTTCAATTCTCAGGCTTAGTAATATTCAAATCATTAGAAAGCGTGCAATTTCTTTTCAGTATTTTGAATAATTTAACGACAGTACAGCTAACGTTAGATGTTAAATTGACGTATTAAAAATATAATAATTATGACATAACAATATAGTACCTAGTTCTTTCTCTCCCACTGAAGTAGTGACAAATCAGTGATAACGACTGCCTTCATTAACAAAGAACATTTTGTATTGATATTAATAAATAAAAAAAATATTTATGATTGCCATACTACATGACCCGCACGTTAAGTTCTACCGGGCACTATATATGGATGCTATACATATATCAATAACTACAGTAGCATGCACATACCTGTCATATCAACTTGCTCACGAGCGCCTTTTTCAGTACCATGAAACTCAAGAAAAAGTGATGGCTTCACTGGATATGATAAATGACTAAATTTATTGCATGCTTTGATCATATTCGTATCGAGAAATTCTATAAAGAAAAATACATAACTAATCAACATAAAATCGAAATTTGTATTATAATTTTAATCAGGCACAAATATGAAGAAATAACCTCTCAGGATGCAATGAGTGAAGAATAAACCAGGTTCAACCTGTTTCAGAAAGCACACATCTGCGAGCGAGTGAGTGGTCGGAGGCTTCGAGTAAACTTGCCAAAATTACTTAATAATCAATCTACAGAAATCCTATCTAGTTTTATTTTAAAGTCATAAAAAACAAATTGGGCCAAGGAGGTATAAATAGAAAAATAATAAATTTTAATAAATCTTTAGCAGATATTCAGATACCTATCCTTGCAATTGGTATTCCACATTGGATGACGTTTGTTGAACAAAGAACTGCATCCTCTACAGATTCAAATGCACATACAGCTGATAGAATCTAAAAGCAAATGCAGATGGAACAAGTCTATTGCAATTCTTTCTCATGGTCTCAATTTAAGAATAGTTGGGACATTTTTTCCAAATCATTTTAAATAACAAATAAATATCCTAGTTTTAGTTGATTTTTTTCTGACAAAAATATCAGACTAAAACATGTTTTATAATCATCTCTAGATATGGGAACAATATTTTATTGTCTGTACATTTGATCCATGATCGAAAAATGCTGTGCAAATATATTGCTTTTGAAAATATCTGTGTCAACTTGTATTTTCAAGCCTTCATTGTAAACTATATAGTTTTCTATACAATCAGTAAACGATCGGTCGGAGACCGAAGACTTATCGATCGGAACTGCGGTTTCTATTCATGACTCTATAGTGACACCGCGTGTCCCATTACTGATTAATTAATATCTCGCTAATTATAAGACATAATTCATCCAAAATCAATGAGCTTCTGGTCCGAGATATGATGAATGCACATGCAAAATTTGAAGCAGATTCAACCTCGCCTTCGTGAGATATCGCGTTCATCTAACAGACAAACAGACAAATACCTATCAACATACTTACCGATCTGAAGATCGATAAGTAACAATGGGGGCTAAAGCAATCATAAAAGGTAATTCTCACAGAATCAGGTACAGGATGTAATCTCAGTGTTGCTGAAGTTATAAAACCCAGTGTTCCCTCTGATCCAACAAAAAGATTTGTCAGATTGTATCCAGCTGCACTTTTTCTGAAAATGTATATGTGGTGCATACCAATCTTCATTTTAATTTTTTAAAAAATCACTGAATTCAAGACAAAACAATTACTTGAATCTTCTTCTCTCACCAGCAGTATGAATAATTTTCCCATCAGGTAAAACAACTTGTAAATTTAGTATATTTTCTTTCATTGTTCCATATCTGAAGTATGAAAGTGGTGTATTATTTGTCGATTAATATCTTTTCATGGGTACCTGAACACATTCCCTCTACTAGGCAGTAGGCACTATTATGGAAAAGTTTCTATTTTCAAAAGACCAGATCTTTCTAATTCTGCCTAGGCTACCTAATTTATTGCACCATGGCCAGTGAGACTGCGATACCAATATAGTTATGTCTAATGGGGACATCTTGTCCATCTTAAGGCTATTTATCCAATTATGTTATATTCATTTCACATAATAACATACCTCACAGCATTAGTGCCTGATGCACTAGTTGCAGCCATCCCACATAGAGAAGCATCTGCCCCTGGATCCACTGGAAACCACATTCCACTGTCTCGAAGATGCCTGAAAATAAAATAAAACAAGATAAATAGCACCTTAATATTACCTGTTGAAAATTCAATAAAGAAAAAGCATTTTAAAGCCGGTTGGGTTCCAACCAAATGCCCTCCATCTAACCGAAGATGTAATATGGTAGATGTGGAATATGATGAACTGGAAAAATTTCAGTCTTTTCAAATAGTCCCTACATATACCTGCTTGTCTATGGCCTTGTTTAGAGTGAAGATGTGAAACACCTTGTGATAAAAGTCTAAGAAACATACTGATTGAGGCCCAGGCGTGTCACACCAGGTTGGACAGTCACATCAAAATCCTCAATGTTGACATCAATTATTTCATCCATTTTCATCAAGTTGACACAAACGCCACCCTAGAAAAGTACGAGGCCATCATTTTTTGAACATAAAAAATATTTGAAGCGCAGGCCATATCTAAGAAGTAATAAATATTTAGTTTATTAACAAAAAAATAAATCCAGAAAAATTACTGCTGCTTAATTCATAAATCTGATATTAAAATTTTAATCACAATTTATCTCACAGAAGTTGGTGCCACTCCACCCTCAAGTCCAGTTCCAGTACCATATGGAATCATTGGTATTCGTTCAGCAGTGCAAAATCTTGCGAGATCGCTGACTTGGTTGGCATTTGCAGGCCATACAACAATATCAGGCAGTTTTCTCCTATTAAAATGACTATAATGAGATATGTTGAAAAGCGAGAAAAAACGAGCAAGAAAAAACATAGCGAGAAAAAAATTATTTTCAATATTAAGAACAAGTATTCAATAAAATAATATAAACAAACTTATCTCGACAAGAAAAAAACTTCCTTACACATTTTGTTAAAATCAAGCACAACAATCAAGGGGTTTTGTCCACTAATCTCGAAAAAATGTTCTGAAAAATAAAAGGATCCAAGACCCAAGCAGGCAAATAATCTAGAACTATTATGCAATTTGATCAAGTTACTTTTCAAGCGAATGATTGAAAAATTCTTACATACACCATAGAGATTCATGTTATATTTTCCCATATTGTGTTTACTTTTTTTTTTGGGGGGGGGGGGAGATTTATTCATTTTTCAGTTACCAATTGGAGTATTTCGATCACAGAAATAGTCAATAAATAATTTCACCTGTGATACGATTCATCATGGGAATGTTGTTCCAAAGTAGATGGAGCTTTACTTATATTTTTGGATCCAACAATTTTTTCAAAAGCTTCAAACATTTGTTTTGAAGGCTGCGCTATGCTTGATAATGATTTTGAAACACCCTAAAAATAAAATTGTTGCTGTTAACAATTTTACAAATACTGTGAAAGAGTAATCAAATGTTGGTAGGTTGAGAGGAAAAGATTTTCATATTTATCCCAGGGGATAAAAAAGACAATGAGACATCTTGATTATATGGAAGTATGGTGATGGTGTAATCAGTCTTTTTTGTCATGGTATTTAGGCGTTATTCTCAAGTAAGATCTTGGGACATTCAAACCTTGTAAAACAACTGAATTAGTAGTAATAAATTCTATATTGGTGTATAATGAAGATTGCAGATACTTCTGAAAAAAGTGCAAGATTTTATCGATAACATTGTGTAAGCTACTCACCACTGTTGCTGCCATGTAAGTTTTTAACGAAATCTTTTGCCACATTTTTAGTTCTGTAGTTACAGGTATTTCTTCCGTCTTCAAACAAAATATTCTGAAATTTCAGTTAATTGGCATGCATTACTAGTAACCTGTACAAGTGGGAAAATAAAATACCGATACTGCTTGGTAAAAAGCGATAAGTATAGACAATTTATTTTATAATGCTGTAATGCAAGAAGCATAAATAATTACATATCGGTAATTAGATTATAGAATTCATTGCAATTAACACTCAGGCCACTGACGACCAAAACAATACTATACTGCGGCATATCGGTACAGATAAGTAAAAATAGGAGAATTATAAGGAAACTTTGCAGAGTGCAAATCATAAAAACCAAAACAAACGGGAACACACCTCCACCACTCCCCCCGAAACAGGAACCTAAAATATATGTTTGTGCTTTTTAACAGCCTTTGTCTACGGTCAAGGAAAATAAAATACATAACTTTTTAATTATCAATGACTCGTGTTTACAAGAAAATACAAGTCAATATGCCTCACTATTTTCAGATATGTCTCACCATAATTTCAAGCTATCTCGTGATTTATACACTGAATGGCGACAAAGGTGCACGAAGAACGGTTTGCCCGTTGAGGAATATTCCAGTAATCTTACTCCGTGCGTTGAGAGCGGTCGTCTTGTCAAAGGGGTTTATGGTTGTATTTTGCGAAATTTTGGTGCATTAGGAGCAATACTATGGAGTTAAACGGAGAATCTTCCACAAACACGTCAACACTTACTCCGAAATATGATTGGTACCAGACCGACACTTACGTTGTAGTAACAATTATGGTAAAAAGAGTCAAACAAGAAGAATTCTCAACAAAATATGGTGAACAATCGCTGTCAGTCAAAATTCAACGTGACACTGGGGAAAGCTTTGTTTTAAATCTGTCACTATCGCACAAAATATTACCAGATAAATGTACATCGCGCATAATGTCCACGAAAATTGAATGCAAATTAATGAAAGCAGAAGGAATACGGTGGAGCTTGCTGCATGGTGAAGATAACTCACCTACTGCACCTATGCCAGCACCAGCTGCATCAACAAATATAGACGACGCAAATAAATATCCATCTTCAGCCCATTATACAAGAGACTGGGATAAACTTGTTGCTGATATCAAAACCGAGGAAGAAAATGAAAAACCAGAAGGAGATGAAGCCTTGAACAATTTCTTCAAAAAAATATATTCTGATGGCGATGAGAACTTGAGAAAAGCAATGAATAAATCTTTTTCAGAATCTGGGGGAACTGTGCTCAGCACGAATTGGGGTGATATAAGGAAGGAAAAAACTGATGTCAAGGCACCAGATGGAATGGAATTTAAAAAATATGAAATGTAAATAAGTCCTGAGTAGAACTTCTCGGAACTACAAACAAAAATGTTTGGTCATTCGGTAGTTTTTGTCATTTTGCTGTACTGTATATCAATTTTTATAGTGTTGTTGAAATCAGGTAATTTATGAATCCTGATTAAAAATGCTGAAGATTTACAACAAAAGAATTTAACAACTTGGAAAATTGTCTAGTCTAAACTTATTTTATGTTTTACATCTCATCACATATACATTTGATTCAAAACGTTCCGATAAAAAGATCTGATCCATTCTATCAACACCAGTTAATTTTAGTATTTTCAATCAGATGTGCTTTAAACTTTTTCTGTTTTTCTCTTTAATGACTACTTCAAGCAATTTTGTAGCTTTCGGTTGTTTGAAAATATGCAAAAGCTGAAGATCTGATTTTGTTGATTACTCGCTCATATGTATCGAGTTTCTGGAAATTTACATCTTCATTTCTAACAGATATTAAAATAATTATTTATTGGTTAAAAATCTCATTCACCATTTCATGTGTCACATTGTCAAATACCTTTCTTCCAAAGTTAAGAGGTTCAGAATATATAATCGATTAAGATATTGTATTGTATAAAAGAATCTTTGAAGAATCTTTGATTAACATAAGTTTCTTTTATGCCAACTTTGTTGTGGTAGTTTATAATTTTTTTTTGTCATTTTTAGATATCCCATATATTGGTAGATTTATAAAATGAGTACTTTGGTGGACACATTAGATCCTCCTCCACCATGCAATACAATACAACCTGTTATACATAGAACTCTGCTTTATAATGGTTCAAAATTCCGTGGACATCAAAAGAGTAAAGGAAGTTGCTATGATGTTGAAGTTACTTTGCAGGTGGATACTTTTTGATGTAATAAGTTGTTTTTGAATAGCCTATTCTTCGATCTTTTTACATACCTTCATTAAAGTATACTAATGAATATAATGATTTACATGTTTCTAGCATCTGGGCAACTTTTTTCTTTAAACTCAAAATATTTTCGGTTGATAACTGAATTAATTGCAATTCTTTTACAATGCAGTTGATATAAAATCAAACGCTTAGTTCTATACCTATTGCATCAAGTTACATTTACTTTTGCACCCCTACTGCAGTCTAATTGCTAATACAGTATACATGTCTCTTATTGTCACAATTGACAAGCTTTAAACTTTGCTCTTTGTTTATATATTATAGCAAGTTGATTTGGATACTTCCTATCTCTGCGGCTATTTAAAAATAGATGGATTAACGGAGGATTTCCCAACTATGACAACATTTTTTGATGGTGAAATAATCAGTGAACGATATCCTTTCTTGACAAGAAAATGGGAAGCTGATGAGGAAGTAGACAAAAAACATTGGGTTTGTTCTTATGACATTTTATAGTTATTTGAAATGTATTGATATATGGACGATTTTCTATAACTTTTTTTTTATAATGTGAATCATAAAAAAAAATTTGAATTATTCTTTTGTAGAAGATATTGATTTTTTTTCTTATTTTCACAAGTTTTCACGGTACTAAATTATGACTGATAAAATTGTAGAAAGCACACTGTTTATTGTACATATTTATTGTACAATAACGAATACCACATGTACTGTTTATTGTATTGTAGAGTACATACAAAATATTCTGTTTCCATGCAATATTTCCAGCGGATGGTTATTTCATCATTTGTATTTTTAAACAGGGAAAATTTACAGCATTCAGTCAGTTCGAAAAGAGTTTCAACACAGATGGTTTTGATTATAAAGAACTTTGTGATAGTGATTATATTTTCATGAGATGGAAGGTAATTATGGTAACTGCTGTTTATAAAGTATACCTATCTATGTCTGAATAGATTCAATATTCATATTATGTTGTTTAAATTTTACATTTCTGAACAGTGTACATTATAATTCCTGTAGTTTTGAAGTGTGTGGGAATTAATCCATGAAAATCCTTGTTAAAATATTCATAACAAAACAGATTTTGTCTTTCATCATTAATTTTTGATAGTAACCATTTCAAGAGATTTATATTTACTCACGGAAATGGTGATATAATGGGAACAATGAGACTTTAAAGCTAGAATGTCTTGGTTCTTCTTGGATTTAAAACATCTATTGTTGAGCGTCTTTTCCCAAATACACCATATGCCATACATGATTTTCATTCTCACTAACAATTTATTTTTAGGAGCATTTTTTGGTTCCTGATCATAAAATTCAGGACATAAATGGTGCATCATTTGCCGGATTTTACTATATTTGTTTTCAAAAGTCAACTGCTTCTATTGAAGGATATTACTATCACAGAACATCAGAAATGTAAGTTGATCCAAGTTTCACATACAAATTCACAAAAACAGTATTTCAACAAGCAATAAATATCCTGTACACTATAGAATTAAATATTCATATCTGCTTATAAAAGCTATAAGTATATGTGACAATTTTTTATGCAGTGATTACTGCAAATCGAACATATAAGTCATTTCAGGAAAATTCTGACCTATTTCAATCGAGATCACAGTTTTTATTTTATTTCTCATTTATGATTTATCTGTGACTTGTTCGATTGTGAAATTCAAATCAGTAATGAATTATATTATCTTGTTGGTTCCAGGTATCAGTCACTCAACTTGAAGCATGTTCCTGAATTATGTACAGCCATATACTTGATGAGATGATGAACGATTGTTTTTTAACATACCCTCGTCTGGAATTGGGAATGTTTGTGGTTTTGCGCCACAGACTGGTCGTTTGCTTGAATGGATTGGTTGCGAACCTCACAAGCGGGATAGTATAGCAATCATACATTTGCTGAAGTTTTATGTTATTCACCATAAATAATCCATCAACAAAATATGCACTCTTCTCAGGCGATGTTTTGAGACAACAAATTGTGTCGTTACTGCTGATTAATTCTCACTTGTCTATGTACTAATGATAAGTTATAAAATTGAAGAGGACATTGCATGCTAATTCTGATGATTTCCTAACATCAGTTTCCAAGCTAGAAACATAACCGAATCTGTAAACAAGTTCATGCTGGGAGGTACTATGCAGATTTATTTTGACCTTTTCTTACCATTTAAAATTTTCCAGAGTTACTATTGGGGCAAGACTTAGGTGGCGAGCAAATCGAGCAAAACCAAACGCATGCTTCAGCCAGTGCTGGGCTAACCTTACCCATAATCACACTAGCTATGCAACTTCTTCAGAAAATCAGATCGAAAAATCGGCTTGTTGATCAGAAAATACGCACTCGGTAGGTACGATGGCACTGGAAGACTGTTATGAGAGATTTACTTTTGCATTATCGTCTTTAGACGTAGGCTGCAGGCTGTTCCTGCGATTTGTTTTCGGATGCATAGACGTTATGAGGGAGCCGTAACCGACCAGCGGTCGCGTGAACCTGCCACAGCTGGGAGTCTTAACATTCCTCTCTTGCATGAGTAGCCCCTGAGAGGGTCAGAACCCAGGGTAATCGGAGGTGCGATGGCGAGCGTATTCCCAACGCTTGGCATGATGCGCCACACCGCCGAGCCAAGTAAGGGGGTTTCTTTACTTGGTTACCGTCCGGTATGAATAAAGCAAATATTTTTGTCACCGGCGCAACAATGATTAACTTACAGGTACCGTACAAAGTAAACCCAGTTTGGTAACATCGGGAGGCATATTTATCCTCGGACGTATTGGAGAGATACAGACATGGATGTCGATGACTATTTAGCAAGAATTGAATATTCGGGTCCAAAAAATCCAACTGAGGAAGTTTTGAAGGAATTGTGTTGGGCTCACGTGACACATGTTCCGTTTTATACGTTGGATTTATTTGGCAGTGGAGAAAGAAAGGTCATGAAATTAGAATCGATATACAGGTAAGTACAAATAATCGCAGCTGCTCTTGGTTTACCTATGCACACTTCTGCGGTCTGTAAACATTTTGACGATGCAGTGGGGATACTTCTGCATAATCGACGAATAACAACGCGTTTGCCTGTCAAAGTATTTCAGCGACTATGGCATTTTAGGCTACTACTTAGTGTAAAAAATTGGTCACCAGTCGAAATGCTTTCCCCAAATGCATTTTACACGCCAAACAACACATGGATAAATTTTTCTTACAATTGCGGAATGTGTGACCATTTTGGAATCGTATTTGGCTTGTGAAATGCCGTCGCAATCGCCATACTGAAATAAAACAGTTCAGAATTAGGAACGAAGAATTCGCATTTCAGGCTTTGACTGCTTCAAATTCCACATTTTGTAATAAGGCAAAGAATTTGAACACTTGCGGTTAAAATGTACTGAAAACTAATTTAGTCTGTTATAATTTCGATGGCATCACCGGGATAAATAGTCGAATTATTACTTAATTTTTACAGGAAAATAATTACGGACAGAGTTGGCGGAATGTGTTATGAACTTAATGCTATGTTCAACTGGCTCTTAAACGAACTGGGTTTCAAGGTCAACGTTATGAGAGCCGAAAGTACAATGGCTTCAAACCGCCAATCAAGTGATGGTTTAATTGGTGGTCACTTGACATTAGTTGTAAGTTACTTCATTTGATATGCCATGAATAATTGTGGCGCTGCTGAAGTATGTGCACCGAAGTGGCGCACAACCTGAACCATAAACTGGTACACATACTATGTTCAGGCTGTGCGCCATCTTGGTGCACATACTTCTAGAGCTCCATAATTTTAACGTTGTTTACTGATGACGTAAATTTAAATTAATATAGTGATTGTAAATTAACCCTATTTATTCTTCGAATTATTTTGTCCTCGTGATTTCACTTTGCTTATTGATAAAAACGACCAGGCTACTAGAGTTAGAAGCTAACTCGAAATATATCGGTATAAAATTTCCGCTTATCTTGAACGACAAAGAAACTCGTAGAGCTCGACAACAAGAAGTTGTTTTTATTAGTTTCTGGCTGTAGTTTTCGGGTTCTGGGTAGAGTTGTATTTAATGATGATTTATTTTGTTTATTGCTCATATTCATAGGTAGAATTTCCACACGGTAAACAAAAAATCGCTGACGTGAGCTCACTAGCACTTCCTTTGGATTTGGACACAGAAGAACCCCAAGACCAAAGAAACACAAAAGCAAGAGTTCTAAAAAAATTTTGTAACGAAGAAAAGAATTGGTATTTTTATGTAGAAAAATTATCAAGAACTGTTATCGACGTAAAGGAAATAGGTAGAGTAGCTATAAATAAATTTAGTAAAATGATGATAGTGTACCATCAAAGCCGACTTGATAACTAATTTTAAAATGTTTAATAAGCAAATAAGTTCTATGAGTGATACAGAGTTCGGGGTTGATCACTTCACTTCGTCTCGGGTTAAATGTGAATATACATATAAATGAACTTGATAACTTGTCGATAAAATGTTTTAATCAAAGATACTCGCCCTTCCCACGACCACACCCTCAGTCATTCGAACTGATGTATCTATTACTTGAGAGAAAATTCAGAACTTAAAACACCTGGCCACACTAATGCAATGATTTTCTATCATTCTTGCATAAAGGTAATTGGAAGAGTGTGGAAGATTTGTATGAGTACAATAAATAGTCTGAGTTTATTAATCCACTTATTCAGGCACAAAACAACTTGCAGAAAAATCAGGATATATATATTTATCATATAGGGTTGTATTCTACTGTCTGAATGTTCAAGCATGACGTGTGCGGGCATGGAAAGATTGTAGCACTGGAATCGATATTGACAAAAAATTCGGGATTGGCCGAATTTTAAATAATATCCTATTTTTAAATGGCAGGACATTTGGCTGTCCCGACCGACATTGCTACTATAAAATTATTTCCCATTTCATTCCTCAACCCATGCGTTGTTAAATTTCTACCCATCATCTTGATTATTTTTTCTGATTATTTCTATTTATGATCATTAGGATCGTAAGAATTTTATTTGTTATTTATAACGCACACTGGTGTGTGAAAATGAATTGTAGTTCAATCGGCTTTTAAAGTATCGAAAACAACAGTATTTGATTAATTTGTTCGTGACACTAACAAAGTTAAGAACCACTGGCATAACATGTCTGTTTCATATTTTTTAGAATCTGTTGGCGACCTCAAACAAGTAAAAGGCGTAGAATGGAATGGTAGATTCCGATTTCCATTGCAAGCATCTAATTCCAAAATTGAAGATTTTCAGATAAACATTGATGCTTCCCAAGATAATGAAAATAGTGAATTCAGACAAATATCATTTTGCGTTCTTCAGACGGCTTTGGGAATGAAAGCATTGATTTGCAAAAATTATCTCGAAAAAGAATATGTTGATGATTATCGAGAAACAAAAACAACCAAACTAATCACAGAGGATGAAGACATTATAAGTATATTGAAAGAAAAATTTGGTGTCGTACTCAATCACAAATTGGATTTACCAGACCACCAAAACAATATATTTTAATTATTTACAGCGACGCCATGTATTTAAAGTTTGTTGGCCGATTTCTCAAGCATAGCTCGAATGCTTGTAATTGTATGGGACAAAAAAGAAACATATTCATTACACTAATAACAAAAGTCATATATGGCAGAATTGCATTGTAAACATGTTGCTTCAATGAAAAAATTGAGAGATTCACCTCGACCCTTGTCGAACAAAAAGCAAGATGGAGGATGACGGCGATTCTAAATTATTGTCTGAAACAATTCGAATAATTTACAATTCGATTCGAAATGCCCGGCCCTGGTCGATGAGCACTTCCTCGTTCGGCCATTCGTTTTGATTTTTAAGCTACCCCATAAGATTCTTTCTCCCCCAAATTATACATTTGACTGGATATTTCGGCATATCTGCTGCCCATTTTTTGAATTGACATTTTCATATTCAAATTCATGCATTCTTTACTTTTTTTTCCATCTATAGATATAAAAACAATGTGCATTTATGCTATCGATTGGGTTTCCACGGGACTAATTACTTTCCTCTCTTCTATGCTTTTGTGCCGGTGGATCCGAATGCATATAATGTAAGGATGAAAAGTAGCAAAAGTAAATATAATTATCCAAAGTGATTCAAGAGTCTTGCTACACACTAACACAAATATATTTCTGTTAATGTTCTGAGACTTCCTCAAACGAACATTTATTAAACCACAATACGAAGATAATTTACATACGCATGTTAAAGATCAATAAAAATGGTGATTGTATAATTAATTAACTGTAGGGAACTGCGATAAAGGATTTGAAAGATTGAACCTAGTTTCTCTCTGTTTTATGTTCAACAATCAAGTCTAACTCAATCAATGATATTCTTTCTTTCTCAGAATTGAATGATATAGGTCTACTTGAGAATACGGTCTACTTGAAATTTGTAATCCGTTTTTATTTCGAATATATATATCTTTATAGTTGGTAATTAAAGTTTATTTGAAACACGATTATTTGCGAACATGACTGTGGATTCGTCCACGAGGCGAATGCATATGCGTGGAAATGTACAAATAACGTGGAAGCGGATATGCTTGGGTGCAAATGTTCATTAGTGGAAATTACATAGGTGCAAATGTACCTGGGTGTAAACAGACTGGTGTGAAAATGTCTGTGGGTGCAAATGTACGCGGGTGCGAACAAATCTACGCGGGTGCAATTGTCCAGGATGCAAATGTGCATAGGTGCAAATGTTCGTGGGTGCAAATTTATGTGGGTGCAAATGTACATGGGTGCAAATGTGCTGTCATCGAAATTGCAGTTTCCAAGAAGTTCACAAAACAAAAATTTCTTTTTAATTTTATCGCCATTAATGAAACGTACAGAACTGGATAGTTGGATACCGGTACTCTGAGCAACTTTCGGTTTGCTGCCTATTTTGAGGTTGTTTTATCAGTATTCAACTTGCAACCAGGTATACTCAGTTAAAAGAAATATATTGTTTCAAAATATAATATATTTGAAAATTTATAAAAAAAAATTCCATAAACGAAAAGACCCTGTCTTATTTTTGGCGAAACACGGTAGTTTTATGATTTATAACAGGGGTGGCCAACCTGCTTTCGACCGCGATCGACTAAAACTAAAATCTTCAAAATAGCTTGCGATATTTTGTCATACACAAAAACGTTTGATTATTCACTCATTATTGAATAATATGCAGATTACGGATAACTGCACACGCACACCAAAAAATTCCACTCGGCTCTGTGAGCGCCACAAAAATTTCTGTATTTTATGTTTCATTCAATTTAGTACAGTAATTTGATTATATAATTGTACCTGGACTAAATTTTCATCATTTATTAGTTGAAAATAAATATTTCAAACCATGAATATTACATGACTGCTCAATGTTCAGTATCTAATTTACACTTTTCTTTAAATCCGATTATTCGCTCGCTTGAAATTATAAAAAATTGGACATGTTGGGTGCCAATGTCTTCTTGCGACTACTCTTGGAGTTACATTTACGCAGTAACTTTGTTAGGGCCCGTTCACACTGACGCATAGGTTTGCGTTGCGTTGGGAACGGAATCCAACGCAATTGCGTTGAGGGTGTTCATACTTCGAATGCGTTAACGCAGCGTGCTACGGTCCACTTGTTACGTAACAATGGCGGGGAAATTTCGTGTCATCTGCGAAATAAATTTACCTATCGAAAACCTAACCAATTATTAATTACCCAAACCCGAAAAATGGAAGTTGCGAAGTTAATAGAGTTGGTTAGGGAGAAGAATTGTTTGTGGGCGGTTGGGGCGGTAGATTACCGGAACAAAATTTTGAAGGAAAAAGCGTGGATATAGAGGTTGGCGAGGAAATGGGAATAGGGGGTAAGTTTATCTCGCACTTCGGGGACTGGAGAGGACAGTCCCTTTAAGTCCAATGCAACCGAAAATAACAGTACCGGTATTCTTGTTTTAACAGTGAAAGAATGCAAGACAAGGTGGAGGTCGTTGAAAGATAGGTTCAGGAGAGAGAAAAGAGAGGAGGCGTTTGAGAGTAGGAGTGGGGCAGGGGGTGGATGTAAAAAAAAATGGGAGTTTATGGGTAGCTTAGAGTTTTTAAACTCGTACTGCGAAAGCAGGAGGTGGGGAAAACATTTTTACTCTACCTATACCGTATGTCATTACCACAAAAGCCCTATTTTGATTTTTACAAAGACTGAATAAAACTTCATAAAATATTCCATGTCATACACTCCACTAAGTATACTGATATGTCAATAAAATGAAATGACACTTTCATAGAAACAAAACTCTTTTATTTGAAACAATGTATAACAATAAACTGAAAACTTGCTTTTCCCACCCTGTAATCATCATTGACCTGTGAAAAACAAAGATGCCTTACTAAGTAATGAGTATGAGGTAACATATGGCCCCTGTTTAATTTTAGAACATCTAGCAGTGTGCATGAAGATGTCACCCTGTTGTATATGAAAACGAAGGTGATATCCAAGATCAGAGGCAAGTGCAAGAGAAGCTGGAAGAGTCTTCTTCCAGCTTTGATATCGATCAGGCCATTCTACGTCTAGTTAACAAAGGTCAGTAGTATTCATATTTATTGCTACTACAAAACTCTGATAGACAAAAAAGTAAAGATATCGATAATTAGAATTATTTGAAATGGACAGTATAATTGCAAGAAAGATACACAAAATGAAGAAACAATAGCTACTCCTCTAAATGTTTTTTCCAGAACAAGATGATGCTGAAATATTTGCCCAATCGCTTGTGCAGACATTTAGACGATTGCCAAATAAAAAATTTCAGCAGGCAAAGATTGAAATTCAAGAAGTTTTGTTTCATCTAGAATTTAATACAGATTAGATACATGCTCAAATATATACTGGTTTGTAGTACTTTTATGTGTTACGAATATTTTTGAATGCTAGATGGGGGGGGGGGGGGGGGGGGGGGGGGGGTTTGGCACACAATGACGCAACAAGATATGCAACTTCAACCTCGATATATTATTAATGTTTATTGCGTTATAGTGTATAATGATCTGATCACCTTCAAACTTGGTCATTTTGCCATCCAATAGCTCCTTGGCCACTAAAAAAATCAGTGTACGATTCCCTTGTAGCAATCGCCCGGGATGTTGCACGACCCCCAATCTGTGACAAACTCCTCAGTAAGGTATTGCTGTCAGCTTCTGAGGAAGCTTCCTGCACTCTTTCTGGCTGATTTTCTCCTTTCCTCAAAAAGTTATGGAGGCAACAGGTGGCCTTCACCACCCCATCAGCATTTGTAGGCTGAAGAGGCATTACCCTATGGAATACTCTCCATTGGTTGGAAAGTATTCCGAAAACACTCTCTACCATTCGGCGAGCCCTGGACAACCTGTAGTTGTATATTTTCTGTTTTGAGTTCAGGTTGTTCCCACCATATGGTCTCATAATATTTTCCTTCAAAGGGAATGCCTCATCAGCTACAAATACAAATGGGGTGCAGTCTCCATGACTCGTCCTTCCCAATGGCCTGGCAAAACAAAGAATGTCATGAGATGATTTCACATATTAATTTTGTAATGTTACTATGGATTGTAGATCGGACTTATTTCAATGTATTATACTTAGTCATACCCAATGTGTAAAACAAACGGTTAGAAGCAAAACATGCCAAACTTACCTGAATTTCTAAGAATCGCTCCATGCAAACATATATCTTAACTACTTGACAAAAAGGTTCCTGCACATATAACAAACACAAAAGACTCACACACGTTATACAAGGTGGTAACATATGACATACATACTACTGTGATATTAAACAAAATCTAACATGAAGTAAATTTTGGCCAATGTTGAAAATAGGCAATTAGAACATCAAACACAGTACTGTTCACAAGAGCTTACAAAAGTGGTCGGTAATGAGCAAAGTGTTGGAAATAACATTTATTTTGTAAATATTCGACTGTCAGCCTACCTAGGATTAGGAAGATTGAGGGTACCATTGGCCAATCTTCTGCCAAAACAGGAGTCGGCAAATATACCCCCATCACTGCTCCTCCCATACCCTCCAACGTCGACTGCCACAAATTTATAACTGTGAAAAGATAAACATTATGAGCATTTGTCAAGGATTCAAATAAAATCAATAACAAGTCATAATTTGCTTATTCTCACTTTGCATCCACCACAGCCATCAACACAATGCTGTGCGTCTTTTTATAATTAAAAAACATGGATCCCGAATTGTTTGGGGCTTGAATGATGACATGTTTGCCATCAATGGCACCTAAACAATTCGGGAATTGCCACCTCGCTTCAAAGTCATTCCCAATTGTTGTCCATGCAGCTTGGGTGGATGGGCATTGCATAACCATTGGTTGGAGTGTGTCCCAAATGGCTCTATAAAAGTCAATATATATAAAATTATGACAAAATCAATAAAAACAAAAAAGAACATTTCGATAATCAAGAGAAACGAAATGCCATGATATCAAGACTGGGATTTATCAAAAATACAAAAGATCAAAATTATATTTGAAAATCATACCTGCATGTATCTGGTACAATGAGGGAAACGGTGGAAATCCCTAAACGATAACTATTGGCAATGGTCCGATAAGAGTCTCCAGTTGCCAAGAATCTAAAAGTGACAAAATTTATCCTATTAATGAAAAAAGTCACAAAATCAAATTGCACAACATAGAATAAAAATAGACGAATTTTAATAAAATCATTAACTTGCCTCAATGTTACAGCCAATCGCTCTGCAGCGGAAATTGGCCTTCTGTACGTCGTCGTTAATTTTTCTATTTTTGGACCAACAATTCCAAGTAACTTGTCAAACTCTTTTGTCGACATTCTAAAATATTCCTTGAAATATGCAGGTCGCTGCAACCGTAATTCCTGTACCAGTGCATGAAATTCACCTGTTTTAGTTCAGAAAAAATTACCAATTTAGCCAAGCTGAATTTGTCGAATATTAACTTAACTCAAAGAAATGGAGAAAATTCTTTTATTACCTGCTTTATTTCACAATTAGTTATACTTTAAATTCGTTAATAAGAACAGCTGGATTATATCTACGCACATTAGATAAAATACTACAAAAAACAATAAAATTCACACAAACCAATAACACCTAAAGACAGAAAGAGTACACATACCATGACAGATAATAACACAAAAGAACTAGACATCTTCTTGACAAACACATGAAATATTAGCTCACCCCTGTTAAAAAAATTTAAAAAAGCAAATTTCTGTCATAATAACATATACATAAAATACAGCAATCGATATACTTATCTGATAATATTCCAGTATCTGTCAACAATTTCCTGAGTGCAACAAATAGACAGACATATTAAAACAATGACATTAACTCATACATATTGATAGGCTATGACAGTCAGACAGTACACAGTATGACAAACTAACAGGCAGACAAACATAGAAAATTTAAATCACTTACCACAGTACCAAATGTCTATTTAGAACATTGCTCCTGTGCCTCTTAGGGCAGCATGAATTTGAATAAAAAATATGTCACCTTACTTACAAGCTGTTACAATTTTGACAAGCTTGTTCAAAGACTCACCAGCTTCCTCTCGTTTTCTCAAGATGGGGTGCACCCACCATCGCCTTGAATTTCGTGTACCGGTACAGGTATTGTTTTCTCTTTCACGGCGGCGCTTTGCCCATAGCATGATTCCAAGTTTTTGCTGATTTGATAGACTCATGGTATAAACAAGATTGAATTAATGAAGGATACCGGTATTCTAAAGACAAATCTGAAAAATAAATATCACATGTGAATACACAGCATACGGTTCCGGTACAGTACGGTACGGGTACAGCAGTAGCCTGTACTTTACCTTAAACCTGGGACCTGCCCATTGTCAGACTCTACCGGTACCGGTACTCACCGTACGATCCCTTTTAGTTTATGCGCATAATCTAGTCCACTGTACAAAGTACCGTAAGTTTACGAACCACGTACGGTACCGAACGGTATCGCCACTCTGGTTGTATGGATAAACTTGTATACATCCAACTGTGCAATGAATACCGGTACCGTACTGTCAACCCATCATCACTCCCGGACATACCGAAGTCATACGACGAAAATGGCGAAAGCACCAAATCAGAATTCAAAAACGGCGGGCAACGCAGCGTCAACGCAAAAAGAATTGTCTTCCAACAACGCACTGCGTTGACGCAATTGCGTTGACGCAATGCGTTAACGCAGCAACGCACGATTAAGTTAAATAAACAAGGTTTTAAGGTGCGTCAACGCAATAGTGTGAACATATGTGAACGGCCCCTTACGCATAACAATATGAGCTATCGGGCTTGCCCAGACTCAACTACTGTATGTGTATATCGTATTTTGCGCATATGCAGTACTGCATTCGTTCTGTTTTAAAATTACACAACAGGCGCTGCATATAACTGGTTTTGGGCAATTTTTCGGGTTATGTTATTAAATTAATCCAACATCAGACGCGATCTACTCAAGACGTGTTGGCCATCTCTGATTCATAAAATCTATATTCGGAACATAATTTAAAAGCTGTCAAGTGACAGTCAAGATAACGTAAACAAGGCAATATTCTGAAAGAACCATGTTTGAAAATTTGTCGAATGGAAAATGTGTAAGAGCTAACGCAAAAATAGACATTGTGGTATTACTGATTGGACAACAGTATCATATAGGCATAGGGCTAAACAAAAAAGTCGCGACTCGGGAAAACATACCTACATTTGCATACCGTTGTATTGCTTTCGCAGGTGATTGGTTGGCGTAACAAAAAATAATTCTGAAAAGTCTGCAAGGCGAGTTTCCGGTACAGTGTATCGAAATCGTTTTATAGTGATGGGGTTCCCCTTACTGTATTGGTAAATAAGTAAATACTAAATCAGTTTTGTCAAGATCTTTTACAATACATACGGTACGGTACCGGTACCCTACAGTCAGAGTAGGATACCGGTACAGTTCTGTTACCGGTACTGGCAGACTGGTAATTCAGAACTTCTCATACAGAGGATATGTCCAGCAGTCATAGACGGTGAGTTGTCCGTGTAGTCGAGTTGTCGGTCAGCCTGCCAGGCTTTGTTTGCAACAGCTGTTCAGCAATTTAGCTTTTAAAAAATCTATTTTCCTCGACTGTAATTTAGCAATACTAAAGTTTGTAGCAGAATTTTATTCCCGAATATTGTTGACCCGACTGCAAAGTCCTGAAGTCTGGAAATTCAGCAATCCAATGGATTCCGAAGATAGCAGCAGAATTGATGATTTTGAGGCTGGCGAAAAAGCTTTGTGTGACAAAGATTTCGATGTTGCAATTGAAAAATTTCAGGTACACTTAAGAAACTTCGTTGGTATCAGCAACAATAATTTACTCATTTTAGTTATTTTTATTACTTTTAGGGGTGCATGAAAAAGCTGTCCAATCAAGGTTTGGGGCTGACCTCGGAATTATTCCCGAAATGTCTTCAAAATATTGCATCATGCTATAGTGAGAAAGGAGATATGGATAATGCATTGTCTTTCAAAAAATTTGAGAAACTTTATTATGAAACCGTTTTACTACACAATGGATTGGATGGTTTATTAATGAAAGATCCTTCAGGTACCGTAATGCTGCAATGTGGTTAACTTTGTTTTTTTCATATTCAACTTCTTATTTAATTTACTGTTGATAATTTTACCTATTTTTTGACTGACAATAGGAACAAGTTACGGTGACACTATTATCAATGACAAATTTCAATGAAGTAATGTTTTATAAAGTTTAGTTTTTATGAAATATTTGAATGTGTTGAAATGATTGTTTTATTGTAAAAAGGAAACATTAATTGAAAACTTTGAATATTTTTTGAAAAAAATCATGATTAATATTATCAATTTGACAAGTTTGTTCACGCTTGCGATCTGGAAGTCAATCGAAGTTTCAACTTCGATCATCCGTACTGTGTGACGAATAATACCTGTATTACTCCATGTTAATATAGTTGTGCATTGCTCTCTTGTTGCTCTCTCTAGAGTCTGATGAACAGTCAACAAGGGATCGTGGCGATGGATCAAGCGAGGCATCAGGAAGTTCAATTCAAGATTCTACTTCCGAAATAAATGATGAATCGGACTGGGAGTCATCTGATGCGAAAAGTCCGAATACAAAACGAGCATCAGAATATGAACAACTTGCAAAATTATGTTTGCAACAGGAATGGTTCGTAATTAATGATTTATTTATTGATGAATAATCAATTTCTGTAATATGATTAAAAATTTATCTGATGTTGTTTGATCAGACAAACTGCTAAAATTACATGGTTTGATATATAACTCAAACCATTGTCATTATTGTATTTAAATTTTTGTTTTGGAAAACTGATCAGAAAGATTCTAATTATTTTATCGGAAACAAATTGAATGAAATAATGGTAGAGTAGTAATAAAGCTGAACTGCTATTTTTGTTTCTGTATATTGAAGAATAATGTCCTTCCTTTATTATGTAGGTTATGTTAGTATGTTATATACTTTCTTTGTGGTAATAATAAGATAGAATCATGGACTTTGACCAAATAAATTCAGATTAACCCTTTCCATGCGATTTTTATTTTTTAATAAATAATCGTATTTGCTATGCCGATTTTATGCATTTGTACCCCCACAACTAATCGATCGACTAACGAAAAACTAATGATCCTCTGCTGCCCACTGACGGCTCGTTGGAAAGCTTATTTAAAGAGCTTGCAATTGGCGATTAAAAAAAAAAGTTTTTTTAACAGTGGTGGTCTGAGTCACAAACCGGATAGAAAAAAGGCATTTTTTTTTCTTGGGAGTTGAAACTTTAAATCGTGATAAAAAATAGAAATATTCGCTAAATCCTTTACTGTTACCGCTTCGTGGTTGGCAAACAATAGCATAATATTGCTGTAGCAATTTCGTGATCTAACTAAAAATATTTTGGTAGATGGAAGGGATAATATGTCTTCTATTACCACCCAAAAAACACCAAAATTTGCATAAATTTCAAAAACACTCCCTCTTTCCGCCGCAAATAAAATTCCCGTCGTAAACGAAAGCGAGATTTACCGTCGCTTATGTTTATCTCGAAGAAGACTTCTTATCAATAAACTAAAACCCGGAAAAACTAGACCAACAGTTTGCGACCCATTGCTAAATAAAACAGTGAAGTACATCAACGTACCCGCCGCAATCTAGCGAGTTCTGTCGTGGGTACGTATACGTGCCCACCGCACGGAAAGGGTTAAGTAAATTATTATACCAAGCATTTGATATTGTTGATGAATTCTGATATGAAAGTGCTTGGTAATAAGAGAGAACATTATGAAATATCTAGATTTTGTAATATTCAGAAATTATGGTCGACTTTCTATTTTTGTACAGTTATCAATACTAATTTAGCTATTTTGAAATTTTCAGTAATATTTAAACTTTGTAATTTCTAACTAAATGTATTATTTTTAAGACTGCATTGTATCCTATATAACTAATTTTTAATGTATTTGATTCATTTTGAGGACACACCTGATGGCCATACTCATGAAATGATACTTAATGCCAACTTATTTAAAGTTGATATAGTATGCAAGATATGTAATTAATTGCAGTATTGGATTGGCGCTAGAGTATAGTGGAAAAGCGACATTGTTGTATATGCATGAATATGGAGATGATCATCAGAAAACAAGGAAAAGTTTTGAACAGTTTACATCGGTTTACGCTGAAGCTGGAAAACTTGAATATTCAGAATCAATGGAACAACTTAATTTAGGGGTAATTTGGAACTTGAGGATTTATTTTTTGCTTCTACTTGGATGTAACAATAAAATTTTGAATTTTATTATGGCACTGGCTGCAGTGCAGATAAACAACGCTAACATTTTTTTGTAGTTTTCACAGCAATTGTGTAACAATTGTAATTACACGATAACCGTCAGATTGAATTTGTGATAACTGTTTTATCTGTCTTGGGCAAACATTATTTCACTTCTACTAGATACACAAGGCTTATCGTTTGGGGTTTCGATCAGATTGTTTAGACAAGTTGAAATTATCTTAACAAATATTCGATTTGTGGGAAATGTATGTGCATACCGTGTATTACATAGGTTTTTTGTTTTAATTCTGTACAGAAATTGAATATAAGATATGTTACAAACAAGCATTACATTACAGCATATGTTTACACACTCATAAATCAATGTATTTTAATTGCAGAATAAATCCAATATATCATCACCTTATGAAATAGAAGAGACATTATTGCGACATAGGTAGGTTTATTGATTATCAAATACTTTATACAAGCGTATCCTTGTCTTATACAAGCGAATCCTTGTCTTATACAAGCGAATCCTTGTCTTATACAAGCATGTCCTTCAATTTATTGTTTCAGTAGTAGGTTAGGCGTGTGTATGTCCTTGAAAAATTTTGCTCTAATATATATAATAATACTGCTTCGCCTTGTATTGTAATTCTCAAGGCTTTTTACTGGTTGTGTACAATGGCATTTCATATTTAGATTTTTATCTGTTGCCTGATTCAAACTGCCATCTGGGTTTTGTTGTGTCAGTAGATTTCTTGGTACTCCTGTAGTGTGTGTATCAGGTTAAGGAACCTAATTTTATTCCCATTTTCCTTATTTTAGTTCTAATACAAGTTTGGGGTATGCCCCCTGCCTATAAGTTTCAGTCTCTTTGTACAACTTGTTGCAAAGTAGGCAAACAAAATTACCTCCATATTGGTAAGCACACTTCTGGATTGCCGATTTATTTGCTATAACGACAATCTGGTGACTGAGACCAAAATGTCAGTCATATTGAATTATTCAAAGTATGGAGAACTATGTTCCCAGCTGACAACAATCAGAATTGTGCTGGTCCATGGTTATGAAAGTTATGAAATAAGGGAGGCAGCCAAGACCTCATTATTAAACATTTTGATGAAAATAGAAATAAACAAAATTAAGTATTTGATTTTCACTTCAAATTTTTATTATAATTGGATGTTAATTTTTATTTTTACAGAAAAAATGTCAAAAGCACAGAAAAGAGTGGTGGAGCAAGGTATGTATTGATGTATATTAATATTACGGTTTATATACTTGTTGACTGTTATATTTTAAATTCTGACTTTAACTGTCCCATTTTTTAATTAATATTACACTTTAACCACTTACTAAATAATAGGAATAACTTTGTTACCAAATAAGTAAAATTTAACATATTAATTTTGTTTGGTAATATGCAAAACATTTTTTGTATTTAGCCATTGTTAACGAGGACTCAATTTATAATATATTTCATGTTATAAATGATTACTTTAGAACAGGGGTGTGAAATGACGCTCATATGGGTAACATACATACGTTATAGTGCTCTTGTCACTGCGTTTAAACTTTCGCTGTTTTTCCCGGTGCCTTTTTTCCTGTCATTCGTTAAAATTCTTGAATTTTTTTGTTTAGTCCAGCTAGATGTCTGAAGTTGGTTATATGGCCCACAGACAAAAAATGTTACACACCCCTGCTTTAGAATGTGTTTGGTATAGTGGAATATTCGGTTTCGGAGATTTCTGGTTTCCGGTATGCTTTGATCAACGGTAATAAAAAATGAAGTATCAATTCAAAATTTCAACTATTTTCACAATTATAGGCCGCTCAAACGGACGAGGTCAATTTTAAAGAAAAGAGCTTCGGATGATAACATGACTCAACAGAATAGTGAAACAACAGCACCAGAGCAGCAAAGAAGAGTAACATTTGCTGATCCTCTACCACAAATGGTCAGATTGAGAGATGAAGGTGAAACCGGTAAATTTAACTAATTTTTACCTGTGATTAAGTATAAGTTCCCAGTGAGCTAAATTAAAATTTAGGAGACTTTTTCAAATAGTAGAATGTTCTATATTGCATTTATTACCTCTATATTTGTTGGTGAATACTGACCTGTAGAGAGAGAGAGACTCTTTTGTTTTCATACCTCATGCCTTACTTGCAACTTCCTTTGATAAATATTGCTATTGTGGTTATTAGCATGCATCATGAATGTTGGGAAATAACATGCCATTGTTCGTATGATAAAAATTCTTTGAAGATAAAATATGGCATGTCAGTTTTCGAGTTGTGGAAATACCATATATTGTTGATTTACTTTTGTGTCGACTGTTTGATAATGAAGGGAAACCCGCAATCGAGATGTCCAACTTGAATCAAATATTAAAAAAATTTGATATTTGGATGCATTTGATATAGTAAATTCTTAATTTTAGGAATAACTTTGAATTGTTTTATTTGAAAATTTGTCATTTCGAGCATACATAATCTGATGCTCAAACTAAAAATAGACCTCATTTGTGACAGTGTTAAAATGAAAGTCTATCAGTGCATATTTTACATGATTTTTTTTTGTAATACCAGATACTTTTATTCTAAATTACATTTGCTCAACTATGAGCATTTCTCTATTGACTCAATTTATAATATTCGATATTACATATTTTTTAGAATGGATTCAGTATAGTAAATTATAGGGTTTCGGCTATCCCTGTCTGGAATTTAAAATACCCTGCCTTTGAATGATGATCAATTGTTTGCTGATAACTTCTAAATTTGTATTAGAATATCTGCTGATAAATTTGCTATGCCTGTTGTTATTTTGTCCCTACTTTGTTTAAGTATGACGAACGTTCATCCATAAATTTGTTTTTCAGATAACTCAATGACGAATCTTCTTCTCTTTTTCTTGGTTTGTGTTCTTATCATTCTCATCAGTCTCTTGATATCAGCAGTGTTTTGCCAAATGAATCCCACAATGGGTGCATGTGTCGAGTTTCGTCGTGAAGTTACATACTACTATAATAGAATACGATATTTATATAGAAGTTTTATCAGATAAAATGAATCCTAGATAGTTAAAAACACTGTTGCTGCAATACTAAATGCACCTCACAATGCATAGTTAAAAATCTTAGTCTTACTTAATTTTCTACACCCTGGCTGTGGTATTATTTTTGTGTCTATTGTTGACTATGAAGGAGATAAACCCGAGAGGCTGGCAATTAAAAAAGTTATTCAAAATTTTCGCAATTTTGGGTGGATAGCAATGAAGCAGTTCATTCTCTATCAGTCAGTGATAAGTGGACTAGCTTCGTTAAAATAAACAAATTTGTATTCATTTTAAATGAAAATATTTTCATGGCTGCCATACTACACAACAAGGACATTAAAATCTACCGGGCGGGACGGCTTGTCAATACCAGGACTGGCCCGGCTTCTTCCAATACTCTGGACTAGTAGGCAGACAAGGGTTATAATATGTTAGGACATCTCAATGTTTTCCTGTCCATGAGATTAAAACAATAAGTTCTATTTGATCCTCAGATAAATAATTTAGTTGTGCAATATTTTGCCACTATGAAAAATATCTTCAGCTTATTCTCAGGCCTAGGTAATTATCGAGGATTCACAATATTATTGTAAATTGTTTACTTGCACTCTTTTTACAGTCAAGCTTTAATTAAGGTTATGTTTCAATAATTCTATCATTTTAATTTAATAGAGATATGATAGAAACATGAGAATTTGGTTATATATATAGTCTATGTATATATTTATAATTATATATGTCGCTGTGTTTTTTAAGATATTAACACATAGTTTTACACTGTTAGAAAAATCAGTACATTTATCTATATTCGTGAAATTGTTCTCTAATTAAATCTTCTTGGACTAGGAACTTTTGGATTGAAAATTTTTTATGTGAGATGTATCACTGTACGGATATTCAAGTAATTCAAATGTATTTTTCTAACAGTGTGGTAGGCAATATTAGATTCACACTATGCATGTACATTAATGTTTAATTTTAGTATTTAAGTTTCATTTTCTAATTTCAAGTTTTACATTTATTTTGTATAATTGTAAAAAGTCTGCTGCACTAGGATACTGTGCAAGTTCCCACTATGGATATAAAAAATTGGCAGTTGCTTACTCATTACACAGGGCATACCAACATAGTTTTCTTGAAGTTTTAGATACTCCATTCAGGATGGTGGCTACTTCTGAAAAGTTAGCGAGCATGCAAACAAATAGGTTTCGTTTGCAAAAATTCAGCACTATTCAGTTTTACTAATTATATTTGAATAATTGTATTTTCTTTAGGATTTCGAACGGTGCCTTAGTAAAACAGTAAATATATGGCAGATGACTCTATAATATGCGAAAAGTATCTTATGTTAACAGTAGATCAATTATTTCTTGTGACATTTTTTATCAACAAGTTGGTAATCTGCAGGTAATTGCAGATTGTGTTAAATTTCATTTGATTGGTTAAATGTATAAAATATAGATTTTAGGTTTATTTGATATACAAATCTGGTAACCAAAAATCCGATTTGGAAGATTATTATGTGATCTGATATTATTCATTTCAAAGTACAATAACAAGCAATCACATTTTCTAACATGAACCGAGGTTCATGAGTATATGGGTGGGATGATGTGGATCATGATATTATTGAGCTATATTATTGAGGGCGACTTGCCTTTCCCTCTGGGTAAATAAGAAAATCATATTCTATATGATTAGCAGGAATATATTTTCTTTCGAATACATCATAATCATAAAAATTGATCTAAACAATTTGCACATTTCATTAGCTATAATAATTTGAGTTCAATCAGGTCTTTTTTAAAAATGTAGACATGCGAACTTGTTTTAAACAATTGGTTAAAAGTTTTTTTTCAATTCAATTTATCATTGTTCATGGTCTTCAGGAGTTCTTTGACTACATATTTTTGAGATTTAAAACCTATCTTGTTGAAAAGGTTTCGTAGTGTGTTATTTTATACGTCATTTTCACTAGATTGAATCACTAATTCACACAGATTCTGCAATGCCCCTTTTCTTTATTAAAGGTGTTTCAGTTGTCAACATGCCTAAGTTTCTGCACATGCTATTTTCTTTATTTGCACCGCTATGATGCCTTTGCTCCTATTAAAAAATAAGTTGAAGCCGATTTGTCTGCGTATTTCTCAACATTTCTAATTCTTCATGTATATATATCCATGATTCTATGCATGTGCTATTTTGTAATTTGGTAATGGAATCTAATTCTCTAACATAGGCTGTTTAGTCTAGTTGACGGTGGTGTGATTCTAAATCTGCCAATATAGGGAATCATTGAGGCATGAATGGTCAGAATAATCTCGTTATAACATACAAGTTCCGATGCTGCTATTTCTGACTTTTTTGTTTCCTGATATGGTTTGAAATCTAATCGTACTGAATTCATTCATATGCTCATTACTAACCTGCTAGATAGAAACATTTTGTCATTATTTTGTGTGGATTTGTTTGTTATGGTGATGGCCAAGCAATGGCTAACATATAGACCATATGATTGCACGAATGATACAAATCAATGTTTAGTACACAGTTCCAAATGATTCATTCTATTACTCACCGAGAAAAATTTCCGCATATAGATCGATTTGCAACAACTGATTCTCGATATGTTGATATAATTGTGCATGCAATGATTTTTACTGTAAAACTAGGTACACACTACACACATTGGAAATTAATTGTTCTCGGGGAAACTCTGCAATTTAATATATTGTGTCGGTTTCTGATGTCTTATCAGCAACTTTGCTGTACGCCAATTGGTGTCTATTTATGGTCCACAATCTTGCAGTTACTGCAAGCTGCTTGTTTCTTTCCATACACCCTTGTATAGATGAGCATTTGTTTCATATATGGTTATGTCTAGAATTGAAGAACAAGTTATTGTTTATGTAATGTAGGCCTATTTCAAAATGAATTACCGTTTGGGTCTGGGTGTCTTTGACAATTATCATCATCCCACGCCAATTTTCGACAACATCGATTTCACATAATCGCTCCATGTTTTTATGCACTTTTGGGTTAACAATCGTAGTTTCAAACGTTAGATTGTAAATTTTTGTTCCACAAATAAATAAATGCAAAAGTTATAAAGTGGTTTTAATTTTTAACTAGTGCACGAAAAAATGTTGACATCGCTTATTAAATTTGAATTAGATGAAAGAAATCTTGCTCTGTCGCCCCACCTGGAGAAGGCTGGAAAGAATTTGTACCTAAAGTTAAAAAAAACACTCAGTTGCTGAAATTGAAAAGTGTTTTGGACCTTCACGGAACATCGGCCACATTTTGCGTAATAATAGTATTTGAATTCGATGTAATAGGTATTTAGTGCTGTTTTGTATAGTTAAAAGGTTGTTCTAGAATAGAGTCTGGGAAAATTTACACTGAACTCCTGGCTCCTATTCCAGGTTGAAATTTCGTACCATGCCCGCATCCAGTTACTAGAAAATCGGTTTTTGGCCGCAAATGATAACGGTGTATAGCCTACGTGTTTAAGTTAGTGGATTTGTAGCTTTCGTAAATCAAAATCTATTCCCCCTCATTTAATCGATCAAAAAAACAATGTTTAGAATGTATACCGACACAAAACGTCATTATTAATTTGATGTGACAATTGCTCTTGGATTTAATTAGCTAGTTGTGCCAAGCGAGGTAGTAACCTCGTTTCGAATGCCCATCTGATTAGTACATCTGCATCCTTATTTGAATTCACTTCTCATTACGTTTATTGGAGCAGAACACCCTTGTTCAGATAGGTATGCTGTAGGTATACGGACTAGGGTGAAAAAAAATATTACGCAAGACTGTAGTACTCAGAAACTTTCAGTGGTGCCATCCAGAACTTGTTGTAGTTTTAATATGTTTTAAACTCAGTCTTTTTGTACCAAATCTAATCTTAATTCAAGAAGTTCACCAAAATGATTTTCACAATACAGTATCAGCATAATTGCTAACTCCACGTATATATATGCAAGGAAACTTCAAGACCAAATAACATTTTTTAGAGTCTAAACCAGTGTTTACCAACCCGAGTCAAAATTTCGGGTGCTACCGTAGTAAACGCATCAGGGTATTTTTCCTTAGGATTCTTTGTTTTACTGCCTCCACATTGGTACGTACAGTACTGGGGCGCCGTGTTGTAAGAACAGCTCAGATTTGTCAAATTCACAAAAATACGAATCAAAACAAAATATAATCGGGCACTTACCACGCATTTTTGTGTCAACGGATTGTCATGATATTTTCTGAGTAGTATTGCTTTTATTTCGTCAACACAACCGCAGATTAAAATGATTACAAATGAATTGATATTAAAGCGAGGCGATGAATATTTTTTTAATTCACTGATATACTATGATATTTTCAATAGGTAATAAATCAAGTTGTACTTTCTGGAAATTCATAGCAGATATTAGGATTTTTCTAACGGCGATAACAAATTCGCAAAATCGAAAAAATAGGTATCAAAACAAAATATAATCGGGCAATAATATATTCTCACATTATTATGTGCGCAGATTGCCGTGGCATTTTAAAGAAGTAATGCTTTCATCTTGTCATAAGTTGACGCAACCGTGAGTGACCATGAACACAATTAAAGTAAAATAGAAAGACGTTTTAAATTCTCGTTGTTGTCATGGATTAAATATCGTGCGACAGAAAAGGCCATTCATACACTAAGAAAGACGACTCTTTTAACAAACGCGTAATTGCGTCGAATTTCCGATTTTAAAATTCGTTAAAATTCTGTTGTGTTTGGTTTTATTACTTCTTCACACATAGTACGGTTGCAATAAACGCATGTTGAGTCCGCAGAGGTTTTCGCCGGTGAGAAAATAGTTCACGATCAAAAAAGGATGGGAAACGCTGGTATAAACCAATTCTAGGTATTCGATGTCCTGACATTGTGTTCAGCTGGTAGGAAAAATTTGGGAACGCCAGACATGCCTTATGCTGCATAAGTTTTAAACTGCAATATTTTCTTATAATGTTTAAAACTATCGTAGGCCTATTAATTATTAGAATATACTTTACAACTTCCGGTAAAACCTAAAAACGTATTGGCAATGCGGAAGTTCAAATTTGAGGTGAAATTTCAGTATTGCATCAATAAATGACATTTAGTCTGTACCTAGATAACGAGATAGATGTAGTAGGCCATTGTTTAAAAAGTTGCCCCAGAAAAGATATTCTATGTGAGTAGCACGTCAATCTGCTGCTTCGCTGTTTAATTATCATAACATTCAATAATGTTTGATATACTAGTTTCATTTTTTATTCCCGAATATTATCTATTAATCATCATTCTTGTGGTAGGTTTTGTAAGTGACATACATAAATATTTGTTGGCAGGTGAGTAGATTAAATCAGTATGAAATTTGTTTAATAAAGGTCACTGTTTTGAATAAATAGATGTAATGTTTATCTAACTTGATGACACGTGGTAATTTTTTTTCTATTTTCGTATGACTGGAGTGCATTTCCGTGATTTCGATTTTAGAATATATATATACTTGAGTTGTCATTGATGGGTAAAAATCTTATGTGCGAGTTGGGTATACTGATCCCATCAGCGATCTGTGATTAGTGCGTGAAAATCAAGGGAATTTTGTTAAACAGAATGTAACGCCAATCAGTAATTTATCTGAAATTAGACTAGGTATGAATATTCTCATGCCCTCATCATTTTAATTCATGGCACCAATTGCCATTAGAAAGTACCGGCAGCTAATTTAAGCCCTGCATATCGCAGATTTTTCGGGACAGTTTTTTGATTGCACTGAAACTCCTAGATAGGGAGAAAACGAGCGTAAATTATTAGATTTACACTAAAATATTTGACCGAAAACTGACAAATAGCGATCAAAACTACGAAAACGAGCGGGCGCCTATACCCATATCTGAAAATATGTCCGAGCAAAGAAGTTGTATGGGCGGTTTCTGTAATTTTAATTGTCACGTCACCGTTTGTTTATTGCTGATTTTCTAATGTTGCTGAAATAAACAAGAAACGTCTCTGGAAACATGTAGAACCACATAGCTCATGGATATGAAAGCATGTATTTATTATAAATGGAATCTAAAATTTGTCTGAATATCAGTTAATCTATATCATTTGTTGCAGTCCGAATTTCGTCAAATAATAGACAGATGGCTGGTGTTGACGTGATGTCAACATTATCTACGAGGTTGCTTAAAATACTGCGTCATATATATCATTTGTATAATTCTATTTTTAAGGAAATGCGGAAGGTTTTTAGAGGATTATAAAGGGCGTCTATATAAAAAATACCACCATTATAAATATATATAGGAATTCGCTTTTTGGTATAGGATTTTACGGTAATTTTTATATCATTGATGGAGCAGCTTGGCAGGACGATTACTGAAAACAGAAAATCAATGGATTAATGTAATTACCGTGTTTACCCGAAAATAAGATGTAGCCTGAATTTTAAAAATTATTTTAATATAAATCGCGGTAAAATTTTATTAAGTCTATTGGCGGTTCTCAAATTTCCGAGATAATACTATACTGTATATCAGAGGGTCCACGAATAAATAAAACCGTAACCTGGTACCCTTTGCGATTATTATATTAATTTGAAGTTAATTGACTCTAAAACGTTCGATTCTTCAACTGCAATGCCTTTTGCTTCCGTTAGTTGACGATTTTAGTATTAATTGCAACGCCTAAAATAATAGATAGAAACGTGTTAGAGCAAAACTAGGTATTTTATAGATGAGCAGGTGGCCACAACTGTTGGGAGTCTTTGAAACATGGCCACGTATCATGAAACTTCGAGATCATCTGATATAGGGTTACCATATTTTTCTGATCTCAGAGCGGGACGCCTCTAAAGACCATAGCTGTGATTTTTGCACCTTTAAATTTTACATTGGAGGCCGTCATTTTAAACCATCCCGACCGTCTTCATTGACCATATTGTATTCGAAAGATCTTGCGCTGTCTGTCTGAATATCGGTTTCAGTTCGAAAAATAGAAATAAATTTACGTTAACGTTAAGCACCCATTTGGCGTACGGGTCTTACACGTTACAAAATGTAGCAATTATCCGCTAACAAAACCACGCACCCACCATCAGTGAGAAGGCTAACGGTACGCTACACAGCAACAACAGTAGACTATATATCAAGAACATTCTAATTGGTATTGTTCGTGTATTATGCTGACTAGTTGAACGCTAAAGCGGGACATTTGGCTGACCTGTGGGATACCGGGACATGACGTTGAAAAGCGGGACTTTCCGCCTAAAGCGGGACGTATGGTAAGCCTAATCTGATATAACTATTGTGTAATAGGCCTTGCACATTGCATTGAATATGTATGAATCATACAAAACTTACTGGCTAAACCAAGGTGTCCTAAAATCTGATATTCTTATTTATACCTGAGCATTGTGTGATGCGTAAGTGACTGTTAATTGCTGAATAGGGTGATTGCTCAATTGTATTATTTAAATCGTTTTTAGGGTTTTCCCGTTTGAAAATTTTCTTTTTTTCATTTAAAAATAGTATACGGTGTATGACGGTTTCAAATCATTTGAAGATGACGAATCAACTCACGGAAATTAAAATGCGTTGCATTGGACGTTGACCAATTCATTTTATATGAAACATACACAAAATTTGTTATATGGTTTAGCGTGACAATCGAGATGAGGTCATTGAGTTATATTAGGGAGTTTTTATGATATTGTTATATAAGACGAATATTTAGAACGTGTAGCAGTAAGCAGTTTATATTGTAAAGTTTGAGCATTTATTACAGTATACGAGGTTCTGTTCAAGACTAGACAAGGAATTGCAGAGATTCGATAGTTTTTTTTCATACATTTTATATGACGAACACTTCCATCTTCATAAAAAGCATTATTGAGTCCGGGCATTGCTTAAGATTTTGTAGTTTTTCGTTCTGTTGTTATGGTTCTGTGGGCGATAATCATTTCCATTCAATTGTCCAATAATGTATTTTGCTTACTATAACTAGCATGTGTAGAAATCACGCTCTTTATGATTTTTGTATGATATAAAAAATAAATTGACGTTGTGCTGTATGGGGCTACAACCGTTCTGCCCGAATTTTGTGTAATATTGTTGTGTACGTGAAATAGGTGCAGATACTCAAAGGTAGAACGTGATGAAACTGATATCAAAAAGCAAACATCTCAACCATCAATACTATCTAGTGCTGGACTTTTGCGAAAATGAAGTCTTAAAGAATAGATTTATCTGCGATTTGCGCGAATTTAATTTTGTGATAATAACCGATATCAATAAAAATATGCCACTTTCCTCTCGCCACCAAACCATCCACGGAAATTTGCAGACAAGATCCACACAAAAATCAGTTTCACAGAATAACTCTTGGTGCTATCAGTTTATTGCCTAGCCACTTCTGATCTGTTTTCTCTGAGTTTATTCTAGGTTAAGTTGAATGGTGAACCTGATTTATGCTAACCACGATAAACTGAATGAAAGAAAACATTCTATATATTTCGCGAGTCTTGCTGCACAATAATAATTAGCCGGCAGCAAGACTATTGATTCCTACGAAATCTTTTGCTGGTCGTTGTGTCTCAGTTTTGCAGTGAAGGTGAGATCCTATAACAAAGAAAATCATGCTTGCATGGCATCGAGAAGCAGATTTGTCATAACTGTGTTAGTTTATTCCCCATTTGTGTTTTCTAATTTTATACCTTATAACAGACATAAAGTCTTCAGGATATTGACTTAAGGATTTTATTAAACTACATATGCTGACATTTACAGAGTTATAGATATATTATATTAATATTGTACTTAGTGTACTATTGTATTTTAAGGTTATGTAAGAGCCAAAATTGTACGTCATACTCATCGGTGAAATTTTAATTGAAGGATCACAATCATTTATTTCTGATGCGAAACTGTTGCAGAATGAAGGGACGAAAACTACGACACAATGAATGAAACGAATAGCCTACTATACTCACATATATAAAATTTGAAACGGTTGACATTCATTTTTAGAAAATATGTAGCAGAACCTTCCGCGATCTAGTCTCGACGGTAAAAAAATAAAAATATGCCACACTGTGTACATTGTAGATACTAACAATGACCCGACTCTCCGTTATTACAAAACAAGAATAGCTAGAAATAAACAAAACCACAGAAGGGATTCTTAGACTTGTATGTAAATAAGGGACTCATATTTTCATTGTTAAATTAAATCTTGAAATATATTACGTCCACCTTTTTCAATTGAGAACAAAGTAACGCGACACATAATAGGCGTGGAATATTTTGTTGTATTAAATTGCACCATTCTGTCACTGTATTTGGAAGTATTTACCTTGTAACTGTAGAGACGTTAGCACATACAGTCACCTGGTAATATATACTATTCGGTGAGTCGCGCGACATGAATGTAAATATTTTTCTGCGACATAAAACAGCACGTCCTTCTAATTTAAGAATCAAAGACAGCTAACTTTCAGCCAGTTTCAAATATTGACTTCAGGTTCATGTTGTGAGGTTAGATAATAAAACTCGGAATTTTACTTTTTGCCATATTATTAGACACGAAATGAAGATATGGATCGTTTTGTCGTTATGTTTTTGTTGTTCTTCTTCAAAATTTATCTTAGTTGAGGTGCTTGCCAAAATGGGCTGGCTGTTCTTGGTAATTAATGTGAAGGTAAATTAGAATATATATGAAACCGCGACTTTGCCGTCACATACTGTATTTATGCTTTCTGTTGCTACCTATGTCTCACTAAAAAGACAAACGACGGTCATTTGTGGTAATAGCGCTTTATCAGAATTATCTTTAAAGAAACTGGTTGCGAAGGGAATATATTCCGAAAAGCATCTGCGGGAAATCATAGAAATTCCCTTTTGTATATGACAAAGCCTTTAAGATAAGATTTCGTTACCGCAAACCACCTTTTTTAGTAAATCTTTCGAATGAAGTATGTCGACAAACGAGAACCTTTTTTAGCTTTATTCTATAAAGATAAACATGATACATTCATTTGCCGAGGAATACTCGAGATAAACGTAGTTCACGAAAGCTTCTCGCTAGCTAAAATCAACTATTCATAATATGTAGAGTGTATAGTATACAATGACTCAAAACAAAGCCAGTCAATAAGAAAACAACAGTTGAACGGGAAGTAACTTGCCAAGAAACAATTGGTATTTTGAAAGAACTTTCGTTTACAGAAGGTACGCGGAAAGATTTTCCACGGTTCACCTTGAAAGTTTGTTCAGGAGTTGGGCGCTGACACGAGTTATAAGCTTTGTTATAATCGCCGACTCATTAAAATTGTAGATAATATTTTTGCAGGCTGGAAAAGCGTTTTAATACATGTGGGTAAAATTCACGTTTTTTTTGTATAATGTATAAATTAGTGTACCATCAACAATGTGGAAGTTGTTTAGGAAGTGAAGATCACTGGTATTAGTGCAACGGTTGAATGAAGTTTTATATTTCATATTTGTAGTATCATTTTAATCATGCCCCACTAATATGATTTATTGCATATTACACTTTGTACAAATACTTATGAGTCAGTAATTCAGGAAACTAACTTAACAATTTTGAGACTATCTTTCCCGTCTCGAATCCATCATTTATTTGCGTCATATCATTTAAAAAGTTTGTGACGTTTATGATAAATTTCACGTGAAATAATTCGTAGAAAATACGAAATGACAAATGCAATATAAACAGTCAGTACATTATTGTGGTGTTGTCAAGGATGATAAATTATATCGTATTGTTAATATGTAATGAACTGCATAGAAAAACAGATGGAGTGGCGACAATATCAAACAGTCGTAAATAGTAACTGTAGCAAGGAGCATCGTGGGTACCTCTGTTTATAATTTGGTTCCTCGCAAAGCCTATAGGTATCGTAGCTCAGTCACGGCTGATTTAGTAAATACCCCGTGACAAGATTGTACATAACACCCTGTGCATAAAGTATCCATCCAATGCTCTCCGTATGCCATCTGCTTGTCGATGCTACAATATGTCATTATTGGTATTTACATTGTAAGCATAGAGCGGAAGCGAAAGTAACGAACTTGAGACCATTTTATTAGGTATTACAATGCTATTAATTAAAAATGTGTTGTCGACATTCATTGATCGGAGAACATTCCTGAAACCCGGTGTCATGTTATATCAGATTTTTTGGTATTTATTTAAACAGCAAACCATGATACCATATATATACAAAGTATGCAAAAAACATGGATTCCTTCGGAGAACAACGTCCTGGAAAACTTAACTCGATTCTCAAATGATAAGTGCTGTAAAGTGTAAACAAACAGCCGAACTACTCTATTTGATCGAGTACAAAATATCATATTGCCCAACCAAGATTTCTGGCTTTCTTTAAATCAGCGATCCTACCACACCATATAATGTGACGTAACGATTGACAGTAGCTCTTTACTGTGAATTTCTCCTACACTATTAATATATATAATCATAACATCCTTGTTATAGCTTGGTGAAACATATTTGGACATTTCGAAAATATATTCGATGATCTTATAAACTAATTTATATAATAAACCTTTTCCTGAATTGAAATTGATGGCACAAGTTTTCGTCGAACAACCAGAGTCTTTACAAGTGAGCAATTCGCATTCGACTATAATTGGCGGAGGTATCCATAATACTTCGATTACAACAATTCATTCTCGTAATGAATCAATTCCAAAAGCTAGTAGCAGAGGTAAGACATTGGTATAGCATAGTTATCTGCTCAAATTGGTTTCTTGGGTGATTTTCTTGCATAATTCTACTGAAGTCAGCGGTTTCGTTTCGAATCGGCTTCCTTGAGTGATATCATTAAAATAACGTTGTATCAAATCAGAAAAACAAAATATTTATTTGGTAAGATAACAAGTTTTCATTTCCTTTTTTTTTTTATCTTAAACAGGAAGACGCGAGTCAGTTAGAGGATTTTTCAACAAGATCAAAATTACAACTGAAAACAAAACAGGAGCTAGTGTAGTTGCAGAGTACAGTCCGTTAAAAGAACCTGATTTTGAAGTGTGCCCCATTTTGCTCCAAGTGGATTTTTATCGCGGTGTAGAAGCTGCAGGAAATGAGCAATATTCTCCAGAATCAAATTTCACTCCAGGTGTTGATAAATGGAAGGGTCAACGTGTTGCATTAGAACAACTACATGATAGCCTTGGCAAAACAAGATGCCGCCATGTTTCTTTAGTTGGTGGAGCTGGTAGTGGAAAAACAACACTGTTAAAGCGATATGCAAGGGGACTTGCTGAAGGCAAAATCTCCTTAAAAATTCGTGAAAGACCAGATGTTTGCAGAAGGCTCACAATGCCTCGGAGACGAAAACCGTTCTTCGGACACTTTATAAATGTAAGGGACTTACCAATTGGCGGAACATTTACACCATGTGAACTTATCTTCAAGAGTATGGTAAAGGAACTGAGCAAAGACGAGTTGAATGCTGGATACAATAAGCTTATTAATAATCAAGAAAATTGTATTTTTATCATTGATGGCTTGGATCAGTATGACTGGCAATTAGAAAATGAATCTGCAAAAATTGATTATTTTACTTCTACCACTGTGCCAAGTATAATATACAATTTATTATGCGGTGAGCTTTTTCCAAATGCTTGGGTGGTCACATCATCAAGACAGCATAAAATAAGATTTTTTCAAGACAGACTGCGAGCGGATAAAATTATTGTTCTGAATGGTTTGGAACAGACTGATATTGAACACCTTGCCGTTGCATTACCAAAATCAGATACGACCGTTTGGAGCCGCTTGAGTGAACGATGTCCCAATTTATTGATCATGTGCAGAACACCACTTTTTCTCATTTTCACAGTTTTAGTTTTTATCTGCAAAACGGATTTTTCTCTCGACACAATGGCTGGGGTTATGACTGTCTTCATCCAATGCTTTGTAGAATCAAAGTACGCTACAATTTCTAAAGAAAGTTCGACTCTTCAAAAATTAAAAAAAATTGCGTTCCGAGGAACTGTAGAGAGAAGAGTACTTTTTACAGAAGACGATTTCAAAACTGTTGATTTGAAATCGGAAGACGCCCAAGATCTTATCATTTTTGCTCCGAGGCAAACATCGATTATAATTCGAGAGAAGTTATTCAGTGACGATTACGTCATGTTCTTTTGTCATCAGTCGGTGCAAGAAACGTTTGCGATGTTGCACATATCAAAGATGGATGTCAATGAGTTCAGACAGTTTCTAGAAGAAAATATCAATGTTCCCCACTTTTCTGTTGTCAGACGTCTTTTATGTGGTTTTCTTCTCAACAGAGAAACATACGAAGCTACACACGGTCTTTTTCAAGGTAGGAACGGGTTCTTCCTGTTAATATTGAATGGTATTACTTATCATTGAATGGTTTTCAAAAATGATCATGTAGTCTCTTTCTGAATCCCTCGACTGAAAAAGGCAAGCTGCTATAACTCCTGTGAAACTGTTAATATATATAGTTTTTAAAGTAACCTTGCATTAATTTATTTGTTTTTCAACTTATTAACTTATGTCCAAAAAATATTTATAAAGCCATTTCTTTTGAATAATCAACTGACGTAATTTCGAAAAAAAAACTATATACCAAAGTCCGGTCCCTTTTACTATATATATTTGCTAGGAGTTCAATTCTACTTATACGTTTCTTAATTCAACTAAATGTATTAAGACAATTCTATCAAAACTGTAATTTATACTATTAGTAGTGTTTTGACTTTGTTCCATCACATTTGTGAGAGTTGTTAGGTTGTCTATAATTTGACATCTTGCTTAGATTCAATCTCTCTTTGTTTTTGTCTGCATTTTAATTCGGATTGTAATCTAGTTTCAGATCACGAGGAAAAAAAGGTATTGCTTGCTGTGTTTCTTAAAGAAGCACTAGAAGCACATTTATCAAGACAAGATTATCTGGAGCTTCTATCTTCTCTCTACGAATCTGGTTCTGGAGCAGATTCTTTGTTGGATTCGCACCCTTCTTACGTCAAGCTAAGTAGATTTGTTTTGACTCCAACTGACGCGTATGTACTTGGTCGGATACTGAGCCGAATGCATAAACTAGATATCTTCGAACTTTGGGACACTGACTTGAATGAAGAAAAGATGAACATCATTTGGAATGAAATACAAAAGTCTAATTTGCAGGTAATAATGGAAATAACAGTAAACTTCAACATTACCATATTGAAAAGTATGTGGTGAAATTTAAATTTGTCGAAAAAGGCGATATCGTTATTGGGAACAAAACTCGTGTTTTTCGAATTGCAATAGACATGCCCCTAAAGTCGAGCGACTCATATTGAAATCATTTTTACTATTAATATATATTTTGTACTTGAAACAAACTAAACATTTTGTTGAAATAAACTCGGAATATTGAAGATCCGCCTACATGGCCAAGTGTTGAAAGTTGCATCATCAGGGAAACCCCTATTCACTGATTCAAATATCGCTATTTAAACCCACTTTTTTATCTAATGTTTTGTGACTATAACTTACAGATAAAATCTCTGGACGTTCATAGTAATCACCGATACGATTTTGATTGCGGAACTCTTTTCAAAATGATTGTACACTGTGAAGTAGAGAAACTTAACATCAATGATTGTTCATTAACGGATGAAAGATTGCAAAAATGCGCTTCTTTTCCTCCTACCAAGGTTTGTGACAAGTTTGTATATAATTATGAAGGATATTATTAAACACGTTATTGCTAGTATAATAGTTTATAATAATAATTTATCAATATATAAATAGTTGTCTACAAATTTCTTGTATATTATGTTTTCCAATATTTCAATTTGGTTTAGTTTATTTATTTAGTTGGTAATATGTCTGCAGCCTGGCAATACCGTGCAAACTGTTCATCAAATCATTTTATTGAATATATTTTGAAGTACATATACTGCAATATACATATAGTCACCATCACCAGACTAAAATGTTTACTGTTTATCACAAAAACAACCACAAACTAAATATCTTAAATCGTTTTTTCCCTTATAGCTCATCAAAGTTGATATCAGCAGAAGTGAAAAACTCGGCTCAATTGGGATTGCAATTATAGGAAATGTTGTAAAAAATTCCCAAAACGAGTTCAAGAAATTGAATATTGCAAAATGTAATTTAACGAAGAATAAAATAAGATGCCTACATCGATCTCTGGGAAAGACAAAGGTAACACATATTATTTCATCATATTTAGACAACGTTCATGACCTTGAACTTGAATACCAAATACTTCCAATATTGTTTCCTAGATTGAAATACTAGACATCAATTACAACCGGTCTATGGGAACCCAAGGTGCGCGTATCATGGGACAAATCGTTGAAGACAGTTCCGCGAAAAAAGTAAATATGAGTAGATGTGATCAAACAGCTGAAGAGATTTCCGCGTTTGCCAAAGGTTTGGGCGAGGCAACGGTAAGTTTACAATAAATAATAAGGTAATGAAGCGTTGTAATGAACATAAAGTGAACATATGAACCGTTTTGTTGAATTGTTGTTGTTAGTATTCTTCTCCTTGTTATTGTTGTTTCTCTATGATTACTCGACCAATTGCTTTTGAATATTCAGTGGTTGAATTCAGATTGTTGTTGTCGCTAGTAGGCCATTACTTTTATTTATTTCAAAAGTGTCGGTGAGTCATATGGATTCGTTTTTACTTAATTTTTGTGTGATGATGTCATAGAAATTAAAAATTGCGCACCTTGCGTTACGCATTAACCCAATTTCAGCGACCCGGGGATCAGCGAAGCATGACCGCCGGTATTGTAAATGATTTCATACTACTTCGATTCGGCCTTCGTGAAACTGTTTTAACATGAATGCAGATATTACTATTTCCAAGTAGCCTTTAACATTCGTATTTATACTACAGATGGACGTCTTAGACATCACGACTCATGAATTGAAAAAGTATGTTACTAAGCCTTATGTCGATGCAATATCAAAACTATTACCTCATGTTACTCAAGAATTGAAAATGATAGACTGGAAAATAAACGAGAAAATGAAAAGCATGGTGCAGCAGCATATCGACGATTCTGCTCACCCAGTAAGTTGTATTAAAAATAGGTATAAAGAATGCAACCGTCTGTAGTGCCCTTTCTCTACTAAACTCAATGTTTAAGTCTGTTTTCATGTGTCATTTCAATATCATGTAAATGGTTTACATGCGGCATGTTTTAAATATCATTCTATGATGTCTACATATGCTTTTCCGTGCTGGTTCATATGATATTGTTTCAGGACTTCAAGCTCGTTTATGAAGACAATGGAAGATGTACATTAACAAAGCAAACCTAATCGATATGTGCAAAAAAATAATTTGAATTGAGGCTTACCGCATGGGCAACTATTGTAATAACGACCCAGCTTCGAGAACACCAGCATTTTTTGTCAATTTGGAAAAATACATCTTTTAATAGTTGATTTCGCGTCCCGTGGCATCTTTTTTCAAGGCCTGTGTCAGATGGAACTGTTTGAAGTATAACAAGTTAACAACATTGAATGCTAAGATATTTTTCTCGGAGTGATTTGACTATTTGGGCCAACCAATAATTTTCAATTATTTTTCTACGCTACAAGTTAAGATGACCGAAAGTACACCGTCGGAAGCATGCAACAGGGAAGCCCCTTTAATGACCATGAAACGTAACTTAAAATTTGAATACAAACAAAAAAGTGGTTCGCCTTCTTTATTTATTAATAAGTAAGTATCTGAACAGGAATATTTAGACATTCAACAAGTTTCAATGGACCTGTGAGAATATGCGACATGCGTGAGGGGCAAAGCAACAATTTTATGCAACGAGATCCTTGGGCACATTTTAGCGCCAATATGGTAATTTTGTGCTTACGTCAGGATTTTTTCACAGTTCATGCTATTCAACTAATGCTACTAGGAATTAATTTTGTATCGACTCTTGAACTCGGACGTGAATTTGCTGAAATGTCATACCATGACGCACCTAGTTTTAATAGTAAGTGTTTTTTGCGGTCGACTGGTCATACGGCGTGTTATTCGCTTGTTTTTTATTTCTCTTTAAAATGATTTCTGCCGTTCATAAATTTCAATCAGCTTGCAATTGATAATTTTAAACATTAGAAAAACATAGTGGTGTTGAAATGAAAAAAATAGGAATAGTCGTCAGATTCATGAAATATAATACCTTCGGTGAAAATATGGGAATACAATGGCCCCCCTATATCCGGAGTTCCAAATTATAGCTGTAAAACATATCATAAAATGGTTATTGTTATCATGTCATTTTAAAGACATTTGGCTTTCCATTTAATGTTATAAGTTATGTTTTGTAATACAACTAATGTACATGTATAAAGCAACTTTCTATAAACTCAGACGGAGTCTCAATGAATTTTTTGCACTTATAAATTCCAAACATATTTTCCCAAAGCCCTAGATATCTGTCAGAATCAAAAATCTATCAAATTGTTTTAACGACTGACTCTTGCTACTCTGAACAAATCCGCTATATTTGATGAACACAAATGTCTCAAATATCTGTTTATTACAAAAATATTCTTATTTTGAAAGACAAGCTGACATAAATAATTCAAATTACACACGAAATAAATTTTTACTGGCTTTATTATATGGTGTTAAATATTGTTAAAAATTTGCCAATTTATGAGCACAAATGTATCAGATTTCACGATTCCTTGAATTAATTTTACACTCATTCGGGGATATTGGACTGAGAATCAACTGAAAAAATCACCGATACCTTCTGACAAGCAAAATCGACATCAACTTCTGTTTGTGGATAAATTGAATTATGAATTTGGTGTTAGCGAGAATCATAACGTGTTTCTAATTTGATGACGTTTTACGTTGTTACGCAGACGTTGCAAGCGTATCGACGCAGCATTATTGCGACATAGTCCTGTTTCTCGATTAATCCCGGGAATTCTAAATTATCGCCACGCTGCTTCGATGAGTTGGCACCTTCTGTCTTGTATCCAGTGTAATCTATTGCGCTAGGAGTTGTTTATCGTGTTTAATATTGGGTTTACTATTCGCGGTTAGGATAAACGATTCGAATTGAAGTTATTAATTGGGTTTAAAATCAACGGTTTATACTGGAGTTGTAATATAATGTAGGGATACAGGTTAGGGTTGTAATATAGTCCAAATAGAATGATAAATGCTGTTTCTTGTATTTAGTCACATAAGTTAAGTTGTATTTACTTTGGATTATAATTTGTTGAATTGAGTCGCCTGGAGATCCTAAACATTCGGTATGTAAATATTGTTTTATCTTGTATGATTTATTCTGTATTTTAGTATTGTGAATACTATTTTATCCTATGTGATTTAATCTGTACATAATTGTGACATATGGTTATCTGCTAATTAATGTGAATTGTTATTGCTTGTAAAAATGGTAATGCTGTTATATTTGATTAATTGTGCCATATAAGCTATTTAGTTTTATCTATTATTTTGGCAGAAAACCGTTCCTTTAACAACGTTACGTTACGTTCCATTAACAACGTTCCTTTACGTTCCTCATACCCGGTATCAAGATTTACGTTACGTTCCATTAACAACGTTTCGTTTCCGGTACCCGGCAAGTTCTATTTTCCTGATTCATGTTTCGAGATTTGATTTGAAGTGTCTGTTGATTGTTATTAAAGATATTCACCGATTTCAAGTTGAATTATATTGGGGCAGCATTTGAAAGGCACAGAAGAATCTGGCGGCACTTTAACCGCTGTTTACAGACTTTAATTGCTTGAAAGCACGGACTAGTTGTAACAATTAACCGATATAGGTTGGGGTCAGGACTGGGGTATTGGGACGCGTTTTTGAAGTCTCCAAACACTTAATGTGCGTGAGAAGTAACCAGGCTACATAGAATCGAGCGCAACATTAAAGTTTTCGAATGCAGGAAAACTGAAGTTTTCTGTTTCGAAATCAAACCAGAGTATTGTAAGCAGCAATTGAAAGATATCAAACTTTTCAATTGATCCTAGATTGAGTGAAGAAAGTCACTTAAAAGTCGAAATGGCTGCAAAACCAGTTTCACAAGAAGAACTGGAATGTTTATTGGCTGATCTGAATGGTCAGTATAGATCAGCAGAAGAATTGATGTTGAATCCAAGAAATAAGGAGATTCTACAGTCACAAGTAAAAGAAATAGATGCAATGTTTGTGGAGTATTCTAAAGCTTATGAAATACATGTTGCAGAACTGCCAGTAGATGAAGAGGCTCAAAGAGTAGCTAAAGAATCTTTCCAGAGAGAAAGTTATGGATATGAAGAGTTCAAAGCACATGTTGAAGAGTGGCTTTCCAAGCAAGAAAGCACACAAATAGTTGAGAATCCTCCATCAAAACCACAATCTATAGCTAGTAGAAAATCCTCTAATATGTCAAGACCTCGATCTGCAAGGACAGCATCGAGTTACAAAAGTACAAGTTCCAGTTACAAGAGAACTGAGGCAATAGCTGTCAGAGAACTTGCAAAATTGAAAATGAAGCAACTGTCAGAGTTGGAACAAGCCGAAGAAAAGAAACGGCAAGCTGAAGAATTAAAATCAGCATCAGAGAGAGAAATAAGGCGAGTACAAGCTATACACGAATATCAAGCCGCATGTGTAGAGGCGGAAGTGTGGGAAATAGGCTCTAATCGCAATGAAAGGGTTCAGTTTCAAGAAATGGAATCTGGACCACCGATAGCACAATTGGTAGAATGTGAAGCAGCACGGGCTGAAGTAAACACACCTCAAGTGGGTCAAACCAATTGTATTGTGCCTCCTAGAGAGCCACAAGTTAGATTATCCCTGGATCCGGTCCAGGAAGTGGTTGCGGAAGTGATGAATCCCGTTAATCAAGAATTTCGAACTAGACAAGGTGGAACGAGACAGGCTAATTTGGTGAGTCCTGTAGAAGTACCTAATATGCCATCACAAGATGTTAGCACAGTTCTTGCTACTATGACATCTACAATGCGTGACATGGTAGATTTACCTAAACCAGAATTACTTTCGTTTCATGGTTCTCATGAAGAATATACAAGATTCATGAATAGTTTCAAGATAAATATTGAGAACAAGATTTCAGATGACAATCTGAGACTTACTTACTTGCAACAATTTTGCAAAGGTAAAGCAAGAGAATTGATTCGTCAATGTTCTGTATATCCTCCTACAGAAGGATTGACTTTAGCAAAGAGACTTCTAAGAGAAGCTTACGGAAGACCATTGTTGATTGCCAGAACTTATATGGAAGAGTTGGTACATGGTCCAATGTTGAAACCAGATGATCGAGATAGTCTTCTGAATCTTTCTCATAAAATGGAAGAATGTTACCTAACACTGTCGCATTGGAAGCAATATTCAGATCTAAATAATTTTGACAATATTGCTCAACTTTCATGTAGATTACCCCTGAAGTACCATAATAAATGGGAAGAGGAGGCTGCAGATTATGAGAATAGAAACATTGAACTAAAATTTGAACATCTTTTAAAGTTTGTCAAGAAAGCAGCAATTACGGCACAATCATCGATGGGCAAAGCTATGAGAGCTCATAAAGAGAGGGAAAAGGCTAAACACCCTCAAAAGAAGAGAATTTATGCAAATTCTACTTCAACAAGTGGTGATGGCAAACCTGAACAATCTACCGAGAAAAAAGGTACATTTGTGAGAAATAGATACAGATGTGTTATCTGTTCAAAAGATCATTTTCTTATTCATTGTCCAGAGTTTGAAAGAAAATCTGCAGGTGAACGCGAGGCTACAATTCGTGAATTTCATATTTGCAGAAACTGTTTATACATTGGTCATATGGCACGGCAATGTCGTAAGAATCCTGCATGTACTGAGAGAGGATGTGGTGGCAGACATCATAGAATGCTTCATCGAAATGTTGCAGATACTAAGCGAAAAGAGCAAAGTACAAGTTCCGCTACTCAAACTGCTACATCGGGATCGACCTTAACGAACTATACCAGAAATTCAGCTGGAGTATACTTGAATATAGTTCCAGTGAAAGTATCCTCACCTCAAGGTAGAGAAATTGAAGTATACTGTTTCCTAGACGAGGGAAGCACCTCTTGTCTATGTGATAAAAGATTGATGGAACTTTTAGAGATGGATGGTGAACCAATGAGTTATTCCATTACTACTGTAAACACACCGAATCCACAGAAACAAGATGGATTCGCTCTTGACTTAACTGTTAAACCACTGAAAGGGAAGGTTGTGTGACATTACATCGTGTGCTCACTGTGGATGAAATTCCGACAGTACCGAATAAATTACCTAAAAGGATTGAATTACAAAGGCATGAATATCTCGAGGGTATTGAATTTCCAAAATTACCTGATGAAAGAGTGATGCTCATGATTGGCGTGAATGTACCGGAAGTATTCTGGGTAAAAGATGAAAGGCGTGGTACTACAAATGAACCAGTTGCAAAAAAGAAGTATTCTTGGTTGGTCACTGGTCGGGCCTGCCTTTAATAAAGCTTCTGGGAATGAAAGTTTTCATGTACATGTTAATCATGTTGAAGTGAAAAGTGAAGATCTTCAACAACAAATTCGAGAGATGTGGGAAACGGATTTCAAAGATATATCATTGACTCCACACCAACATTGTCAAGAGAAGATAAGTATGCATTACAACTGATGGAAGATAATATAAAGATGGTGGATGGACATTACCAATCTCCGTTACCATGGAAACCAGGATGTCCTGAATTTCCTAATAATCGTGATGCAGTTATGAGAAGAACCAACAACTTGGGAAAACGCTTGTTGAGAAATGATGTTTAAGGGACAAATATTGCAAGTACCATGGCTGAATTTATAAGAAAGGATGGGCAAGGAAAATTCCTGCTGCTGAATTTGAAGCACCCATTGGTAAAGCGTGGTATCTTCCTCATCAACCCGTTACATCAGAACAGAAACCCTGGTAAAGGTACGCCTGGTATTCGATGCAGGTGCAAGATATTTGAACACATCACTGAATGATCAATTACTGCAAGGTCCAGACATGGCAAATGGATTGTTATCTGTTTTGCTACGTTTCAGAATGTACAAATATGGTATAACGGCAGATATAGAAGCTATGTTCTTACAAGCTCGTGTAACGCCTAGGATGTTGATGCATTGGAGTTCCTATTTTGGCCTGTGGAGATTTGACAAAAACTCCTGTCGATCATCAGATGTTAGTGCATGGTTTTGGAAATACATCAAGTCATTTTGTGCAAATTACTGTTAAGGAGAACAGCAGAAGATTTGGAAAAGACTTTTCCATCAGATATAAGTGACCAATATTAAATATAATTCATATATAGATGACTTCCTACTTGGAGCAGATAGTATATCTGAAGGAAGAGAATTGTCAAGCAAACCTCAGAACTTACTGAATGTTGGAGGTTTTCATTTAAACAAATGGAGGAGTAATTCAGAAGAAATTATTTCTTGTGTTCCAGAAAAGGATAGAGCACAAATTCAAGCAAACGTAAATTTAGACCAAATCGTTTTGAACGAGTTTTGGAGTCGTGTGGTTTCGTGATAGAAGATTGCTTTGGATTTAATACAAAGCTGAAGACAAAACCTGCTACGAAAAGAGGAGTTCTAGCAATTCTTAGTTCCGTATTTGATCCCATGGGTATTGTATCACCTGTGATATTGCAAGCAAGACTTATATTCCAAGAGTTATGTCGTCAACAATTGGGATGGGATGAAACTATCGGAGAAAATGAACAAATAGCATGGGAAAGCTGGACTAAAGCAATTCCAGACTTATCAGAAGTCAAATTACCAAGATACATTAAACCGAATTCATTTGGGGTTATTGTTTCACAAGAATTACATCATTTTGGCGATGCATCACAAGTTGCCTATGGATCAGTTTCATATTTGAGGTTATCAGATGAAAACGGTCGAATACACTGTTCATTTTTACTTGGAAAATCAAGATTGTGTCCTATCAAGACAATATGTTCACTTCCACGGCTGGAAATTACAGCTGCTGCGCTTTGTGTGCGAGTGGATATGTTTTTAAGACCGTCAATTAAAATTTGAGAAGAATGTTAGTCTATATTCTGGAGTGATACGGCACAGCTACTATACAATCAATTTACGAATTCGGCGAAAAGATTTCCTACTTTCATAGCTAACCGATAGCAAAAATGAAGAAGGTTCAGAAGCCACAATCAATGCGTTATGTTCCAAGTGAATTTGAAACCCAGCGGATATGCATCCCGTGGTAATAACAGCCAAAGAAATTTGATTGGCAAAGAATATCAATGGTTACAAGGACCAGATTTCTCAAAACGGCAGGAATGAAGAGAACTGGCTCACAAATGCCAGGTGTAAATTACCACATTACCATTGGAATTTATTCAGAAAAAGAGAATTGAATGGTCCTAATTAATCTAGTGACAGAGAATGAAGCATTGACCAAGTTCTCAACTATTATTCTTCATGTATAAGTTGAAGAAAGCTACGCATGGATTATCAGATTCAAATTTATTTACAAGCTAACCAACTGTTCAAAAAGGTAATTGCAAACAGAAGAGTGAGAAGATCCGAAAATGAGTTGATAAAGTATTTACAAAATCGTGAGTTGAATAAAGTTATTGCAAAGTTACAAAATTCTGATGTACAAGGGAAAAGTGTGCTTAGAAAATTGAAATTGCACCTTCAATACAAAAGTTGAATCCTGTTTTAATTGAAGGAATATTGAGAGTGGGTGGAAGATTGCAGAACGCACCCATAGATTTTGATTTGAAACATCCAATAATACTGCCAAGTAATCATCATATCACACAGTTGATTGTCAGAGAATACCATAAAAGTTCACATCATTGTGGAGCAAGTCATACATGGAATTTGCTGAGACAGAAGTTCTGGATTATCAATGGAGCTGTTGTTGTAAAGCGAAATATTCGTAATTGTATTTTTTGCAAAAAGAGAAATGCTTCGATGGGTAAGCAATTTATGGCTGACCTACCTAAAGAGCGTGTGACACCAGATCATCCACCATTCACATGTGTTGGAGTTGACAACTTCGGACCGTTGTTGGTGAAGCAAGGAAGAAGTTCTGTGAAGAGATGGGGCTTGATAATAACCTGTGCAACAACTAGAGCAGTGCATTTGGAAATTGTGCATAGTATGGATGTCAATTCATTTATTAATGGGTTAAGAAGATTCATAGCCAGAAGGGGCAAGATGTCAACCATTATTTGTGATAATGGGAGCAATTTTACAGCTGGAAATAAAGTATTGAAGAAAGAAATTCAAATTTGGAATTCCAGTAAAATGGGAGAATTTTGCAGACAAAGTGATATCATATTCAAGTTCAATCCTCCCACAGCTTCACACTTTGGAGGTTTCTATGAAAGACTCATCAGATCAGCAAGAAAGATATTGACTGCATTATTGCATGATCAATTGGTTACTGATGAAGCGTTGTCTACTATATTTTGTGAAGTTGAAAGTCAATTGAATTCAAGACCACTTACACCTATTAGTATGGATCCTTTGGATGAAGAACCACTTTCACCAAATCATTTATTGTTGCTGAAGCATAAAGCAAATTTACCACCAGGAATATTTGGACAAGAAAGATTGTTATGCGAGAAGAAGATGGCGTCAAATACAATATTTGGCTGACCAATTCTGGATAAGATGGTCCAGAGAAGTACTCGTCAATCTACAAGCTCGACATAAATGGTTGAAGAAGGAAGACAATTTCAAAGTCGATGATCTTGTGCTACTGGTTGACAACACAATACCAAGAGGGAAGTGGCTGACAGGCAGAATTATGGAAGTTATACCAGACAAATTTGGAGCTGTCAGACAAGTGACTGTCAAAACTTCTCATGGGTTTTTTAAGAAGACCAATAGCAAAACTTTGTATGATTCAGAGAGCTGATGAGTAATTCATTGTTAGTTGTATTACTTATTTGTGATGATTCTCACTTTTTCTTTTGAATTGTAAGATGTATTCTCTTCGTTCCTACATCTGGGCGGGGAATGTTTAGCGAGAATCATAACGTGTTTTCTAATTTTGATGACGTTTTACGTTGTTACGCAGACGTTGCAAGCGTATCGACGCAGCATTATTGCGACATAGTCCTGTTTCTCGATTAATCCCGGGAATTCTAAATTATCGCCACGCTGCTTCGATGAGTTGGCACCTTCTGTCTTGTATCCAGTGTAATCTATTGCGCTAGGAGTTGTTTATCGTGTTTAATATTGGTTTACTATTCGCGGTTAGGATAAACGATTCGAATTGAAGTTATTAATTGGGTTTAAAATCAACGGTTTATACTGGAGTTGTAATATAATGTAGGGATACAGGTTAGGGTTGTAATATAGTCCAAATAGAATGATAAATGCTGTTTCTTGTATTTAGTCACATAAGTTAAGTTGTATTTACTTTGGATTATAATTTGTTGAATTGAGTTGTCTGGAGATCCTAAACATTCGGTATGTAAATATTGTTTTATCTTGTATGATTTATTCTGTATTTAGTATTGTGAATACTATTTTATCCTATGTGATTTAAATCTGTACATAATTGTGACATATGGTTATCTGCTAATTAATGTGAATTGTTATTGCTTGTAAAAATGGTAATGCTGTTATATTTGATTAATTGTGCCATATAAGCTATTTAGTTTTATCTATTATTTGGCAGAAAACCGTTCCTTTAACAACGTTACGTTACGTTCCATTAACAACGTTCCTTTACGTTCCTCATACCCGGTATCAAGATTTACGTTACGTTCCATTAACAACGTTTCGTTTCCGGTACCCGGCAAGTTCTATTTTCCTGATTCAGTTTCGAGATTTGATTTGAAGTGTCTGTTTGATTGTTATTAAAGATATTCACCGATTTCAAGTTGAATTATATTGGGGCAGCATTTGAAAGGCACAGAAGAATCTGGCGGCACTTTAACCGCTGTTTACAGACTTTAATTGCTTGAAAGCACGGACTAGTTGTAACAATTAACCGATATAGGTTGGGGTCAGGACTGGGGTATTGGGACGCGTTTTTGAAGTCTCCAAACACTTAATGTGCGTGAGAAGTAACCAGGCTACATAGAATCGAGCGCAACATTTGGTATACTTTATACTTTATGAGTAAGAAGTAATCTAAAAATCATTTTCTTTTACATTTACAATCTTCAAATAGCTTAACATAACAGAAGGATCAAAGTTAAAAGCAAGGATATAATTCTACGAAGATTTAAATCAGGCTTGAGACTTAGTTAGAGAACTACATGGCCAAAGATGCTTCTTGATTAAATGCTTAATTCTTCTTTCCGCTTTTCTTCTTGTCGAGTTAAATTTGGGTTTATCGGGTTGAAGTATCAAGTTGAATTAAAGTCGTTTGCAATTTGTAACTTGTAGCAACTCCAAACCACTTCATTTATTGATCGAGTGATGAATTCCCTTAAGTCTTGAAGTATTACTCGATTCGGGTCGAGCATTAAGACTAAACAGAAATAAATTAAGTTCGCTAATCTTGAAAAAATTGGAGGTTTGAATCAGAAATGTGACTGAACAGTTAGTGGGTCGAGTCGATCCAATCTCGAATAGACTTTTCTTTCATAGGTAGCAAGACTTCAAGAGTTAACAACCGCTCCGGTGTGGAATTTGATGTTATTTACGAGCCATAACAACTTGTTGTCCATCTGTTCCAAAAGTTATTTTAAGATCCTGTGATAAAATGCAAAAAAGTGATTGCATAAGACATACTCTAGTATTTTATCTTCCATGTAAAGTTTCGTTGCATTTCGCTCCGAGTTAAAATTCCTTTTGAACGCATATTTTCGATTACTGTTATTTCAATACAGCCATTACTAATAGTTTCTCTCAAATTACCAAAATTACATCTCACCGGTAATGCTGCTGAATTCATATTTTCTTGTAACATGGTGAAAGCCTTTTCCGAAATATCCCAATTCTTCATTTTAATCTCTTTACTAACGTGACCCAAGAGTCTCGATATAGCAATTATATTGTGTTCCGTAGCATCACGATAAGTTTCAGAGCTAATATCCAATTCTGTCATCTGTATTTGTGTTTAAATAAATATTTATATGCTTATATATTTCAACCATGAAACCTAGGAATCTAGTCACCTATAAACAAATTTTGCACTTCACATTATAACTGTGCAATGAATGTGACAAATCGGGTCGAAAAAAAGAAACAAAGTGATTCCAAATATTGGACTATTTCACAGGAGTGTCGTTCGTTTTATTGTCATGAATCAATCTGAAAATCCGATTTTCTGAAATCGATGAAATTGTTTAATTGCCATTTTGCATTAGAAATTCTGAAACAACGGGAACTTTCAATTTATTACTTTGTTTCAATAAATTTTATAACATAAATGATTTAACGGTTAAAGGAATTTCCCCAAATCTTCTTTCAATTTAGGAACGGGGATGGGCATACGGCCCGAGTTTCCTTCCGAAAGAGACTGCAGTTGGTCTGCTATATTGTCAGCTCAGATCCACTCTGATCTAGTTTTCAAAAGCGTTAATCATAACGTGAAAAATATGCATGAAACACTAATATATATTCAATGGAAAATTACTTTAGCCGACTTGAGAGCTATTTGAAACTTTCTTATTTCCTTGTCTTTTAGCTGACAGTTACTGATGTTCAATTCTTGAACGCGGCATTCATGTAGTATTTCTCCAACCTTTTCTAAGCCGCGAATTTCCATGTATGGATTTGAGCTGAGGTCCAATTTTCTAAACTAAAGCATTATGTGTAGGTAAAAAGTATTTTAAGACTAAAATTCGATGTATTTTTAAAATACCTTTGTTCCTTTCAATCCTCTTTGAAATCGAGACAGACTTTTCGGTGTTATAGCACAATTACCGAATCCAATTTTTTCGAGGCCACAGTTATGCACAAGTTCTCCTATAATTTCGACTCCTGCCTTGCCCAGGTGCGGATTGTTGTTGAGGATAAGACCATCAAGCTGCACATCGTATAGAATGTTAATTTGTACAAAAATAATAACCTTCGCTAAACATACTCAAACATCGACGCAATGCGTCTTTTGATGTATCCTTTTTAAAATACTAGGGTCTAGAGATATTTATATATATATAAATGAGAATATATAATCATTGTTTGAGTAACCCTCACTTCTTTTTATTTCGACTCACCTCAACATTGTGTTTGAAAGCTTTTTGCAAATGTCTAACTTTGCTTTTGTCCAAATCACAATCGCTGATATCAACTTCTTCCACAAAGCAATGATCTACAAGTTTTCCAAAAGAGTTACAAGCAAACTCAAGATAACCGTTTTCTTTGAGACATAGTTTCCGAATCTAAATACAGTATATTCTTCTGGTAAAATAATTCGCATGGTAGTTGGAAGAAATCATTTATTTTTTAATTTTTGTGATAGTTAGGTTGACGCCAATTTCACGTTCACGGTTTTATTCATAAACCATTCGTCACAAATTTTCAAGTATTGACATAAGTTGATTACGTGCCAAGTCGTGCGATATTCTATAGAAAGTTGGTTACTCCTGAATTATGCGCACCAAGATGTCGCATAACCTGAACCCTGACCTGGTACACAACCTGAGTTCAGGTTGTGCGCCATCTTGTTGCGCATACTTCAGGAGGTCCGAAAGTTGACCAAAACATTATTTGAGGTTATTGAGAAAAAATACGCGACAAAAAAGAGTTGAAGTACAAATGTTGACCATCGTGATCGTGACAAATCTTTTTTTTTTGCATCACGAGAGATACCATATTAGGCAATGAACGCAGGGAACAATATCTTACCTTTGCTTTACCAGTTTTTATCAAACTCCACAGTGTGTCAATATTTTTGTCATCCAGGTAACAGCTTGTGAGATCAAGTAAATCAATTCGACCAGAGTTTGTGATGACTTTCGATAAGCTGTTTAAGTCTGACGGAGCGAGAGTAATATCTGATACAGATATCTTGCTGAAATCTTTATCTAAAGCCCGAAAAGTACTCTCATCACACTCACTCAACGCGGAAAGTATTTCAATCTTGTGTCTTGGTGAGGTATCAGACGACAACATTTTTCGTAGAAAATCTTGAAGAAAAGCAATCTTTTCTTCAAGTTTCGGTACTGCAACATGGTAATAATTGGTAATAATTTAGAACTTAGGGAAAATACTAAAATTAAACAGCATCATTTGAAATTTATTTGCAGATCTGTGCGTATATGTTCAATACTGGAATTCAGAAAAATGCACCCAACTGTTATTCCGAATGAAAAATTGTTTTCAGTACGAAGTATGTTTAAACCCTCATTGTTCATCTCAATTAGATAACATAATGGTCTAAACCTTTACGCAACTAATTAAACTTTATGTTCATCTACTTTAAAATTACCTTTTACGATCTGCTGATATTTTTGCCGCGTTGATGAATTGAGAATAATGGCACATATCACTTTTCTGATGAAAGAGAAAGGCGGTAGAGCCAAATGATTTGTGACGAACATACAAAAGCTTCTTGCGCTCATCGAGCAAACATGTAAAGCGCAAAGTGTTTTTTGGATGGCCATGTGAGAAAATTGCATTTCTGTGTAATTGCCTTTTCTTTTAGACTTTTTTCCTTGAGCGGTTACTATTGATAGATCTCGGATATCTTCAAGAGATATTCCAATGTCAATGATTTGATCTTCGCTGAAACGATACCTATGTGACATAGTCATCATGTAGGCCGTTTGCTTCAGTCTCTTGAGGATGAATGTAATATTTGGATTGTGAGAAAACTTTTCATAAACAAATAATCGTATTAAATTCAATATAACTATTGGCCCAGATGCAACTTTGACGCTTCTTTCTTGACTCGCAATCAACGAATTCATTACCAGATACAGTGGTGTAGAACAAGTTGACATTGATTCAGCGTCAATATTTTTTATTGCATTTTTATTCGATGCATCCGATATAGATTTAAAAATCTTCACAATATCATCTTCTTCTAAACCATTGAGTGCTAAAATCTTATCAGGTCGTAAATTCTCGTTATATAATTGAAGTACAGATTCATTACACGTAGTTAACAAAAATGCATCGGGAAATAGATGGCCACCAAGAATATTTGCAATGATGCATTCTGCGCTTGCGGTGTCGTTGTAATCCATTTGATCAAATTCAGCTTTAAAATTCCACCCCTGCTCATCTAAACCATCAATCACAAGTAGAATTTTCTTGTTTGAAGATTTCAGCCATTCACATCCAGCCTTTGCTTCTTCTTCTGTTAAGTTACCCACAAGTGATCGAAACAAAAGTTGAACAGGTGTGCACCGCACATGCGGTAGATCCTTCACAGTAATGAAATGGATAAAGTCAAATGATCCTTTACCCGAAAACGGATTAAAACCGGAAGTTGGTGCATCCTTTTCCGCATCACCAACCAATACATTGTTATCTAATGCCATCCTTGTGAAACGTCTCAGGAGAGTTGTCTTTCCATACCCGATTCCACCCGTAATTGCAATATGTCTCAATCTTTTCTTTTTTGTCTCTACATCTGATTCTTTTTCGTTTATTTCATCAACAACATCTGGTATTTCCGTTTTGGAATCAGGGACTTGCTTATAGAGATCAATTTCAATAAGCTCAGGAATGCTTTTAATTCCGACATCTTTAATATCAAATATTCCGTTTATGGGGCCCATCCCTGCAATTGTTGATGACCTTTTCGCAACTTTGTGACGAAAACTGGAGAGAGCGTTTCTTTTTTCTAAATTTGCAAAATATTCAACTGTACGACACAATCTAGTTATTTTGATGTTTAACGAATGATACACGATGGGGCATATACAAATTTAGTATTAAAATTTTCCTCTGAGAACCCTTTTTTCATTTCTCTCGACCGTATAACCTTTCATGACTAATGTCAGTTCAGTAAATTTACAATGATGAATGCTTGGGATACAATTTTATTGTATATACTAATAACCCGATTTCTAGTTGTATTTTAGTTCAGTTATGCTCAATTGTTCAATTATGATTAAAGAAACAAATACCATGGATTTTTTCTCCTTGAATATTCTTTTTTTCATCTTCATTAATAGAAGATCGTTCTGATGAACGAAAAGACCCAGTTGATGCAGTTTCTTCTGTAAAATAATATAAACAATGTGACATTTGGATTAATATCTTATAAATGTCGTCTTTAGTGAGTATTAGTATGCACAATGATAAATGAAAATGATTAAAATTCACTGGTAACACATGCCATAAACACAACACTTTGACAGCTATCACTGTCGCACTTGGGTGGTTTAAATTTCAGTCTATATACAACATTATTGAACATTATTGATTTGTATGATTTCACTAATTTGATTTTGCACTAAAAGTTACAATTGAGGCTGATATGAGAGAACCGAATATTGTTAATGGCGGATACACGAATTGTACTGCTGAGATTGGTGCCATGTACTGAAAAGAGCCCTTTAAAAGACTCAATATGCGCTTATTGGAACTTTTGTAAAACAAGCGAGCAATACTCAAAAATATGGACACGAAAGCCAAAATGCAGTATAAGATGTTTTATAGAACTCCATAAATGCAATTTCGGAACCGCCACAACGTGCGCAATTTGTAATTTTCATCACATAAAACTTTTAAGTGAAAACGAATTCTATAGAGCCCGCAAAAATTTAAAAAAAAAGTGATAGCTTTTTAGCGACAACAACGATAATTAACAACTGGAAATTTCAAAGCAATTGGTCCAGTAGTAAAAAAGTAAAGGATTTTTCACAACAACGATAACAACGAAATGAAGAATATCACAACACAACGATTCATAGGTCCATTTCGTGTCCAAAGACTGTTCTAATGCTATTCCTCTCTTGTCATGTTAATGTTGATGAGATGGTATGATATTAGAAAGTTGAACTACCCGAAGAATGAAATGATGCCAACATAGAGACCAGTGATCTAATTTCTAGTTCAGATGTATTAAAACCATGCTCCAAACACCCCTGGTTGAATTGGTTGGGACGTTTGGCTTAAGTGATATACCAACCTTGTGGTAATTGATACGCATAGGTCGACACTAAACTGTATGACCTGAGATCTGAACAATAATCAGACATTGGCACGGATTCGTCCTTGATATTTTCATGCTGATATTCATCATCATGATCTGTGAATCAAGATATGCCGTAACTCATCAGAGCTTTGCGGGAATGTGACATGCAATCTCTGTCTAAAAATGGCGTGCATCCTTGAGACACAATATATTAAACGCACATATTTGTATAAAATGCCGCAACATAAGTTATTCGATTTGCAAGAAATATCCTTTACAAATAATTACATTATGTAGATTATAAAAACGCTTTTCTGGTTTTGCCTTAAAACCCTTCTACAGCCGGAACGCCCATATGGGTGTACTTTTAGATAAATTGTAAAATTTATGTACTTATAGAGTCAATATCGCTCTTAGCTGTTTATCGACGTAATGCCCTGATATGAGAGAAGCGATAAAACCTTCCAGCCGTGACGCAAAGTGCGAATCCTATAAATATCCTGGATTTCAAAATCACCTGTCAGACGTCTGAAAAATGTGACTCCCTTCAGACAGGAAATACTCCTTTATAACGACTTATTATTGTTTTAGCATGTATTTTCAGTCATACTAACTATCCCTGACCATCCCTGGCGCTGTGTTGTTTTGATAAATATGATTTCGAATGCTCCATAGTTGGCAGAGGTATGGAGATTTTTTGTATGTAAAAAAAACGTAAAATTAATGGTAATTTTAACGCGTAAATGCGCGTATGAGATTGGTTACGCCGTTCTACGCGCATTTCCGTCGAAAAAAATTAATTTTTTTGCATTGGGGGTGGTCTGTGCAGTAATATTAAGAGCTGTGACGTCATCAGTATCGGTAATTTGACCTTGAACTTGACAATACTGTAAATACAATTGTGAATTTCAGAGTGATAACCATTTATGCTATAATAGTCGTTTTGGTATTGTTATGTTAGGAAAAACTTGACGAAAACGTTGAAGAAAAAATTAATTAATTAGGAATTAATTATTACCCTCTACTGTACACAGAATATCTCAAAGTCCAATTTTTTTTAGAAAATTTGAAATTTTTTTTTGCAAAATTTTTTCGAGGGTGTGTTTAAAGATATCTTGGCTGAAAGAACTCTAGCAGACGCTTTTTAAAAACCATGAATAAAGCTTAGGATTAATGGTTGACATAACAAATAAGTTAAAATACCCATAAAATGGGCAGGGCTTGAGCTTAAAAAGGGAGATTGCCGTAAGCAGTGGAAGTAGGGATTTGTTCAAAAGAATTGTTTGCTCATGCACATCTTCTCAGCTGTAAGTTCAGTGGGTTGGCGCAGTAAGACGCAACCGATAAAGCCATTAACGTGAACGACTCCTGCTGCGATGAAAACCACGTTTGCGGAAAATTGAAAATTGCGATCGGAATAAGATGAGTTTGTATAACTTTTGAAAAACTTCACTTCAACCTTAAAAACAAAGTATGCTAAGCATAAACTAACGAACAGTATTAACCGTAACAATGACTTCATTTTGTGAGAAAAATGTCAATACATGACCTCGAAATCCATATTATGGCGTCATAACAGATTAGTTGTGGCGTCTTTGCATCAGAGGACTCTTACATATAACATAGGCTAGGTTAGTGTGTCTCATCGTTCATATCAGTAGATTATCGCCGATATAAGCATATTCTTCATTATCGTAACCCACTCGTTTTGCAGAGGAGCTGCACTTGATCGAATTACTTTTGTAGTAGGCTCGTGAGCTAATTTTCATGATTTTTCTCACTCAAAACGTCTCTCTGATATCTCGGCTAAACATTCCGGGTAAAATCTTATGACTTTGGTGGAGATATAAATTGGCGATAAATGTACGCAATAGTGGTGAAAGTCAAAATAAAAAATTTTACTTCCATTTTTGAAATTATAATTCCGGCTGCGTGTGCAGCTGCCAGATTGCAACGTTTTGGCGTAGTTTCGCGGCGATGCAAGGGGTATTTCAATAGAAAATACAAAAAATACAGAACATTTCGATTTAAAACAAGCCCTTGTTTTAAAACACGATGTTTTTTTTAGAATTGATAAAAAACAAAACCCTAAGTGGAAGCGAAAGAATACAAAATCATACCGGAAGGTGATTCGTTATCTACTTGTGAAGCATCGGTCTGCATGATGTTCGCTGATTCCGATATTGATCCAGGTGGAATTTCATCATATTCCGCAGAATCCTGGTCTAAAAACTCATTGATGGCCGACCCAACCCAACGTAATTTTTCAACAAATCCTATAGGCAGTATGTCACAGAAAAAATATGTAAAAATCATGCCATATTCTAAATTTTCAATTTGGATTTTTATATTTATGGATTTCTCGAATACCTAACTTATAACGACTACTGAATAATATAAAGGATGACGATATTCTGTCATTTTACCTTCCCATGTAAAAAGCATCGGGTCTCGTACATCTGGTAGCGATCGAAATTTCTTTATGTCTTCGGATAGGAATCCGGATAGTTTACTTTTTTGTGGAGACTCTAGTTGTTCCTGTCTTTTGGCTGAGGCTCCTATTTGGCAACAATTACCATTTGTCATAAAATTTATGAACGACCTCCAACTGGCTCCTCTCATTCTTTCCCAAAATAATGCCATCCAGTCCGTCTGGATATTCACATCTAAAACACAAAACAAAATATGTCATTTTTCGTAATGCCTCTCCAATAAAATTTATTTTACAAGCACCAAACGTCATACCACTTTCGTGCGAGGGAATAGTAGTGTTACATGTGGCAACTGGATCTAATGTGGAAACTTGATCTTCATTCTTGAATATCATCTTTAGATGTTGACGATTCTATTGCATCGTTTCAGAAAAGTTTTGAAATCGCTTCCACGGTCTTATACAGTATTTTTTCAACCGTCTTTTAAAAATATAGAAAAAAGTAGTTATAGCGAAAAATAATCAATATTTTCTGCTCGTGAATAATCATCGAACACCGATTAAAATAGTTAGAAAGCAAAATTTATTTGTCGATTTTGCTAAAAATGCTAAGTTCAATAAATAATTTTTATTTGGCACTAGGTTTTCTGATTTATAATAGATGAATACTATTAAATTTGAATTCATATACATTTTGGCTAATTCTATAATTCTGAATATTACTCTGCTGCTCTTACTGTGACTTCTCTATCAATATAATATATATCTAAAGCAATAAAGTAAAAATTAGCGGCTTTTTGCCTTATCCGAATTATTACATTATGTGGTAAATCGAAGATCATTAAACTAAACTGGTCTAATGATATGATCCTAAATTGAACTAGAGATGATACAAAGAAACGCGCCTCTCGCCCGGTATCAACTTGGCTTCACTGGCAACTCCAAATCAATACTCGTTGATACATTCTATAATACATTCTATAAAACAGAGCACAATTTCCGGTTTTACGTGTGCATGACGCTTTTGTGATTGACACTCGGATACTATTTAATTGTACGATTTACTATATCTACATTTTTTCACCCTAGTCCCAGGAAGAAATCTTCATTTCGATCGTCACCAACACATTTACACTTTGCAACTAGTGGTCTGCCAAGTATCATTCAGTATGACGTAGTAATTTGATCAAGAATCAAGCGTAACACACAACGAAGTTGACACAGAGAATAAATGATTGCATGATTTGTTTGAACACGATTAACGTATTGATTGGATGCTTACTTCAGTTCGTGTGTATTATACCCCATCAACGATTATGAATTGACACTTAAGACTAATGTTTTCAAAGCAAGACATTTTTCAAATTATGAGTCGTGACTGTATCTAACGTAAATCAGATCGCTACATTTCGCAGAAGAAGTCGAAGGTCTGAAGTTTGTCATCATTCATTTTATAAACATGGTAGTACAAAGAAATGCATTCGTGATTTTCATTTTGTTTTCAGCACACGGCAGAAATTTAATTTGCAATATATTCATAGAAATAAAGCAAGTTGAATTGTATTCTTTTTACAGGTGCATTAGAATAATAAAATGAATGGCCCAGAGTCAGAATCAGTCGTAAAATACAATGAGGAAAATGTTACCGAAGATGTTGATTATAAAACTGTAGATATAAAAGAGGTTCCAAATTTATCGGAGGACGCTGGAACCTTGGGTAAAACGGAAAAGAAGAAAGAAAAAAGAAGGGCAAAAGAAAAAAAGAAAGGAGGTATAATATTTTTAAATTAAATATCAATATTAAACAGATGACATCAAATTTTTCATACTTATCTTTCAGAAAATTCAGTTTTTAATTTCGTGGGATAAATTGATATAAACTTATTTATGATTATCACTGAATTTGATTTTCATCGGATTAAGAAATTGTTCGCGTGCGTTCGATATTGCTCTCTCTTGTGACAAAACCCTTGAAATAGATAATAGATCAAACTCACAAGTCTATCGCATTTTAATTATTAAGAAATAAATTGAATAAAAACATTATGTTTTGTCAATGATGATGAATAATAATTAATTAATGTTTAAAATCAGATTTAATTTTATTTTCAATATATTTCGATAACCTATTTTTTTCATAAGTTTCAATCGCTTTAAATGAAATAAAACTTCAAAAAATATAGCAATTTCTTCGTTAATTGCATAATATTCTCCTCCACGAAGACGGGATAAAATTATTTCATGAATTATGGACGTTTAAATTGAGACGAGGAAGATTTGAATTGCCGTTGTTTTGTTTTGTTAAAAGATAAAAAAAAATGACATTATATCCATGATGTTATGGTTCATGTTCCAATCGTTAAATCGAAAATATTGCCCAGTGACCCCCAGTATAGCACCATGGTCCAAGTGTAATCAAGATAAAAATAAAAATACTTTCCCGTCCTGTCATCACAGCCACTGCAGTTGGTGACGTGACAAAAAATCTTATTAATTGTATGATGTTGTTACCTTGTTACTGGTCCATTGCAACGATCGGGTTATTATCATTATAAACATATATACAAGTGAAAAATATTCAAATATATGTAGACTAAGGTCAAATGACTAATATGGCCATCGAAATGTCAGCGAAATTCCAGCCAAATGTGCAATCAATTTTACCGAATGTCATATGACATGTTAAAAGAATTGTACCCAATGACATGCGACGGCGTGTCCGTGAAACATAGAAAATCAGTGAAACTTTAATGGATATCGGCCTCGTAGGATCTAGCAATCTCGCAAAGCGATCCACAGAAGAACGTCCTGTTCATATATCTACTACTTCTATAATTAACAAAACATGACACAAGAAAACTTTTTGGGCATTCCTTTATAAGTCTTTTCATATAAGAATTTCTATCGTTACAGAAAAAGGAAGATCGTCGAACAAACGTTTTGGATTTAAGAGCATAATTAAGTCCAAGAAAAAAGATTCTTCTCAATCGACAAATAACAATGCAACAAATATAACCGTTACTTTGTCTAAGATAGAAGAAGGAGAAATAACTGATGAATTATATAACGAAGGATATGAAGGTTGAGATTCTGACTTTTGATATAATGTTTTGAAATCTCATCTGTCATATTCTAGTTTGTCATATTCACTCCAGAGTAAAATAGAGACGCAAACGAAAATCACAGCGCTGGGTAATAGGATTAAATTGGAATGTCCGATATATAAAATAAAGGGTAATTCCAAAGCAAAAATATTGAATTACTAGCACGTCACAGTGCACTCTACACTATCATACAAATTTCAACTGGCTTTGATCATCGCATAGTCGTATCGCTACCGAAATGTTTTTTTTTTCAATGTTTTTGCTTTTGTTCATATTTTCCCGTTGACAAAAATATAGTCTCTCTCTCTCTCTTTCTATCTCCCTGCATGATAATGATGGTATAATAAGTGTTTTGATTCCGACACGGGGTAACTGGGACGTGTCCAGTGCTATACGGAGTAAATTCCATATGACTGTAACAAAAAAGTGATTTTACGTACTGAAATATATTCGGGATTCATTTCTAATATATTTTAATACCTACCAGGTACAAAAGAGAAGGAAATTATTACAGAAAATGGTGTTACGGAAACAAACAGACAATCTCTTCCAGACAACGATAAGCCAGATCAACTGGCAGTAGTAGCGATCGAAATGACTGAGGACAATGCAGGGGATGAAATCAATAGATCGGAGAAATCACAGGGTAAGCGTATAAGAAGAACGGGAGTAATTATACAATAAAACGCGCCTCCGAAAGGATTTCGGTTCCAGTTCCTATGCATTCCAAGTAAAAGTTCCAGCTCACCAACATACTTTTTATGTTATTTTTTTCCATAAACTTATACTTGCAGTTCTCAGTGAGTTAGTGACCATATATAACAATATTGTTTCCAAACTTAAACTAATTTCGTGATCTCGCTGTGACAAATCTTGCAAAAAGTACACTCCGATGCCCTGTGTACTTCAAAGCTCAGTGAACTAATCTTTTCCATTTTTCATTCTCAGGTAGATTTTCTGGATTGCTTCGTGTATTTGGATACATATTTGGTACACAGTGTATGAACGGATGCATGAGAACAACAAATTCCGCAACTGATCACGATGAAGAAAGCTATGATGTTACAGAGGAATGTGAAAACGAAATTGAAGACAAACAACATGAAAACGGATTTGATAATGGGAAAGAAAATAATGAAAAGGCGAAGTTTGAAGCTTTTAACGACATTTTTCCACAAGTGGAAGATGAACCCATGAAGAATGAATCCATGTTGTTAACGTGGGAAGGTACATGTTTTCGATTGTGAATACTAACAATAATGAACAATACTTTCTTAGTTTAAATATAGTCGAAATATATATATGGTAAATCTTTGCATACTATTATACTTCACTATTTTCCTTCATTAAAAGAGATAATACGCAAGTTCAATGATCAATTCTGCACTATATACGCAAATTATACGCATTGCGTTTGATTGTTTTAATCATTCGTTGACTTGAAATTAGTCACATCAATGCAAAGTAAATTACAATTTCGAATCGAATAGTAAATCGGATCGGGCCAGACGAAAATTTCGAATTTCCACCATCTTGTTTTTTTCTTTCCGCCAAAAGTCAAGGTCAATTCTGCAATTTTTTTATTAAAGCCGTATTTTTTCTAAGCAATTCTGACATTCTTTTCTACCAAATGGGTTATTGATAAGACGTGTTTTTTATTGTGTGTGAACGTTCAGCGAACTGTCTGAATGATGGATTCTATGTTTAGAGTAATTCATGTGTTGAGATGTCCCAATACAATAAAATAGTCACACACAATTACATATTTCCCAAGGATTCTAGATTCGATTCGAGAAAAATATTCGATTTGATTGTGAAAACATCGGCATTCGAAAATGCTCAGCCCTATTAACTATATCATTTGAAAAGACATTAAACGTCTTAAAGAATGTAGTGAGCACTACCGTATTTCCCGGCTAATAAGTCTACCGGCAAATAAGACGATGTCTATTTTTAGCACTAAAATAGGGTTTTTCCATATAGCCCTCCAACAAGACGGGTAGAAAAATTGCTTCTCTGTTGGTCAGTTTAACACTAATATGCGCTAATAATTTTATATGGTTGAAAGCAAATCATGTTTATTTGTTAGAATCATACTTACAGAATTAACTATTCTTAACAATAAAGCGTAATTTTAAGTTAAAAAGCGGCAATCATTTTGAATGACCTATAATTTTATATGGTTAGAACCAGATCATGTTTGTTTAGTAGAATCATACTCACAAGATTTATCACTTATAACAATGAAGCAGTAATTTTAAGTTTAAAAGCGGTAATCATTTTGAACAACCTATTAGCCCCGAACGTTGAAATAACCTTCAAATACGGTGTGATAAGTAGTACTACACTGTACGTCCGTGGGTTTGTTAACAGCTGTGTTTTCCTGTCTGTCGTTTTCCGTCGAATCCACAAAACCGAAGGGTCATAAATCACTTTATCTCGGTGGCTTTGTTTTCTCTTTAAAGTACCGATAACAGGCGGGCGTAAACAGGGAGTGCTTCATGACACCAGCCAGATATGAACAGCTGCCAGTACAAAGTCAACTAAATATCATGACAGACCCTTTGGCGTCATCGAGTACATGATAAAATATATCAAACCAAATATAAGAGTAACCCAAATCATGTTTGAGAAGACTCCTGCGAAATATAAGCGGACCCCAGAAAAATAAACATACCTGCCGAATAAGACGCCCCCCCCCCTCCAAACAACAAAAAAAATAAGGCCGAAAAATTGGGTTTAGAAAGACGGTTTATTAGCCGGGGAAATAAGGTATATGAAAAGAGAATCATGAGTTAATAGGAAGAGCTAAACGAAAGTATATTCTAACTTATCACGCATTTAAACCATTGACCATATAATTTATTTTTATTCCTACAGGCTTTCTTGAAAGGGTAAGCTGGATTGCAGCATTAATACGAGGCACGTCTAGCCAGAATGAATCAGCATCCGTTCACGAAGATGAAGTAACTGATATTAAAACAACGTCTGTTTCGACGACAGAAAATATTTCAGGGCAAAACTCTACTGGAGATGAAGGGAATCGAGAAAGAGCTTCCGACTTAGATGAAACCGAGCAAAATGAGAAATTAAGTGGAGAAGAAACAGAAAGTGAAGGCCAAAAAGTAAAAGAAGATCTCGATTATGGCGATCAATATATTGAACAAGTGGTTGATGTTGAGAGAGTGCAGTTAACGGAAGGTATGGTATTATATATGATAAACATCATATATTTATGATTTTAACGAACATTCATGATGATAGTGTTGAATGAATGAAACAACAAAATATTTGTGAATATTCATTTAGGATGTATGGCATTTTTACTTTTTGTCATCAATGATATTGATAGATACAAACATTTTTATAGCTAAAGCTGCGAAAGCCGTGAAAAAATTTCGTCGACAGATCGAAGCATGCAGTCGTGATATTGTCAAGTCACCTGGTGTTGCAACAATTCTTCGCAAGAAAAATTCAACAACTCTTATTACTCCAACTGTGCGACGAATCGGAATCTCCAGTGATGATATTGAAGAGATGCCAACAGTGGATGATGAAATTCAGGCAGAGGCCGAAGAAATTGAAGAAAATAAAAACAAGAAGCGACCAATTGAAAATATAAAAGCCAGGCACGTTCTGGTAACCGGAGAGGAAGGGCAAGGGAAAACAACCCTTTTAGAACGATATGCCGACATGGCAATGGGGAGATTGCTAGTTGTCAACGAAGTTTCACTAGATATTTTCAAACGTTGGCACCCATTTGCCAGGAAAGATTTTTTCAACTTTGTGCATTTCGTACGCCTTAGCGAGCTACCAGTAAAGGGCTATTATACTCCATGTGGACTTCTGTTTAAAAGCGTCGTTCATGGTTTGAGCGATGAGTGTACAGAAGCTGGATTCAGATGGCTAATAGAATATAGAAAAAGTATCCTATTTATTCTCGATGGCTTAGATGAAATGAGATCATTTCCAGGAAGGCAACATAAAAAAATTGATTACAATGTTCGTGCGAGTCCATCGTGCATTTTACATAATTTGCTATGTGGAAACTTATTCCCCAATGCGCACATACTTTCCTCTGCGAGGCCATATACTATTGAACGCTTCACAGCAACTGCAGCCCCAATGCGAATATATGCTTTGACTGAGTTAGAAAAGAAGGATATAAAAACGCTTGTCAAAAGCTTCACTCCGAAAGATAGCAAAGTGAATAAACCATGGAAAATCCTAGAGCAAGATTATCCGAATCTTTCGATTATGGGTGGAATTCCATTGAATCTTCTATATTGGTCAACTGCTGTCTTGGAAGATACTGAAAATAAATGTCCTGATACTTGCGTTGCAGTAATGTCACGGTACTTGAAATGCGCTTTTGATAACGGCGAATCGTGGAATGTGCAGTCAGTGACAATTATGACCAAGGTGAAGAAACTGGCCTGTGACAGCGTAGAGAAAAATCTATCAATGTTAAAAGATGAAGTTTTTTCGGAAGTTGATTTGGATTTGGCTGATGTTCAACAGCTTCCTATATTCCATCCTCGATCAAGCAAACTTGGGGTGAATCGTGGAAAAATAGAGGAATACTTTGCAGTTTCTTTTACTCATCAAACCGTACAAGAATATTTAGCCGCTTTACATCTTTGTGAGGTGAGCTTGGCTGATTTTGTGGAATTCACAAAAAAGCATCTCCATAATCCCAAACACGGTTTCATTAGAATGGTATTATGCGGACTTCTATTCAACGAAGAAAACATGGCAGTTTTGCATGACATCGTTGAAGGTCAGTCATTTTGTTGCTTTCAAGCCTTCGATATGCTCGGTATAATTTCAGCAAATAAGAATGTATGTATGAAAATTCGTCACGTATCGCTATATTTGTAACCGTTTGCAGAAGCATTGTGGGTTACCACGTACAAATTAGTAGATTCAAATTGATCTTTACTTTGGCAGTCAAAACTTCAGCCGACAATACTTCAATGATATATGTTTAAATTGTTACTGATGTTTGACTTCAAATTCCTCATAATGATCGAATGGTTTATTGTCCTATTTTTCAGTATCGGCACCAGAAGAAAAACGAGAAATACTTTTGCAAGATTTTCGAAACATCTTAAACTCGGGCGATAAAAGTCATTCTTTTTATGCCGCACTTCACGAAGCTGGCGACGGAATTAAAGAACTTCTTCAAGTTCATATGAATGAAATATGTCTTTCTGGAGAGAAATTGACATCGTTGACCATACTGATTCTGACCGCTTTGCTTTCCCGGACTGGAAATCTTGACCTTTTCAGTTTGTCAGATTGCAACTTGTATGATGCAACAATCAAATCTTTGTTAACTGCCGCTCAAAAGTGCGATGTTACCGTAAGTGAAATCTCCTTGTGTAGAAACTGCTTATTATTTTGTATTTAAAACTCCTTGTTCTATTTTACAGATAAAAATGTTAGATCTACAGGGGAACTCCAAACTGCTGTTTCAAGGACGAAATCTTCGTGATTTATTTGATCATTGTAAATCTGAAGCTTTAGATGTTTCTCGTTGTGAATTGAATAAAGAAAAGCTTGCGAGGCTTCAGGCGTCTTTTAAAGGGGCCCAGGTATTATTTTTAGTGCTTACAAATCAGCAATAAAGTAGAATTTTGGCTTCGCTGACAAAATTGCTAAAATGTATACCAATGAACTGACTTCAGTCAATGGAATTGAGCCGAATTAAATTTAGCTAACTCACTAATGTTAATTCTTTGTATCTCCGTAGAATGCATTACAGATAACCTCAAGTATCTCGTCTTTTATTTCGTTTATTTAAATTCTTTGTTGTGAATAATAAATGATAGTAGTTCCATTCTTTCAACAATGGCAGCGACGAAAATAAAGTCCGTAGAGGTATTTTAAAACTTATCCAAATGTATTATCCAATGAGTAGACTAATTTAAAACAAATATACCTATCAAATACGTGTCTACAGTTGAAGACTATCAAAGCTGGTCATAACAACAAGATTGGAGAAGCGGGTATCCAAATCATAGGTGATATCGTTAAAAGTTGCGAAACGAAGTCGTTGAACTTAAATAATTGCTCACTCACATCTGGTGCATTCAAACGACTGAGAAAATCTCTCAAAGACACTCAGGTTGATACAATGCTTCTATTTATTTTTTTCAACGTTCGTAGAACTTACATGCATTCATATATGAAAACGTGTATGGCACACTCCTCTGAAACATTTGCGATTCAATTCCTGTGCGCTTGCTGGTTATTTAATTAAAAAAAATGAAATTTTTTTGATAAAAAAACAAAAATATTTTTGATCAGGTAAAAACAATAATGTTTGCTCAATATTTATGGCTCACACCAAGCTTGTTTCCTTGCTGCAGGTTTTATGAAGTCATATTTCATTGTTTTTGACAGTTATATCATTTGAATGTGAGTGAAAACAAAGGCTTAGACGTACAAGCAATGGTTATGTTGGGTGATATTGTTCAAACAAATGGCGTCAAAGAACTGAACCTCAGCAAATGTGAGATCACAAACAAAAAAATAAGAAATTTTCAAGCATCACTAAAAACATCAACGGTGAGAATAACAACTGTATTATCGTTTAAAATAAATAAATACAAGAATATACGAGATTATATTAGCAATAATAGCATTCTGTAAAGTCTTACTTCGAATGTATTATGTTTCATACATTTCCATGAATGATTTCAAATAAACGCCTCATAGTTATTTAAAATTGTTATTTAATTCAACAAAGAACATGTCGACACAAAAACATCTATTCCAATTTCGGTCTTGATGTATTTGAACAAATTTTATAAGTTTAACAAGTGTTATAACTCTAAGAAGGAAAAGCCAATTTTTCTGTTTCTGCCATTTCTAAGAAAATTTGATTATTGATTATTCGCTCTTCGTGTCAGCATTGCAAAAATCAATCGAAGTGACTAAAATTAAACAAGACGACAGGATCAATCAATTACTGTCAATCTTGTGTGAATACACCAGACATGAATGAGATAAATTGAGATCAAAACACGTAAATGAAAACGCAAATTTCATCTTTGAATATTAGCGACTTGATCACTATATTTTAAAACATTACTGACCGTATAACAACTTATTTGGCGACTGTTATTACTCAATATAATATATTAATAATCTATGTATTTTCTTGTGTTTTAATCGATGTATGACAGATGAATGTATTGGACATCAGCGCATCTGAAATGACAACAGCATGGGGCCTAAACGTTATCGCAATATCTAGATTGATACCTCACGTGAGCGAAGAAATTCGAATGATTAATTGGACAATTGATCCGAAAGTTCTTAAGATGTTTCAAGACAACATTAATGAACAAGCATCATCGGTAAATTATTTTTGAATATATTAACGTGAACATGTGTACGTATCGTGTATATTTCAAGCGGGCATTTTGTCATCACCATTTTTTTTTTAATTTTCGTCAGGATTTGAAAATAATATACGGAGCCAACGGCGAATATGTTCTAACTCCAGAAACAGAAGATGATGAAGAACAAGAATATTTGGAAGAAATTCAACAACAATGAAACTGATGAAGTACAATTAATTTCAATGACGCTTTCACGTTTTTTTTAAGTTTGTGTGTTCCAGTCTTTTGCTCAAGTTTAAGCTTGCAACTATTCATAGTTCACCTGGTAACGATGAGTAACTGACAATGTAAAATTGTATTTAAAAATATATAAAATTCATGCAAGAGCCATTGTTAGAAACCCAACTTTGTTTACATGAGTTACATGATATGATAAATCGCTTTAACATTAATTTCATTACACATTATTTTCTTCTCTATATGTAAAATAAATCATTATTTTTGATTGAATGTATATTTAATAAAAACGTATATCAAAAAACAATTTTGCGTCATACATTGGAGTAATATCTGCATCGAAACTAGTGATGACAACCTGTTACTGAAAAGTTCATTAGTCAACTTAAAATTGTTTGCTAACAAATATTGAGAACATTATTTTATAAGTAACAAAAATAATGAAAAACAAAAGATCTTGATGAAGTAGCAATCGTGTTATTTGACAAGCGACCAAAATTTTGGCCCTAAATAATGTCGCTATTCAATATCTTAAATTGCAAAACTACCAGCTACGACATGAAGCATTTGCTTATACTGGTATTTAACTTGAAAAATAAGCAATATCTTCTAGATTGTATGTAGAACGAGATTCAAAAACCCAGCTCTTATAGGTTCACTTCTTGCAAACTAATATCTTGAACAACTCTGTGAATTTTTCCGTGATAAGCGCATGAAAAACTGAATTTAAATTCATATGGATAATCGTAAGTGACGGAGAAAAAAACACAACTACTTTCAATAAATTGTTCACAAAACTGGAAACAGGTAGATGAGACGCAACATCGAGAACAAGCCACGCCATGTCTGTAGAAGCTACCAAGTAAATACAAACCGCAATCAGCAACATTAAAACATATTTAACAGCATCCACATATTTCTTTTTTCTTCCCATTTTCCGTTGACACAGAAAGTACATCATGAAAGGATGTGTAGATGTGACTGACATAATAGCAACTGTCAAAGCAATGGCATCGATCACCAAAGAATATTGAATATACGATTCTCCAGTGATTGTTTCTTCGCATATGCCCCCTTCGATACCGTTAAACATTACCACATACAATGGTATGGTTATGACTATATCGCAGAAAGAGCTGAGACCAATATAATCCAAACACCATTCTGTCTCCTAATATTTGCTTTAAATGGAAAACTCTTACGAACTTATACGACAGAAGATATAAAGCGGTGAAGATCCCTAAAGTCGCCATCATCGAAGATTTCATTTTTTTAAGTACAAGTTTGTACATTCGAATAAATTCAGGCTTACCAATTCATATACTTCAAAACAGCTCTCAACGACAAGCATGGTCAACTTCCATATAGCTAATCCCAGCAATAATAGATCTGTACATATACAGTTACAGTAAACAGCAAAACCCGAAATGCAATAGGTATTACCGTGTTATCTTTCACGAGATGAATAGTATAAGTCACTAATATAACATATTTATTATCGGAAAATATGCTCCCGGCATTCTTTGGTTTATTGTTTACGATATTTTGTAAAGTTGATTCCATTTCACACTATACCACATTCTCTGTAAGGCACGCAACAGTTCTAGAAGTCTTTTGAACTTTTCTACTGTGTCCTACACGGTCAATCCCACTTTACTGCAATTCATTTTTTCGCGTTATCATATAATTCCTAAAATTGTATGTGATACAATAAATTTTATACTTGCCGTCTATACGATTAGTTGTTCAGGCGATAATACGTGACAAGATTTTTACCTAAATTCGTGGAGGGCTTAAAAAGCTTCAGAAGAGATCATGTTTTTTTGTCACTAACAGGATGCGACATCAATTCGCGGTGGTTCAAAATGAAGCTATAACTTCGGGGTTCCTTGGGACTTGAACTGAGTGAAATGGGCTTCTATTCAGATTCAAGTTGATCTGCAAAAAAGACATGTATAATATACATTTTAGTTGTCAACTACAAACTTTTTATTCACGATATAAATTTGCATATTACCATCGAATCGCAGATCGAATACCGGTTCTCTTGTAGCAACTACAAAGAGACTGAATTGACGATAGATGGTTACTGTGAATTTTGATAACTCTTGATCACTGAAGTCTAACAGCATGTTTCCAATAATCCGCGTGAACAAGCCCAAATTAAGATCATTTCCTCGTACTACCAGACGATAATACCTAGAAGAAACTATGATCACATAGTTTCCTGCGTTGCTTCTCTTCTATGAAACAGAGCAGAAGGATTAGTGTTACCCTGTCAAGGGTACACTACAAGACGTTTGACGAACTCGAAGAATCGGACGGAAATTTCTTGCTTTTTATAGCATATTATGCGATTCAATTCTTGTACATAATATATGATATGTATCTCTATGCGATCCGGCATCTGAAGACGCTCAGTTCCGGATTCGTGAACTTCATTGAATGTATACGGAAATGAAAACTTGAATAATAATAATTGCAGAGAAGTCGTCGAAGCAGGATCGTTTCCAAAACGGACAAAATAGGAAAACGGAGAGGTCGGAGTCACATGACATAAGTCAAAATCTGAACTGATTTTGCGAAATTCGTTCCATATTAAATATATATACGACAAAACACATTATAAAATACTAAAAGACGGCACCATGTATTCAAATTTCTGACTGAAAAATGTGCCCCGAATAAACTGGAATTTTTTTTTTGGCAGTAAAAAATGAAGAAAAGCGAAGTAAACTTATTTTTAACCACACAAAAATATGTATTAACACATGTACCTAATTGTTGACCAGTAAAACACACCCATTATGAGATTTTCCTTGTTCGCTCTTAGTGTTTCCATTCTAAATGCCAGATGTAGTAAACAGTTATTTGAACATATACACTCCTTAGCAACAAAATTATTTACACTATATTGGACACATTTTATATTATCACACAGGGAACCACAGCATTCGCCAATTCTTGTTAATTTTACAAAATATAATTATATGAAAATCAGCTATATTAAACTGGTATTTAATGATTAAATGTATGAGAACGGTAGCCTGAGGCAGAGTGAATTATGACTTTTCTCAATTAATAATTGGTCAATTTACCACATATAGTTTGTACATGGTATCTATCCACATTAGAGTATTCAGTCATGTCTTCAAAGAAACAGTAGACTTTGTAATATTTATATCAAGAGTACAATGCTACAGGATACTAAATCATATCGTGCATACATTACAAAATCTAATATAATTACGAAGGATACTAGTTAGATAGTTAACGCTTACGATTAACTAAAACTGTCGTCTTAGGTAGTACTTCTCTTTGAGGTACAATCAGGCAAAAGTTTATTTTCCGTGGTCTTAATATTCAAAAGAATAGCATTAGGCATTAGCTCACTTGTTGAACACCAAGGAAATGCAGAAAAAATCGAAAGCCTGGACTAGTGGTAATCCTGAAAATATAGAAATGAAGCAATGAGTTATCAGTCAGGATAAATTCTCGTTAGTTTACCGTATTTCCTTGACTGTAATTCGAGAACGGCTATGAAATGACATTCAACAAGTGCGCATTCAGGTCGTAAATATAAAACCCATTTGGTATTTTTGAAAAATAACGCCGAAAGCTTCGGTAAAATTCGCTGGTTATCCAATCAATTTTGTCTTATCAATAGTCAATGCATTTCAACTGAAATTGCCATCCTTACATATAATGGATGTTTCCCCGAGTATCGAACAACCAACCAGCAATAAGTCGTGAATGACGTAACAATTACAATTTCTGCAGTCGCTCAGACACTTCTGTCGCTCAGACAGATATTCAAGCATGATTGTAAACAGTGCCTCGTTTTAGTAGTTTTGCGTGATATTTGCCTGTTTGCAGTTGTGTTCCCAAAAATCGATTGTCAATATATCCTCCGAGGCGGTAATCAAAAATTGGTCTCGCAAACGCTGCGATAGACTAGGCTAATATTATCTGAGTAAGAGGCACGTGGTTGAATAATTTTATTTAAAGAGATGGTTTTGAACATGTAATCCAGCGTTTCATTTTCTTTTATACCTATTCTTAGCTATCTTCAAATAGCAGTGCTAAATACACTTGAATTAAAACGATAGAATTGATACCATATATGAGATTGTTTCCTGAAACAGTTCTATGTTTGATTTGGGATCAATTTCTATCCACCAAATCATTTTGTGAAAAATAACTGGTCCTCTTCTTTTTAGCAGCTTGTTTTATTCATTTAGATACCAATGGATGGGTCAATATCCCCCCTCGACTTGGTTTCAACAGTAAATCCGAATGACGACAGTAATATTACAACGGTGGGAGTAAATCCAGGCTCAAAAACTCGTTTTATCAATAACTATGTTGCGCTTACAAATTATGCTGCACAGCTTGTTGAAGACATGGAAATATTTCTGCTGGTATCGGACATTCTTTGGTGGATTGTTGTAATATTTGGGTACATTGCAAACATTTTTCTATTAGCATTGATTGTTCGCTATAGAAAAACCATACTTAATGTTGCAACTAACGTGTTGGTGTTGAGTCTTGTAATCGGGGATGTGATCGCTTTAACAGTTTTTGTAGGAGTGGAGATTTATAGTTACGTACATCATCTTTCATTTCAAGAAACTATGGAATTTTACGTCAAAATGAGGTCTACATTGCTGACAACATCGGGAATATTTGCAAATTTAATTGTTTCCTCTTTATCGATTTTGAAGTTTGTTGCCGTATTTTTTCCATTCAAAGCAAGAGATTGGATGAAGAATAAAACGGGTGTATGGATGTCCATTTTTTGCTTGATTCTTTCCATAGGAGCAACTATACCGCTTCACATAGCACCGATAGGTCTGAGAATGCTCAAAATGAAGAACGATGAAAGAGACATCGGTCTAATCACTGATGAGTTGTATATGAATTGTGCAATGCTTCTCGTATTAGCAGCAATGAGCATTACAGCTTTGGTAGTACTTGTAACTTATCCACCCATTATTTATCGCCTCTGCCGCCCAAAGGTAGGGAGAAAAGAAAAATATGCAAAGGCCGCTAAGCATATCGGAATGATATTGATTGTGTTTATATTTTATCTCATTCTTTTTGCTTCGGCCGACATGGTATGGTATGGACTTGCTATATATAACGTTGTAAATAATACACCTGTTCCTACTGCCATTAATAGTTTGATTAAATATGTTATTTTTATTTCTCATCCGCTATCAATGTTACACATGGTTTTAAATCCTATCCTCCATGCTCTCAGTACCGAGAATTATATGAATCTATACATGCCCGTATTTTGTAAACAAAATATTGCATCCACTCCATCGACTTCATAGTCGTTTTACCAAATATGTTTTTACTATGATATTTTGACTCCAAATTCCTACTTCCAGATGTTTTTTTGCTCTATTCAAAAAATAATGTAGTTATATTATATCAAAATGGTAAAATAATATTTATGGTTATTTTTGTGGAGAGTGGGCCTTTGAGAGTAAATAGCTGGGTATATCGCATATATCACGCGATTACGCTCTGATTGAATGGGTGAGTAGATTGAAGCTGAATATGAGCTTGTGTAAGACATATCATTGACCGCGCTCGGCATTTTCATCAAATGGCCAGGCTCTGCATATGATATTAATGGGATATTTTTGTTATTCATCAAGGATATAACACACTCAGCCATTTCATTGATATGACGCATATTGACTTGTTTACGTCTCGCTACGGACTTTATATTTGAAAAAGTTGCATTTGTTGCATATTCAAGACAAAATCAACTTACAATCTTTTTCTGATGGCACAGAACGTTGAATAAAAACATCCAAAAAATGCAATTATTAAACACTATTCGGTCGATGATTTTTAAACATATATTTTTACATCTAACAGTAAAGTTTTTTCTAATGCGAGTCGAATTCAATAAAGATATTATTAATTTTGTAATCAAGCGTAATTTCTTTAAATCTTTCTCCCAGTAACGTCAGCAGAGATTTAATTTTAGTTTGCTTCTGGATGTATTGATCTTCCCCAGAGTATAATCGCGTGTTTACGTGGCATGGAAATGATGGATGGGTGCCAATTTTTTCATTTGACAGGAAAGCTCGGAAGTAAAATTGAACTATGAATAGAGGCAAGTTCGTCTCCTGGCATTTAACATCATTTTGATTTTTAAAGTGTCAAGATCTAGGAGTGAGAAAAAAATTAAAACAGAAAGCTGGAAATTAATTCATGAACATTTTTTATTTGAAAATACCTGGATATCAAATTTGTTTAGCGATTTTGAATACATTTTACTATACTGAACAAAATGTAAATACCCCATCACAGTATCATGGCACGCTGGTGGTACTCAGAATTGATCTTACAAATGACACGAAGCCTTGATACCTTTTCACGCGGAAATTTTCAGCACAAATGTATTCACAGATTAACGACATAAATTACACAGATAGCAAATGATACAGAAAAAGCATAAAATATTTACATCATTAAAGTATGTCCAGAGAACCCGCGCTCAAATAAACACAGTAACAGCATATGGGAAACAAATATCATTTCTTGAAAATGAAAGCTCGACTCGCGCCGATTCGTGATTAATAACTTTATCAGTTAAATTGGCATATTCCCTTCAGGTAATATGAGAATTATATCTGTGACTAAATAAAAAACAATGCTCCAATATCAGATCTCAGTGTCTAAATAAACCGTGTGGGTACGGAAAGAAATTGGTACTCACAACACGTAATAACCGCATCTTACGTATCGATTGCTCTTTGGTAAAGCTTCGCTCGAATAAAAGGTGTAAAACGCTACATAAAATCAGTTGCACATATCTTACGATTATCATGCGTTGGAAAACCGTGAAAAATAGTTTGCTACATTGTTTTCGAGACTTTAAAAAACTTATTATTTTTTTTATCAAAAGCTATCATAGCTAGTAAGAAAAAACGGTACTGCTGTAGTATGCGAACCAAGATGACGGACACCGGAACGTAGTATGTGTACCGGATCAGACCATAATTTCAGGTACAAATACTACGGATGTCACTTGACTAGTCCCCGAAATAGTAATAGAACTAAAATAAAGAAAATTGGAATAAAATTATGGCCTAACCCTAAACTGGTACACATACTACCTCCCGGTGTCCGCCATCTTGGTTCACATACTACGGGAGTACCGAAAAACAGCAACTAAAAATAATTACATTGATAAGCATAGTAATTATGACGAGAATTACACAAATTTGTATTGTAATATGAAATGTTACGGCTATACTCTCAATCTGGTAAAGGAATATCCCATGGGAATGAGTCAGTTAGTGGATGAGCTTTTTCGTCGATTTTTCGGGGGGGCAGATAATTTTATCGTCGGTTCTCCTTGTTCGATATCCGGTTGGTCTAAAAATAAAACGAGATGCTAGTAATAATTACCGTTATATATTTTATATTATGAATAAATATTACAATTTTATATACATCATGTTGTTCTTCAAATAATGTGAATCAGATACGTTCAACGTAACGCGTTTAACGTAACATTACAAAATATATATGTGTCAATTATTAATGAAGCCTTGTCGATACGATCATGAAAGCATTCACCGATAAAGTTTTGGAAGGAGTTTGGTACTTCAACAATTTCTTAAAATACATTAGAGTAATGAATTAATAAAAGTGACTCGATAAATGTTCTCAAATATGACACACGTTTTGGCAAATTATATTTGAACGCATTTATTGCTCAACTGTCGTGAACTGGGATAACGCATAAACATATATACATGTATATATGAGTCTGTTGTAAATTGCTTTTCAAGAATAATAGGACGGATGATATATATACAACTCTTTTTTTAATATTTCTCAAAATTCTCTAGCAGTTTAATTTCATTTTTTATAACTGTATAATATGCCAATGCAATATTTGCATTGTAATAAATATTTTATTTACTTGGAGAACCTTTATATTTTTTTGAAGTTCGCACCCGGATTAATTTTTTCCCTAATTCCTCCTCGTTTTGAAGACCTAAATTTGATATTCTGTACTCCATAACAATTGTTAATAGGTCCGGTCTACGACAGATTTCAAAAACATGTTCGATGAAACTCGGATCATCTGCCAATACAAAAATTATTTTATAAATATTCATTGACCATATCATTTTAAATATGACACGACATGTACGAACAAATTTTAGCAATATGTCATGTGGAGAATATGATCGTTAAAGCATAAATTTGCATTTATACGAGTTTTAGTGCTGCATATATGTTGAGAAACTTTGCAAATTTTTGAAACAATTTACCAAGAATAGAAAGTTTGATGTTTTCCAGTGGACTTTTATTCTGGAATGTTCGTGTTGTGACAATATACAAAAGGTATTATTCGCTGGATTAATTATTGGTGCAGGAATAGCTAGCATGTGATCATTCAAAATGCATGAACCTAATGGTTGGTTGAAAAGTTGTTAAAATCGTTCCACAAAAAGTATCCTTTTATTTAAGTTGAGTAAAAAAACTAAATGACGAGCTGTTTGACAAACAATACGCAATTTGGCCCCAACTGTGAAAAATAAAAATTTATACTCAAATAACAATGATCATGAGGCCTAATGTAAAAATCGTTTGTTTATACCACTTTTTCCTGTGTGGGACATGCTTTAAATGACTTAAGGTCTATTATATTTACATGGCTAATTTACTGGTTTTAACTTGAAGCCAGTTCTGATTGTTATGTATACCAGGTAATTTCTGAAATTCTTCTTTTCGAATAGGAACAAAAATTAGAGTCTGGACAATAATAGCAATGAACTGGTTTGCACTTAAAATAATTTTTTATCAATTTCCTAAAACTTCAAATTACCAACCTGAGGACAAAAGGTTCTTTTCACGAAGAAATGTCAACCATTCCTTTGGTGACGACAAACGCTTGAGATCGCACTCCTTGATTGCCTCATCTTTTGAAGCATCTCGTAGTTGCGGGAAATCAGATTCAGTTATCTTCTTGCTCAAAAGCGCAATAAGATTATCAAGTTCTTCATCTGTTTTTGTCATTTTATAATTTTAATAATAAACTCGTAACTGTAAGGTTATAAATGCGATTGAATTTTATGGCGGGTATTACTTGCTTTGTTTGTATTTAGGTATTTTGATGAAATATCGACTGAATGAATGTTTATTTTGCTTCCACCAGCAATTTGGCAGAGTTTACTCTTTCTCGGAAAAGTTTTTGTATTATGTCGTCTCTCGGGGAGGAATATCGTCCTACTGGAAAATATTGAACATATAAAATTGTTCATTACTCCCAAAACTGTCTTACATTTATATGTACCACCGGCAGATTGTTATTTTAAAAAACGCCAAGTCTATTATTCTATCGACATACTAACCGCGTTCTCTAGGGAGTACGTGTTATCGCGTAATATAAATTTCATATCCGGAGATAAAATATAAATCGTATGACCCTTTGGGAGTAAATTATAGAATTGAAATTCGACAAAATTATTTAAATATGTTTATGTAGCATATCCGGAGATAAAATATAAATCATATGACTTATTGGGAGCAAATTATAGAATTGAAATCGACAAAATTATTTAAATATGTTTGTGCAGCATAATTTAATTGGCTCAGTTTGGTAATTCCGTTCAATACACGACTCCTTCCTAATTTATAAACTATTATCGTTGACTAAGTAGTTTTTGTACATGAAAGATCATTTAAAAGTATAAACGAAATAACATAATACACGCTTGTCTCCGGCATGACCCGAATGTTAAAATCTTTACAATTTATTTGCAATTACAAAACTTACTGTGCTCGTTTGGTATCAACACTGTGTCAAGCAATCGCAAGTTGTAAAATGCACCGGTAAGTCGTATTTTATCCATGGTTCATGTTCTACATTGGTCAAATTCTGGTAAATAACATCATCGTCGAAAACACCGTTCTTTATATGTCTATCGCAAGAGTTGCCGTTTCAATTGTCGGGTCTGTGCCTACTAATTAGTTTCCCATAATAGCGTTTTACATACCTTAATGTTTGATTCAGCAGTCGAGCTGTAATTTTAAAAATCAGAAGGTCACGTATAAGGCGAAGTACGACACTTAAGTACACACCATTGTCGACAGGAAACGATACAAAACCGATGAATTCGTATCAAGTCCCCGAGGTAGACAATCGAATAGCGCGCATTATCTGTGTCCCATATTCTGTCGCTTATAAAATTTCATCAAAACCAGATGTGACTTTTCAAACAAGTGCGTTTGAATATTTGAAGACTCAGATATTACGGTTAACTGTGTTTTCCAACAACGTTCAGTACTTGACTGGATTTTAGACATCAATTCCACACAGACTAAATTTCGAATTAGTGCGACTTATCACTGTATCAGGTCAGAAATTAAATGAATGTTCTTCCGTGTATGAATATTATACAAATTATATCAAAATGACAAAACTATCAATTACTAAAGGTTAATCACTATTCATATAATTACTCAAGTGAGTCATAGGGTGTTTGCTTACTACAACAACCTGATCTCGCTGTATATTTTCCGAAATCGAACATGGCGTCTTACCAACCTAATTAACATGAACACCAACTCTTTTTAATATTCTGAACTACAACACTGGATGATTGGCAATAAAACACACACTCTGACACTATCTGAGGATTACTTTTTATCACCTACAGACCTACCGGACTCAACAATCCAAAAGCAGTTTTTGAGTTATATACAGCTGTACAGTATATACCTCTGCTCTTGGTAGCATTCAGGCCTTTAGCATAAGCTCGACACAATAATATTTTGATCATTCCCATGTCTCCCACGCTACAAGGTAAATTCTGAACTTCACCTGTGTGGGAACTTGTTTTCTCTAAAACTCACTTCTGTCGGATGCCTACTTTACTTCGCAAGCACACACAGACTCTGGATGGTGATAGTATTTGGGCCTCACTAGACACATCGCACAGACATAACTGTTTAACTAAGAATGACGTATTCTTCCAGACAACCGACGAATAAAAACATTTCTCGAGACGAAATCATCGGCATTTCCGTCACGCTATAGCTTATCCGTTGTTCACATTCCAAAGTTACAACGTATAGCTCGGTTTTAACTTTTACTCCTTAACTCACATTGGCTTCTAGAATCTAAGAGTCATATTAATTACCCAAATTGTGTATTTTTTAGGTATTTTCATAATATCATAAGATATACATAGAGATAATAAGATATACATAGAGTTAACACAACTGATTGTGGAATTTGGGACAAGATAATCAGGGTTGTCATATACCATATATATATATATATATATACAGTATGGGTTTTTGCCACCCTATGTGTAATCAATGCAAAAATTATTCAATATATCGTAGGCGATCGATAAATTGTTATTAAATCAGTGACAAAGCGAGTTTTCAAGTTCAAGTATGTATGACATGAGTTGTTTTACTTTTAAAATTGCAGAATTTTCCTTCCGAACTTTGAGAACCGAATGCTAATATAAACGACTGAACATCCATATGAGTATCCTTTCCTCAACACATTTGGCAACAAAGAATGGGATGATTTGGCAGCAATTTTCGCCCAATTTACTTAAAGCAAACTGATCGGAAAATAATTGTATGTAGGATTAACACAATAAAACATTTCAGCGTAATGGTTTTGCTTTTTGTGTTATATTAACTACTGATAAAATTCAATTGTGTGTCACCATTTAAAAGCCATAATATGCGACTGATAGTTGAGTCACAAGCTGCCACGGACTTGCTAAGGACGACGATTTGATTCATTGCTGTGACAGAGCTGACACTTGCATGATATGGGATTTGTAGCAACCCCGACCTCAATACTGTCAGAGTAACAAGTAAATTTAAAAACAATTTTACAACGCCTTTCCATAGCCGATGTGAAAAAATCGCCACTATGCTTAAACTTATTAAATTATCCGATATTGTTATTACCAATAGTTGAATGGAGCTCTTAGTGAGACCAATACATAATTTTTGTTTTATGAGACGTTCATCATACTTACACTGCAAACGAGGCTCTTCAAGCAGCCAATTCTACGCAGTAGGATACTATTTTAGGAAGGGCCCTTATCTCTTGTCCGGTATTGCCTACCCAATTTATCACACCTTTACAAGGTAGTCTCATGGGTTTTCGTCCGAGATCTTAACCATGCGATGCAAATATAGTTAACTTCTATATGTGCTACGGTTTACCCACTAGTTCACATTTTTCGAGGCAATATATATGAATGAAGGAGTTGATACCTTGTCATCATTCAAAACAACAAAAAGACAGACTTCTTACACCCTGACTAGAACAACTTAAGATCTCTAATCAGATATTCCAATTGAATTAGGCGAAAGTGATAGCCACTGGTTCAGTCTGATTAGTCGGTTAATGTTTTTCGTTTATACCGCAATTTACTGGATTGTTGTCTTGCCAGACTGAGCTAGGACCCGAGGTGTTTAAAAAGTGTTATCTAATCTCGTTTAGCAATATGCCACCACACTTTTATGACAATTACCGTTGGATGTATAAACATGAAGTGTTATTTATTGTTTATGCTCAGATTATCTTTCCACAGAATATCGTATGAAAAGGGTTAGCATGTGTGTCAACTCGGGTCATACTTGAGTAACATATTTTTGGAAACGAAGAATATATTCAAATGACATTTTTATTTGGACTGATTCGACTTGACTAATGCGAAATGGCTCAGTCGTGAGCTGTAACATTGGAAGATCGAATACATAATTTGTAAATGTTTCGACTTGCTGCTTCACACTGTCTTACTTACCTCAGCGAAAATTGAGTTTGACTAGACTTGCCCCAAATGATTTTCAATTTTCGTTTTCGTCGTATATGAGCAATCACTATAGATCTGTGAAAAATCATATAAAAGTCGACAAGTTGCGAAAGAATCCGAGATGAGGTGCTGTCTGCTGTGATAATATTGTGTAAGAGACGACAGATTGTAAGTACGCGCTCATCGACAGCAACATTAATATTGAAAGATGCAATAACAGAATTTCAAACAGACAGCATTTGAATCAAAATGTTTTGATATTGTTGAGTGAAGTGAATTGCATACAATATTTAAATATTACCTCGAGTAGATATATTGACGAATGCTGATGATTGCCTCTGCAGTCTGCAGACATATGTATCATTGATATAAATGCATGGACCGTACTAGAGGCCCTATCAATAGTGACATTGAGATATGGCACCGTAAGTAACTATATATACAAGTTCATAGTTTGCATAGTTACATAATCGTGTTTACAACTTTTACCAAACCAAATACAATTCGAATGACTGTTTAGCGTTCTATTTATGTATGAAACCACTACGTTAGAGAGTGGGCATGGTACTTGTGCCGTCGTTTTGTGTAGGGGAAAGTGGGGAAGGCTGGGACACTTTTTTTCTTTTGCATATTTTGAGCCGTTAATTCTGCATATTCACTTAAGTTTGCGGGACTAATGCATAGAGGGGTAAATGTAGTTTTTATTCAGCGACTAAGAAATTCCTTTGCAACACACATCTTACTACCAAAATGCTTTTGAAAAACGTCTGTCAAGTGTCCCACTGTATCCCACTTGTGGGGCACATTCGGACAGACCCTGGGGCACAATGGGTCAGTCTGTCAAAATTCAACTAGTTATGCTCTTAAAAATAAACAATTAATCGTCTAAAGAACAGGGAGACTTCAAATTTGAAGATTTAATATTTTTCAAAAATATTTAAAAAAAAATGTTTAACTAAAATAGTTCAGATATTTTGACAAAAAAATTCGCAAACAAATTTGAATATTTTCTTCCTCTAATCTGAATCTGGAAATATTATTGATTCTCGAATATATATATTCCATATTGGGCCATGGGTCGAAAGAAACCATAATATTACACAAAAGATAACGCATCTCTTTTTAATTAACAGCTTGTTCCCACTAACGAAAGTTGCACATTTTCTGTAAAACATGCTTCAAAAATCTTTATGCAAAAATAGTATATATAGGGAATTCCCCGAAAATCAATAATCATAGGTTTACAACGAAATATAATGAAAAGTTGCTTTAATTTCA